GTGGGAGCAACAGGCGGCAGCAGCAACAGCAGCAACAGTATTGTAGGAAACGAAGATTGCAATTGATCACCAAAGAGGCATGCAAGTGTGTTGGTGTTGCACGTTGCTGTGTTGCCGCTGTTGCTGCTTCTGCTGCTGATCAAGCGATCAAGCGGCCGGGGCAGCAACAATCGACGCTGAGCGTGCTCACACGAAATTTTCAAGTACTGCGACAATTTCCCTAACCCTCTCCCTCCCCCACCACCCTTTTTTTTGTCGCTTATCAGCTCGCCATGCAACAGCAACTGCAACATAGCAACAACCCGAGTGCAACAGCAACAGGAGCAACACATCTCAACAGTTGCATCAATTGCTCAACATTGAACTCTGTTCTCTGTTCCACAGGCCCCAGACGATCAAACCCTCCCCACCCTCTGATCACTGCACCCTTCTACTCCCCGCTGCCCTTGTATCATTTGCACGTTTTTTAATTAAGACATCAAAAAGAGACTTTGACTTGGGCGATTTCGAAGAATTGCCAGTCTGGCTCTGGGTCTGTCTTTGTCTGTGGCTTGTGTTTCGGTTTCTATAGATCGCAGATATAGTGCCACATAGGTTGGTCTATACACATACCAGGACACACACCTACAATTGGGGTTACAATAATAGGTTTTAAAAGGTTTTTATAATAAAAATCATAGTTTGTTTTAAGCTTTACTTTCCTTAGAAACTATAAGCTGAAAAGAATCTTTATTTTGGGAGCTAAAGAATCTGTGTTGCTGATCCTCCCATCTATAAACCCTTTACCATTACTAACTTTTAGGTTCTAACCTCTTAGCCCCAACTGTTTAGTCAGCTACCCCTTCCAAGCCATCTTCCAGACCACTTAATCTCTTCCTCCCATTGACATCATCAGCTTTTGTTGAACCAAGTGAACTAAATTAGTTTTTTGGGTTGAAAATCGAACTTCTGTTCGATGGTCTTTATTCTGCGGGGGATGCTAAAGCTAAACAAAAATAAAGTTAAGAGGTTTGTTGAAGAAACAAAATTGCTTATCCTTGGATCGAAGGAATTTCCTCTCCGGGTTCCCATAGAGAGGTGCTGACTGCCGTGGAAAGAAATCAATGCTGAAGGAGCGGAATAAGAAGCAGAGCAGAGCAAATCACGAATAGCTTCAAGATATGAGAATGTTGATTATTTACACGGACACACGGCGGAGAAAAAAAAAATCCACAAAAAATAACAAAAAAAATTAAGGAACAGATCTTTCCGAAACTTAGTTACCAAGAGGTTTGTTCTCCTCCTCCTCCTCCTGGCCAAGTGTGAAGTGAAATGAAATTTGCGAACTTTGCGCTCTTTGCATTCGTTACCTTGCCTTATAGAGGGGGCCTTTTCTTTTTCTTTTCTTTGATTAATAACAATTGATAAGGCCGGAGTTGGCCCAGAGACCTTGCTGGCTGCCTCCTAAAACTCCGAAGCTGCTGATGGCGTTGATTACCCGTGCCAGGTTGCCAGGCTCAGCCTCCTGCTCCAGCCTCCAATCCCAATTCCCGATTCCCGATCCCGAATCCACACAGCCACACAGACCCCCGGAAACCCAAGGCAAGGTGGCAAAATTTTCGCGCGAAAATGAAGATTTCTCTTATCACAATTGGCAGCTGCAGACTCGCTTTATTCTCTCGCCATCTCTTTCGTTGTTCCTCGCCCTGTCTCTGTCTATCTTCTTTTAAAGCTTCTCACTCACGTTTTTCAATTTCACAAAAAAACAAAAAATAAAACTCCGATCATCGATTGCGTCTTCAGAAATTTGTTTAATTATACTCCCTGGAGGTTTTTCGAGGCGGTGGAGCAGTAGTCTTTTACCAAAATATTCTGTGACTAATGAGACTGTAAAAGCTTCGGGGCAGAGCAGTATATTTTATGGAAAATATTTAATCATAGTTGGTTCTTGGGGATCTAAGGATTTCATCCAAATTCTAGGAGTTTTTAGGTGGTCTGGAGCAAGAAACTTTAAAACTTAAAATTAAACTCTATAGTTCATAAATATCTCACAGCAACAAACAAACCCATATTAAATCCCCTTAAATCACAACTAAAACAAGCAATTTAAATAAATAACCATTCACTGAAGATCATAATCCAGAAAGCCTTATTATTTTCCAAAAACATAAACCCCATCCGCCCTGTTAGCCCGCTCATTACGCATACGCCCGCAGTGCCTAGTGAACTCCAGGTGCTCATCCCGCCAGACGTTCTGGCGACCATCCTAGACACTTTCGGGTTATTCCCTGGCCAACATCATCCAATCTCTACAGTTTCCCTTTATTTTTTTTTGTGGTTTCGGGTTAACTGACCCCGAAACGATTAGCAGCAACGGCGGTCTGTGGATTGAAAACTAGCGACAAATGAACAAAGGGTCGATCCTTGCTCCTCTCAGACTGGCCAAGATCGGCATGGAACTGGGATTGGGATTGGGATTGGGATCGGGATCTTGGGGCCTTCTTCTTGGCCAAATTGTTCGATTGTTTATGGCTGCCAACAACGCCCACCGAGTAAAGTTTTGCTGCTGCTGCCGCTGTGGAGGCCAAGTGAGAAACCAGCAACAATCATCTGCCGGCTGATAAAGTGCCAGCTTCCCCCCTCCACCACCTCCCTCCTCACCTATGCTGTGTATGTGTGTGTGTGTTTTTTGTTGTGTCGCTTATCGGCGAGGATCGATCGCAACTTCCACACAGTGAGGCAAAAGAGACCTGAAGCCGAAGACGTCGGTCGAGAGCTGATTTAACAAATTGATAAACAATTGTTGGCGTTGGCCATGGAGAAGAGGGCTAAGGGGGGGCTTGAGCTGGCAGTGGGCATCCGGATGGGAGGGAGGAAGGCAGGGAGGGGGCGGCGTAACGTTACGAAATGGCTAAACAAACGATCGGAGCGATCGCCGTTTCGGCGAAGACACTGCATGTTTCCAGATGCGAAATCGATTTCATATGCCAGTGCGTAGCCTTGGGATTCCGCCACGCACTTAAAAGGGTATTAAAATGACTATTCAAAAAATTGTTTATACACAAGGAGGTTACTAACTACATTTTCAAATATTAGGCACTATTAAATCTTGCTAAAATATCAAAAAATCTGTCAGGTATCTGATTCAAAAAATTTAAGAAATGTAGGCTCTTTTGAAAACTTAAACATTTTTAGCAACCTCTTGATTTTTATTCTCCAAGCTACCAGCCACCAAAACAATGAAAATAAGGAGAGGGTGTTGTGATGGCACTCGCTTGAGACAATCGCTGGAGAAGATCTGCTGCACCAGCACCATCACCATCTCACCATTGCAGCTAATCCTCGACGGTGGAGCAGAGGCAGCTGTCGCTGGGGGCTTCGAGCTCAGAGGCTGGGGATCTCTGAGTCTGGAGACTGGAGACTGGAGGGGGGGGAGATTGGAGCTAAAGTCAAAGCCATTGTTAGCTGTTAGTCTCCCGTTCACAGTCTATCGGCGCTCGGCCATCTCACTCTCTCCTCCCCTATCCCTGGGAAGCACCCCGAACCGATCCCTGCCCGGACAAAACACTTTACGTGTGCGGCTTATCGCTACCCAATCGAAGGCAATAAATATCTTACAAATAAGCAGAATGCCTCGGAATGCCAGCAGTGAGCCCTTTTGTGGCAACGACGGGGTCAAGGAGTGACGGCGGCCGGGGTGAACTGAGGAGGGGCGAACTGATTCTTCTAACCGATTGCTCACGTGCAGAATTGTGTGAATTCGTGAAAAATCGACGGCGGCAATTAGGGCGGGCCGTCAATAGTTTGGCAACAGTTGCAACATTTGTGGCAGTGGCAGCAATGAAAAAATAAAAAAAACTTTTGAAATCAAAAAACAACAAAAACCAAGCATGAAATCACAAAGAAATCAAAAGACTTAGGCGACAAACTTGATTTTTACAGAGAGAAGTGGAACTATGGAATTATAGTTGGCTTTTAATTTTAAAAATATTTAATTCTATATTATTAGTCAATTTATTTTAAAATAAAAATGAGTTAAATAAGAGTGTATTATCCTGCCCAGAAAGCAAACCATTTCGCCTCAGAATTTAAAAAAAAAACTAAAAGAGTTTTCCCTTTAAGATTCTTTCTCTGTTGCCCGTACTCTACCGCTCTCGATGTGCTGACATTTCAATAGCCAGCAATTGACAGGTCAACGCGCATCTTCACCAGCCTCCAAAATGGGGCTATCCAGAGGGGAGTGGGCGGTCTGTGGGTATTGAAGAAATATACAAAAAAAAATCGTTTTTGGAAGCTGTGGCCCGCACGAGCAGAGCCCAGTCGAGATGTCGAAATTCTGGCGAAGCGAGATGCAAACTGCAAGCTGCGCCTGCTCTTATCCTGCAGCTCCATCTTCATGCCATGTCCATGTCCATGTCCACGTCCACTGGCTTGTCCACTCTCCGCACTCTGTCTGTCCGCTGCACCATAATCTCGGCCAGCATCGCCGCACTGGTCGTTATAATATTTTGCCTTGGCCCGAAACCGAAAACAAATCAGATGTCAGTTCGGGATTCTGGCCAACTTCCAGCGGGCCCTCTCCTAATCATCAGTGGTCACCAAGATGCCACCAAGCAAGCGCTTTTCCTTACTCCCCACATCAGCGTTTTTCCACGTAAGAGATGGCCAATCCGGATAAACTTGCTCTTCTCCCCCCCGGGATGGTCTTGGGTTCGATTGGATTTCCTTTTTCCCTCCCGCTGGCTCTTGTCGCATTGTTTTCACAGCTCGCTGACCAGCCTGACAATTTGTTCGATAATAATTGCCAAAGCAGCTGGCTGACACATAGATCTTGGCCGGAATGGGGCAATAAGGGATTCTGGAGGATTCTGGGAAACCAATTTGGGGGCCTTAAAGTCGTTCTTGCCATATGCTCGTTGTTTGGTCAAGGATTCAGTTCCCAGGATGGTTTTCTAAATTGGGGAATTAGGATTATATTTTTTTTAAACAAATATTAATTTATTCCATAATTTTATTTCCAGATTCCAAAGATTTAACCGCACAGGAGCTGGGCGAGGAGAAGCAGCTTCATCAGCTGGAAGATCAGCTATCAGATCAGATGGAAGATTCCTCTGATAACCACGAGAATACCAATAACAACAATAATGAGACGGAGGAGGACGATGTGTCCGAGCAGCCGGAAGAGACTAATGCCGAGCAGGCTGAGGATTTGATGGAAACAGACACGATGGATCAGAATCACGAGCCCCAGCCGGCCAAAGAGGAGGAGGAGGGAGAGCGTCAGGGAGAAGAATTGCCACCGAACTCTCCCAGCACACCACCGAGAAGCCCTTTGTCGCCCCATTTGATTCCAAAGCTGGAGCAGCCCTGCACTCCGCCCTCAGAGCCCGAGGCAGAAGCATCGCCATGCCCATCACCCTCCCAGGTGGCTCCCAAACTGCCCAAGCTGCGATTGAACGCACTCCTGGCCTCAGATCCGGCCCTCAAGCCGGATGCCAAGGAACTGAATCTGCCAGAGCCGAGTCTACTGGCACCTCCGCCGGTTAGCAAGCCGACCCAGCCAGAGGTTCTGGAGCCCCTACTGAAGCAGGCTAGGTTCATGTGCTTGCCCTGCGGCATCGCTTTCAGTTCCCCCTCGACTTTGGAGGCCCATCAGGCCTACTACTGTTCGCACAGGAAGAAGGATGCAGAGGAGGATCAGGCAGCTGGCACGGGCGACAAATCAGGAGGAGGCGGAGCATCCTCGGGGGCGTCAGGATCTGGTTCGGGAAGCGGATCCTCGGAACCGCCGGCCAAAATGGCCCGGACTGGAAAGCAGTACGCCTGCACCCAGTGCTCCTACAGTGCCGACAAGAAGGTTTCTCTCAACCGACACATGCGAATGCATCAGACATCGCCGGCCACTCCCAGCCTGGTGGTGGCCAGCTTGCCGAATCTCGTCCAGAACGGCTTGCCGGCGGCCGGTGTGCCAAGCAACTCCCTGGAGGAGAGCTCTAGTCAAGTGAGTAAAGTGTTGAGGCTGTGACCCAGTAATTGGAGTCTGAATTAATCCCAATTTCCAATCCTGCCCAGCAGCAAACGGATCGCTACTGCAGCGACTGTGATATCCGGTTCAACAACATAAAAACCTACCGGGCCCACAAGCAGCACTACTGCAGTTCCCGCCGGACAGAAGGTCAGCTAACCCCCAAACCGGATGCATCTCCCGGCGCCGGAGGAGGTTCGAGTGCATCGGGATCGGTAGCCTCTGCAGTTGGAGTGTCTGCCCAGGCCACAGCACCCGGAAAACTGAGTCCCCAGGCTAGGAACAAGACACCCACGCCGGCAATGGTGGCTGCTGCGGCGGCGGCTGCAGCGGCAGCAGCAGCTGCCTCGTTGCAAGCCCCACCACCTCAACCGTTTCTGGCTCTGCCCACCCATCCCATCATCATTATTCCGTGCTCTCTGATTCGGGCCGCCAGCATCATTCCAGGGCCATTGTAAGTCTTAAAAAATGGTGGAGAAATACGGATCTTACTCAGGGATGTATTCGTTATTGCAGGCCCACATCCGCGTCGGGAATCGTGAATCCGGAATCCACCCTCTTTACAGTGGAAAACGGCGCCATCAAGCCTCTGGCCACCGGCTTGCTGGGAAGTGCCCTGGCCGGCAGTGGAAACCAGTTAAGCAATTCCAGCATCAACCTGCACAACCTGCCCATTCCCAGCCTGGAGCCAGAGCGTCCCTCAGCACCCTCATCCGCCGCAGAAGCCATAGAACCCAAGAGCAGTCCACCGGAGCCCAAGCGCAAGGAAGCGGGAAGCACTCGGTAGGTTTATATTGACCTAGCTCTTGATTATCCTGCATCCTTTCTCAGAATAGCCAAGTACTTAAGATACATCCTATTTTTTCCATCACTTTTCCTCCTTTAGAGAATCTGCTCCTTTGGACCTTTCCCTACGCCGCTCCCCCATCTCTCTGAACTCCTTGAGCCTGAGACAGCGACAATTGCAACAGCTATTCGACATGGAGGAAGTCCTTGGACTGGGAGCCATGGGAGGAGGTATTACAGGCAAGGAGAATATAAACACTGCGACTGCCGGCGCTGGAGGCGGAGGTGGAGGAAGTGTCACTCCCGAGCAGATAGTGTGTGCACCCTCCCTGCCCAGCAGTCCCTCCATGAGTCCTTCACCCAAACGGCGAGCCATTAGTCCGAGGAGCTCTGGGGCAGGAAGTACTGCGTCCATGTCGCCACCAGGTCTGAATGTGGCTGTACCACATCGATTGGACATGCTCTCGGCAATGCTGCCGGCAGACTTTAATCTTTCCGAATCGCTGTTGGCCAAAACCAATCCGGAACTAGCTTTGAAACTGGCGGCAGCTGCGGCGGCGGCTGCAGTGGCCGGAGGGGCTAGTGGCGCTTCACCAGCCTTCCCACCCGTTCCCGCCGCTCAAACCGGAGGCAACAACTCTACCGGAGGTGGAGCATCTGGTGGCGGCCAACCGCCACAGATCTATGTGAAACAGGGAGTGTCCAAGTGCAAGGAGTGCAATATAGTGTTCTGTAAGTACGAGAACTATCTGGCCCACAAGCAGCACTATTGTTCGGCCAGGAACCAAGAGGGATCGGGCGATAGTGATTCCAAATCGGCTGTTTCGCCCTCTAATCCCGGCGGAGCTGGCGGTGGAGCAGGGGCAGCCGCTTCCGTGGAGACCTCTCCGGTGGCCTATCAGCAGCTCATTTGTGCCGCCTGTGGCATCAAATACACCTCCTTGGATAATTTGAGGGCGCACCAGAACTACTACTGCCCCAAGGGAGGGGCAGCTGCTGCCGCTCCGGCTGGCACGCCCACAGATCCCGGGCAGTTGGCGATCACAAAGGAGAAGTGCGGAAAGTGCAAAACCCTCCATGAAATAGGACTTCCCTGCCCAGCTCCCGCCTCCAATCCACTGACCGTTCCCACCAACTCCCAACCGAGCGCCTCGAATAGCGTCAACAAATGCCCCGTCTGTGGAGTGGTCAGTCCCACGGCAGCTCTAGCCAGGAAGCACATGGAGATGCACGGAACGGTCAAGGCCTTTCGTTGCAGCATTTGCCAATACAAGGGCAACACCCTCCGTGGCATGCGCACCCACATCCGGACGCACTTCGACAAGAAGACCAGCGACGTGAATGAAGAGCACTACATGACCTGCATCTTCGAGGAGGAGAGCGCCAATGTGGTCCAGGAGTTGCCAGCATCGGCGGGAGCAGTAGCGGCACCACTAGAATCCATGGAGCATCCACCGCAGCTGTTCAACTGCGATTACTGCAACTATGGTTCCACCTACAAGGGCAATGTGGTAAGCTAGACTAGATTATATTTATACCCATGCAGAGGGTTTAAGGTACTCCGCTTAAGAATCGGATGAGAATTGGGGAAGATATAGCCATCACTGTGGCCCTATAGGGAAAAAGCCCATTTTCAAGGGATCCCATCATGAAAAATGGACAAAAAATCTAAAAAATATTTTGTCTCAGGATTTTGATGCAGAATGGTGGCGAATCTATCCAGAAATCGTTTAAGTTACTCCGCTTGAGAATCGGATGAGAATTGGGGAAGATATACCCATCACTGTGGGCCCTATAAGGAAAAAGCCCATTTTCAGGGGATCAGTCACGAAAAATGGACAAAAAATCTAAAAAATATTTTGTCTCAGGATTTTGATGCAGAATGGTGGCGACTCGATCCAGAAATCGTTTAAGGTACTCCGCTTGAGAATCGGATGAGAATTGGGAAAGATATAGCCATCGCTGTGGACCCTATAGGGTACTACATCCTGTAGGGGAAATATCCAATTGTAACCACAAGGGTATATCAACTTCGGCTCCATCCGAAGATAGTTATTCCTTTTTTAAATTTAAAAATTTTCTACTTGCAGTTGCGTCACATGAAACTATTGCATCCCCATGTGGCCATTAGTTCCCCTTCGATTTCACCGGAGACCAGGGAACAGGAGGTTATTGCCAACTCCACTCCCAATCAACACTCCAATGACGGCTCCAATGGCGAAGTCACAAGGTAGGAAGTCTATCTGGGATTTCTGGAACTGAAAATTAATTGAAACCATCCTTTTTTAGTTTCCACATTAAATCAGAGCCTCTGGATGCACCTTCCACCCTGAGCCTGGTGCACGAGAACAACAACTCACCAATACCCACGCCACACATCAAAGCCGAACCCCAGGAAATTGGGATAGATGTGGCATTGGCATCACCCCTGGGAAACAGTGGTGTGGCAGCCGCCGCTGCTGCAGCTGCTGCCGCCGCCGCCGAGGCAATGAAGAAGTACTGTTCCGCCTGCGACATATCCTTCAACTATGTGAAGACCTACCTGGCCCACAAACAGTTCTACTGCAAGAGCAAGCCCCTCCGACCGGAGGCCAACGACAGTCCGAGTCCGAATCATCTAGCAGCCGGAGCAGCAGTTGGTCTGGGCCTGGGTGTAGGGATGGTGGGTGGGGGCCAGCAAAAGAACAAGGAGAACCTGCAGGAGGCGGCCATTTGAGAGAGCCAGATGCGTTGGGAGGCGCAGCGGAAGCAGCTGGAATGGTATTACAAGTGCTTCTGAACCAGAGACGGAGCAACCGAACCTAATCGAATCGAATCCTAAGCTTAGCCAACATTACCCTGTAAACTATTACAACTATACTATACTTAAAACCGTAATCTGTAATCTATAACCTGTAATCGACGACAGTATTCTTGGAGAATCTCCCTGTCGCTGCCCTCCACTTCCAATATGCCACTTGGGGACTGACTCCTACGACTTATCGATCGATAGCAGTAGATATATACATACACCATACACGCATAAACATATATAGAATACAATACATAAAATCTAAATATATATATAGACATATAGACGCATACCCATGAAGTGGGCACCATGACATATAATGCATGCCAAAGCTTACCACTTAGAGAGAAACTACAAGTTTGCAAGTAATACGGATTGTGGAGAGATCAATAGCAGGAGGAGGAGCAAAAGTAATCCTATTTAGATCCATTATTATATATATATATATATATATATTGTAAATGCCCAACAGCCTCACTCAGAGGCGTGGCGATTAAAACTGTGTAATTTAACTGAGTACATTATTTATTAAGTGTGTGCGACAATAAAAGTAATTAATTTATTCAAAAGTGGGTGTACGAGCAAAGGTTTTCTGGGAGCTGTAAAAGCTTAAAAGGTGCGTATAGACTTTCTTATCAATATATAGTACAATTATTACCTATCTAGATTAAAAAGTACAAGAAATTAGATTCAATAAATGGCCATCACAGCTCGAACCCCTATTTAATGACCTCATCGATTTTTAAAAAGAGAATACATACAATATTTTAGCAACTTGGTAAGACGAAGTTATGATACCCTACATTTAGCTCCATTTGAAGAAATTATATTCAGGAAATAGACCCTTTCACGTGCTTCAGATAACAATAACCTCAAATATTACAATTTAATAAAATTAATTTCAAGAATTAATCAAACTCGTGGCTCAATTAAATATAAACAAATTAATATTTTGTTTTAGATCTTATATACTTTTATTGAAATCATGGAGTACATACGTTAGCTTGTACTTAATGTAATCAACAAATAATTTCGTTACATTTATTCAAAATAATAAGATGACAAAATATAGTTGCAACTTCGTTTACTGGAATCACTGTGAACGTGGGATCTCCCCATCTCAAGTTCTCTGGTGCCGGAATGGAGAGTAACATGCCACGCAGCCAATTCTCCGGCATGACTCACTCATCCGTGTAGTGGTGAAGCCTCGCTGATGCATAGAGAACATATAAAGGTATATTTTAAATGATGGTAGAGTGCTTTAAATGCGACAACGTTATTTTGTAACTGATAATTGGGGGTTTTTGCAATTGTTCGCATTCGCATTTGGTTCGTAGGTATTAGTGTTCCTTTTGAATTACATCGACTTAGAAAAAGTAAAAAGATATGAAAAGCGTTCCCGAAAACGCTCTCCGCCTAGATGTTTTGTTTTATTTTGTTTGTGTGTGTGTGTGCTTTTTGTGGGTCGTATATGAGCTTGGTGATCATTAAATGTCTATGTGGGGAAGCTGTTTCAGCTATGGATTACTCGGTGGCCGCCATGGCGCGAGCTTGGGCACGCACACGCTTCTCGTACTCCAATCGGTTCTGGCAGTAAATAGTGTAGGCTTCCGCCTGAGCCGGATCCTTGATGTTCGGCTCATTGAGCAGGTCCTGAATACCCAGTAGAATCTGTTTAATGGTAATGGCCGGACGCCAGTCCTTCTCCTCGTCGAGCAGTGACAGGCAGACGGTGCCAGATGGATAGACGTTCGGATGGAACAAAGGCGGCTCAAATTTGCACTTCGGTGGCGAGGTGGGGTAGTCGTCCTTAAAGATCATGCGCAGCTTGTACAAACCTCCCTCCCATGGGGTCGACTTCTTGCCGGGAATGGCGCACTCCCAGATCATCAGGTTGAGAGTGCCATCAGGATTCTTGGCCGGACGGGCCACAAATCCAAAGGGATGATCTTTCCGCCACGCCTTGCGCTCCTCGCCTAATCGTGTGATAGCAATGCCAGACATCTTTCAACGTTTTCCCACTTTACGCAAATTGCAGTTTGCTGTACACGCGCGTCTGTCGAGATAAATGTGTGTGTGGGTAAGAAATGCTTTTGACCCGGTTTCTCTACTTCTTTGCGTACTAATCGCATATTTATTTACCTTTTCAATAGCTTAACTTCGATGTGGCAGTTACTCTAACAGCTTTAGATGATCGGCTAAGTTATTTCAACTTTTTTTGCAAATTCTAGCGCAATTTTACGATGGAACGCTTGTTCTCTGAAAAAGGGCTAAAATTGCTTTGCGGTGTAGGTCACACTATCGCCAGACGTACCGAAAATGGTATGACCATTTGTGGGTTTTAGTGTTGGTAAACAGTATGCTTGGATCGGTTAAAATATTTCATAAATTTTTATGTTTTGATTAAAATATGAAATAAATTTATAAAAAATTAGTTCCCATCTCCAAAAAGATTATTTTTCTTATTTAATATAAAAAACTACTCCATGGTATTTTTTTAAATATTCATATTTTTTATTTAAACCCTTTATTGTGCCACAAAAATAATTTTCTGGAATTTTTTTCAAATGGTTTCAGTTAGAGATCCTTTAGTAGATTTATTGGAGAACCTTTCATTGAGTCTCAAAAATTGGAATATATTTGTATTTAAACATCATTCTTAAATGTACTCCTCCCATGCATGGGAGTTACATAAATTAATAGGTGTCTAAGCAATTAATTTTTTTTTAAATCGTGTAAAAAAGTTGACAAATTAATTTTCTACAGTTGTATCCTAATCGAATAACTAAATAAGGTTTTTGTTGTGCCTGGCCAAGGAACGTAAATAACTCAAAAAAGCGATTCGTCTTTTATAGCAGTGTATGGCGTACGGATTGTACGAAGGATGTGGGACAGGAAGATGTGTAGAAGTGATAACAAAAAGGATTCTTGGCTAGCTGGAGAAGACAGGATGGATGGAAAGAATGGAGATGTTGTTCGGTAAAGTCCCAACGCCTAGCCCTACTTGGCCTTCTTGGATTCCTTCTTTTTGCTGCTGGACGAGGTGGTACCCTCTTCCTTTTCCTTCTTCTTCTCCTTTTCCGGTTTCTCCTCGGGATGATCTTCGTAGCTGGAAGAAAAAATTAGTTACAAATTAAATGTATTTTTTGCAGTAATTAATTATATGAAATCTATAAAGCTACGATAATGTCACTTATGATAAGGGGCTCGTTTATAATATTATTTATCAACTATTTTAAGCCGTTGTGATCTTTTCTAGAAATAAAATATCAGAGCTTTTTAAACACTTAGGTAAACAAGTTTAAATTCTTAAAAAACCGGTAGAACGATGAATTAAGTTATTAATATAAAGCGCAACATATAGCTAAGAAGTTCTCATCCAGAACTTTAAACTAAAAATTTATATACTTACGCAAAAAGCACCTTCAGCTCGCCGCGGATGAGGGCCACCAGCAGGGGAGTACCCATGCAGGCGGGCACCAGGTAGAGTAGCGCCGGTTGGGCATGCTTGAAGACGTGCATCACAAAGATGGTGGCCAGCAGACCCAAGAAATAGGCAGTCAGCGTGGAGTAGAAGTAGATCCTTGTCTTTCGCTTCTTGCTGTCATCGAAACGGAGGAGGAGGGCGATGAAGATGCCTGGGATGACGATGTCTCCCAATCCCAGCATGGCGAAGTTAGATGCGTTCAGGCCATGCTCGATCAGATCCTGGGGAAAAACTAGCTTGATGGGCGCCTCGAAGCTCTTGGCCACGGTGACCATCACATTAGTTCCGAACACCCAGAAGATGTCGTAGAAGAACAGTCCGCTGAGCAGGATCACGCCGGTAACAAAGTTGTTCAAATGCAGCATCTCCACACCATTAATGGCAAAGGCCAAGCCAAACAGGTTGTTGGCAATCCAGTGCTTCTTCAGCAGGTACCAGACACCAATGACGGAAGAGATCACTAGGCAGACGATGTCGTGGGTGGAGAATCGATAGTTGATGATGTCCTCCTTGTGTTTACCCTCGCCCTTGGTAAAGAGGATGTGGAAGGGTACCTTGGGCACGGCTGCCGGCATCAGGGAGTTCATCACCGGACTAAGCAAGTGCGCCAGCGCAATCACGCCCAGAACGAAGAAGTAACCGGTGAGCAGGTAGTTGATGTGCACCTTCTGGAAGACCTTGAAGAACAGGTACAGGCCGAACAGTGCCGCCGAGGCTATCAGCGGGAAGTACATGGCATCTTTTTTGGTCATCGTGTCGGCCTTTTCGCCCGTCGACTGCAAAGGAAAGTGAAAGGGAAAGTTATAGGCGAAACTCTGGCCAAGAATTGGAGAAATCTACAACCCCACCTTCTTCAGTTTGTGCAGCTTGACGGACCGTATGGAACCGAAGATAATCGGCAACATGGCCATCACCACAAGGCTGCCGTAGGCAACCGCCATGCCCTCCGGAGTGGATGGCTTCTTCTCCACCGGCGCCGACTCGTTCTTGGGCGCGCTAACATTCTCAAAGATGCCCTTGATGGTCTCCTTCACAGTTCCAATCACTTCCTCAGCCATGCTCCTGTTCTAGTCCCGTTCCCCGTTAAAATGCAAAATCCGGCCTGTGGGGGTGAAATATGAAAATGCTGAGTGACACGCAGCAGCAACACGTCAACAATCTTTCGGCTCAGTGTGACGTCCACGAAACGGTAATATTTTCGCACCATTACCAAATGGTCACACTAAGTGCAATATTTTTGACGATATTTTTTGGGTTTATTTGGTTTTCTAAAATAAATGATACACGATTTATTATAAAAACATATAACTATTGTTAAAAATTAACAAAAATATTAAGCAGTTTCAGTAAAAACTTTTTTTCGCGCCAAAGTCACGAGATCTGGCAGCACCGCGCTTTTTTAAATGCATATTTTTTAAATCTTTATTTTCAAAATATTTTCTAACATTATAATTTTATACATTTATCAATATAGTGTACAAATTTAAATTATTAAAAAAAAATTCCATAATATTCGCATTTCTGTTAGCCTTGTTATCAAAACTTTACTTAATATCTTTAAAAGAGCTGCATAATGAATCTACGAAGTCATTTGAAATTCTGTGACTAACTAAAGTTTACAATTCTTGTAAATTTTAAAATTTGCAAACAATTTTTAGCTATCTGTAAATTGAATAAGCAATCAATGAAAAAATTGATCTGTACAAGGATTAGTCGATCCATAGAAATTTAATTATTTGTATTATTTAAAGGTTTTTTCGATACTTTTTCTACACGATGAATAAAAAATGATTTTTATGTAACTATCTTTAAAAATGAATCATTTCATTCCAATTGTATCCAGAGAATGGGGATGCTATCGCCATCTCCACTTGACAGAACCGAGAAAATAGAGATATCAGAGCCGGAGCCATGTGTTAAAGTTGGACCGGCATTCAGTTCCGTTCCGGACGCCGAGAGTCAAACACTGCACATATTCTTCCAACCTGATATAAATATATTTAAATGATGTCGAGAGTAGAGATAAACCCACATATTTCCGGTCATGAATTACTGAGGCTACTGCAAATATGTTTTTTGTTTGTTACCGCATCCGTTCCAGGCGCCAACTGTGAGTCTATTAAATTCCTTGATTGTACAAGGCGATGATAATAACTTGAAAATATTCTGTCTAGCCGATACGGATCCTAGCACTGGCAATGTCAAGGCTGTAGATCGTCTTCATGCCGGGCTCTTCCTCAACTACAACAAAAATATCCAGCCCCAATTCGAAGGAGTGCCGACACCGGTGGGATTGGGTATAACCATTACCTATTTGGATGTCGAAGAGATGAGTGGCAAGCTTAACGTTCACTGTTGGCAGAATATAGTAAGATTCCATATAATAACAACTTAATGAAGTTAAAAAAACAAAAGTTAATTGATAAGCTTCATGGGAAAAACATGTTTTTTTATTTTGTTTCTCATAAAAAGATTGCAGTGTTTCCCCTTTGTAAATCCAAGTGAAACAAAGGAACTAATCCGGTACTTCTAACACCAAAGCCATTCAAGATAATTTAAAAAGAAACCTATATTTTATAGCGCTGGAGGGATGAGATGCGAATCTGGACGCCATCGGAGTATGACAACATAACTGAGATCACCCTGAAGGCTAGCGAAGTTTGGAAGCCGGAAATCAAGCTTATGGACGGAAACGATGGCGGAAGCCTTGATGACAACCATGTTATTTTAACCCATGATGGGCATTTCCAGTGGGTACCACCAGCCATGTATTTTGCATACTGTAACCTCAATATGATCAATTGGCCGCACGATCAGCAAACCTGCAAGCTAAAGATCGGATCCTATGGCCTGAAGGATATCAAGTCGGACTTAAATTTTACGGGAAAGGGCGACCTTTCCTCCGCCAAGGAGTTTGATAGTTCGGTTCCATCCACCGAATGGGAGATCGTAGACTCCAAGGTCAAGTTTGTTAGCCAGGACTACTACGGTTATTTGGAGTATACACTGACAATACAGCGTCAATCCTCCATTTACAAAGCCATCATCTATACGCCAGCCTCGTGTATAGTTATCCTCGCATTGGCCGCATTCTGGTTACCTCCTCACATGGGCGGCGAGAAGATCTTGATCAACGGATTACTCATCATAGTGATAGCTGCCTTCCTGATGTACTTTGCCCAGTTACTACCAATTGTGGCCAACAAAACGCCGCTTGTGGGTGAGTTAGATGAAAGTTATCTTATTATTTAGAAGTTTTTTAATAATATCCCCTCTTTAAAATCCTTTTTAGTCATTTTCTATAGCACCACATTGATGTTCCTCAGCATATCTACCATCATTGAAGTGGCTGTCCTTTATTTGGCCACAGCAAAGCACAAGAGACGTATACCTGATATCCTTAAGAAGCTTTTGCACGGAAAACTCGGCACCTGGCTGCTCCTTTCGCAGTTCTGCGTCAGCCTGGAACCGAATTCCGATCAGAACAAGGAAATGGACGAGCACCTGTACGAGAATGGGAAGGATGTCGACGATGATGCCACTAATCCACTGGACATTAATCCCAATGAAGTGGCAGTATCTCGGATTATCCAGTTCGATTGGGTTCTATTGGCCACTGCTGTAGATCGAGTGTGCTTCCTGGTCTTCAGTCTGGCCTTTTTGATTTTGGCCATTATTTGTGCTGTCTAGGATGTAACTAAAACAATAATGCTAATATATCTCGAATAAGCTCTTAATTTGAAAAATTGTATACTAATTTGGTTCTCCCTAAAGCTTATTCAAGAGATAGAAGCATTCAATCACTTATACTTCCGTTTTTTTAAATGATTACCTGTATTTTATTCTTTTGTGCGAACTTAGAATTATATAATGAAGATGAACCTTTTTTTGGAAATAAAGGATTCTCTACCGAATGCATAGGCTTACAACTAAAAGCGAAGGATAACAGGCGAAGTAACAAATTATTTCTCGTTCTCGAGTATATTGCTCTGCGATGCTCCAGGTTATCACAATTCCACAATTAACCCAAAGTAGCTGGAATTATGCGAAATGTCCTTTTTACGGCCAAAAGGTCTGACCCTTGTCGGATGGGTGGACTCTGCGCTGCTCTCTCTCTCCCTGCGCAGTGGGTGGTCGATGCGCATCCTCCATCCCCCACTCCCAGTGACCTTCTCCACCTCCATTTCATCGAAATTCGGGAGTTTACAACCCCAACGACAAATTGGGGTTGCCCTGGGCTCAATTAAATGCATTTGTGGTGGGAGTGCCCTGGTCGTAGTTGCCCGTTGAGGATGTCCTGGTCGTATCTCCTGTTGTCCCAGCTTGGAATGGTGTAGAAAATGTCGCAGCACCAGAGCCGGATGCTCCGGATACGGCAGCGGCGGCGGCGGTTGAGGTGGAGACGGTGGCCAGCCCAGGCGACGGTTGTGAGGAGGCCGTGGATGGTGAGGAGAATCCCAGACTGGAGCTCGTCGAGGCCGGCGACGTATGGTGCGGATGCAGGAAATGGGGCTGCCCCAGTTGATGATGCGGATGCGAGTGCTGGTGGTGCTGCTGGTGCTGATGATGGTGGTGGTGGTGTAGCGGCGGCGGTGGGTGGCGGGCCAGCTGCATCCCTCCGCCGCCGTGGTGATTGTAGGAACCTAACATACTGCTGGCCGGATCTCCTCCCTGCGCCTGAGCCTGACAGGCAGCCATTAGGCCGTGGAAGTCGAACTTGTAGGCATACCGCTTCCCATGCACCTTGGTCATTATATTTTTGTCGTAGTAATACCTGAAAGGTGTAAAAATATATATTTAAAGACCCAATACTTTTTTAAAAGTAGATTTTAGCTTTCACTAATTTTTAAAATTAAACAATTAAAATAAAGAATAACTCACCTGAGTGCCCGACTTAGCTTGTCGTAGTTCATGTTTGGCTTGGCCTTCCTCTCGCCCCATCGCCTGGCCACCTCGTCCGGGTCTGTGAGCCGGAACTCGCCCGATTGGCCCTCCCAACTGATGCAGGTGGCGTTGGACGAATCGGCGAGCAGCTCCAGCAGAAACTGCCATAGCTGTATCTGGCCCCCAGAGCCCTGGGCGACCAATCGGTGCGAGGCAGCGTTCAGCAGCTGATACGGATCTGGAATGAGAGAAGCACCACAAGGGGGTTCATTAGTCCGCAGATACAGATATACAGATACAGATACAAAACAAGAGATACACGGAGAGGCAGAGAGCTAGCCGGGGAGAGAATCGCGAATGAAACCCAACCCAGTCAGACGAGGTTTTCTGGTGGGCGACGGCAACGTGGCATGAGTGCCAAATAGAATTGAAAGCCATAAGCCAGGCGGGATTCACAGAAAATCAACCGCAAGCGGACATAAATCCTGAGGCCGTTGTCACACTTTAAGAAAACCTGGCAAACATGTCTTCATTTTGATGGCATTTTATGAACAAATGTGGTCAAGATAATTATAATCAGTTTATCAGGGAAACTTTATATAGATCAAGTATATTTTTTAAAAAAATATTTATTTGTTTCAAGGAAAAGCTTTAACTTTTATACTTTCATGAAAAGCAAACAAAATATTTGTATTTTATTATTTGAAGTTTTTTTAGAGCGCTTATCCAGGATTAAACTAGAAATATTTGTATCCTTTTACATAAGAAAATATGGGTTTATAGAAAAATATATTAAAAATGTTAAGCATATTTAAACTTTTGAATATTTTGGATAAGCTTATTATTTTTCAAATTATACCAAAACAAGGAACTGTCGTGAAATACCCTTTTCCATTTTTAAATCCCCCTTCTTTACCTTGTTTGGAAAAAACAAAGAACTGAATAAACAGCTGAAATAATCATAAATTGTAAATAAAAATTCTCAGAAAATTGCACCTCGGACAAGGAATCCTGTTCTGGTATGATAATAGGCTTGGCTATCCGGCACTGGGACATTCCCACTATATGCTCCGTTCACCTACGCGGGAAAATCCCCTCAAAGTGCCGCGGCCAAAGTCGCGAAAGTGCCTTGACGCGGATGATTCATCCCAGTGCCCGGTGCCGGTGACCAGATCAAGCAGTGCCGCCGCCAAGAGCCAGCCAAGAGTCCCCGGCCCGCAGCAGCACCATGTGGCCAACCATTCACATTTCTAGACGCAGAAACACTGATCACCGGAAATGCCAGCAACCATTGAGAAAGCTCCTCGTCGCCGTCCATTCATTCATACATTCAAGTTTGTGCCTCAGCGGAAATTCCTATGAATTTTTTGGCCAACAAGACGGCGATCTTACCATTGAAGATCATTGAGGTGTGAGCGTGCTGGTGGTGCTGATGGTGGTGGTGGTAGTGATGGTGGTGCACGGCCGCCGCCGCCGCTGCGGCGTGGTGCGAATGTGGATGCTGGGGGACGGAAGGCGTCGGCTGCATCCGGAGGCCGAAACGCCGGTTGAAATCCTCCGAAAGGCGCCACATAACGCCCACATCCACGCTGACACTCATGATGAATAGTCTTTTAATAATTCTCAGGTCTTTATATAAATTTTTATTCAGATATTTCACTTAGGAATTTCTTTTTTTGGCAACGGTATTTGTAGCATTTTGTTCTACACTCTTGGGATAATTTCTAACAGCTAAGAGGATTAGCTTTTCTTTAAAATCTTTATTTAGGAATGTGAATATTTCTGTATTTTATCTATTTTAAAAAATACTTGAGGTTGTGATTTTCAAGCTTATCATTTTCACTTTTCACATAGTTTAAGATTTGTATTTTTATTTTATTGGTTTTTCCATTGGAATTTTCACGAGAGCGTGTGAACCGCTTAGGGCGATGGCCATTTGGCAACTGAACTTTCATCTGGAATCGCTGGCCGGAATCCGCTCCTTATCACCGGACGGATGCCTGGCATCTTGGCGCTACGGCTGCGACTACGGCTCACCTGCGCAGCTGGTGGTAAATGCTGCTTCGGCATTTGCCGGAGAAGTCACAAAAGTCAGAGGGCACGTGCAGCCACTCAACCACCACCCACACCACCGCCCCCAAAGCGCAAAAAAACAAGTGACTTTACGATTTCTGAGATTTTTGACTGAAAAATACCTTCTATAAGAAATCATTTGTTTATTTTTAAAATGTCATATAATTTTTTGTTTATTTTAAAATTAGAAAACAAAAAAATGCGTGGGGGGAATATTTGGGAATTCCAAAAAAACAAGAAAACCATAGATTTTGTTTCTAGAATTCATATGATCCTGGTTTTGATTAGTTTTTAATATTTTTCCTAAAAGGATGTATGTCCTTGACTATTATATACCCTTTATATATCCAAATACCCTGCATTCAAAGGGGGCGTGGACTCAGACAGTGAAGCACAAACAACAATTGTAATCTGCGTGACGGCGACGACGCGTAATCCTCTTTGGCATAAAAAACAAATCAATTAAATCGACGTCGCACGCTTGCGGGGATCAGGGTAACCTTTACACAGGCCCACCGCCAGCATATGCCAGACCCAAATCAGGAGGCTTTCCTTAGCTTTTCAGCAACCGATGTGGCTGATGTTGCCACAGGAAGGATGCGACGAATGAATATTTTCCTGTATTCCCCCACCCCCAGTCAGGATCCACGGGGGCAGGAGTGAGGATTCTGAAGCTGACCACCCGCAGAGCTGTTGTCACTGACAAGCCAACCAACCAAACCAACCAAACCACCCAGCCGCATAGTCATCCTCTGCCTCGTTGAGTCCTTAAACTTGACTCGGCGACTTTTGTCGCTGGCGTGGGATTATTTTGATTTTATTATTAGATGCCACATCCTGCGAGAAATTATCATATTTACATCGTTTATTATTAAGTTCATCACTTGACGCGACCGCCCGCTAAGTCCTGCCACGCCCCCATATTCCCACTCCGCCCCGTTGTCATCATCAGCAGTTAATAACTGGAAAAGTGTTGCATACTTTGCTGCTGTCGCCCCTGAGATTTTCGGCAGCGATTTACGTTTATGGAGTTTGGAAAGTTTGTCTTGGAGGAGAGGTAATTAAAAGGTTGTTCACTGGGAGATGGGAAGGGAGATCCTGGCGCACCTTTGGCCACTTTTCTTCGTTATCGGGGCATTAACCAAAAGGGGGGTAGAATTAAGTGTGGGAGGAGGAGTGTGGGAAAAACAATCAATGAAACACATAAGTAACGCGTCTATCGGCAAGTCAGCATCTTAATCAGTGGCCATTTGGCTTCTCGGAGAGGTCGAAAGGATTCAATTGATGTCCTGACCACAAAGGACTCGCACGCACACACACACACTCTCCTAGAATCGCTCCGTTGGGAATTGCACGTGAACCCAATTACCAAGCAGTTCAATCTCTGGCCACTGGACGCTCCAGATTTATGGGCAGCGAGATTAGCTTTTCTTTCGGAGGAAAGTTATTTCTAAGACTAAACATGAGCCAAGTTTATAAGAAGAAGTGTTTAGGGATATAGCTGAAAGGACTCTCTAGGTAGAGGCTTGATTTTCCTAATCATTTTGAAGTTCTTTATCATTTTATTCGTCATTAGATCCTTTATAATTCTTAAAACTCCCATAGATTCAAGGAATTAAAATTAATTGAACTACTTATAAGTGGAGGTTACCCTTCCCAATTTCCTTGGAAAATTAAATACGTAAATGCGTAAGTTGAGTTCCAGGTACAACTAGAAAATTGCTGGTTTATCTTTATAATTTGTAGAAAATGGCCTACTGCAAAGGCCCTACAAACAACTCAAGATAATATACACTTATCTTTTATTACTACGAATATTGTTTATAGTATAATTGCATTATAAATCGTAAGTGAAAGCAACAACTATAGGTCATTGTTCTACAATTATTATAAGAAAAGCCTATAAGATCTACTCACTTGGTTCGTTGTCATTCAGCATGGGACTCGTCTCGCGTCCTGTGGCCTGATACAGACTCAGGGCAAAGTGCTTGGCCAGGAGCGTGCCGCCTAGCCTGGATCCTGCACAGACCCAGAAATCGGCCCGACTCAGTTCGCAGAGCTCTCGACCCTCCTTGGGAAACCTGGTGATGTCCGGCTCTGGATCAAGCTTAAACTTTCGCGTAGACCACTTCACCCAGCTGGCAATGTCCTCGGCGGTCCAGGCATGCGGATCCACCGGCACCTCCACGGGTGTGATGCTCCTATAAGAGTCGGTGGATTCCCTTCTGGTTGGTTCTGGAGGCGGGTGGGGAGATTGAGAAGCGGTAGGGGGAGTGACCGCGTCCAGGGACGCGGACTCTGGTTTATTAAGGGCGGGTACTGGACAACTTCTGCTCGAGGAGGCGGAGGAGGAGCTACTGACTTCCGAGGTGTCAGAGTCAGTAGAAGAATCCGAGGATGAGTCACTGGATGATTCACTGGTAGAACTACTGCTACAGCGTCTTCCTCGCCTCCTTCGTCTTTGTCTGCTAGGTGAGGTTGCTCCTTCAACTTCGGGCGCATCCTCCTTTTTCTTCGTCTCCTTCGCTTCCAGTTGGACTTGGTTGCCGCATCCGATGCTCTTCTGCGGGACATCCTGGTGCATGGCATTCAGTGGCCTCTGTTGGCACCAAACACTTTGTATCGTCTGGAGCTGGATCTGGATGTGACTAAGGCTTTGTAGGCAATTCTGCAGAATAGCCATTAAATTTTAATTCTTTTTTTGGTCACTTGACGATTTTTTATCAGCTTCCGATTTTTGAAAACTTTGTGTTATTTTCATGTAGATTCATTATACAATTTATTAAGAAATATTAAGCACACGGTTTTATTTTATCGGAAGAATGAAATCACAATTAAAAAACAATCTCAAAATTGTTCACTAATAACTTTTCTTTAGAATTCACAAAGGTTTTTAATTTATATTTCTTGAAAACAGCTTGAAATATTTTAAAAAACTGAATTCTGCTTCCGTTGTTTTATTATTTTATTTTTAATTTACTTATGAGTTTTTTATTTAACACTTTTTTTTTATTTTAACACCATCTCAGCAGCAGATCTTTGGTATTTTATTATTTTTACCATTTAATATCATTTGAGTTTCCTTGGAAATGCACTTTATTGATATTAATATCGAAACGGATTTAGGATGTGAGGCCACAACAAACCCGGATGATTCACCAAGGTATTTCACCTGCTGGCCAAACAATCGTGGATCCACTTTCCTTCCACGTGCCGCGAAACCGTGAGTTGTGGAAATCTCTGGCGGAAAGTTAGCGATTGGAAATTTTTTAATAACCGCTATTGACCGATTACCGGGTCCGACCTGGCTAAGGAGGCCTGATCTCTGATCGGGACTGTGTATATAGAACTATAATATTTTTTTGCGTCCGCACCGATTCAGCGTCGAACGCCAAGTGACGAATTAAACGATCACCCTCCCGGCCAACGGTGTGATAAAGCAATGACGAAGTCACCGTTTGCGAGCTTTTTGCTCCCCCGAGTGCCTCATGATCAATCGGCTCGATGGGGAGAGAACCACGTAGAAGCAACCGGTTCCCTGGCCAAATTGGCTACCGGCCTGGCCAAAGTTTTCGCTCTGGAAAGCTCTCGGAATCTTTCTCCGCTTATCGCCGGCAAATAACAACCTTAAGCATGACGTCGTGGAACTGGGCTTACTGGGCCGGATGAGTCACTCGGGCACACATGTGGATACGATCGCCGGTTTGGTCGGTGGCGGTCGGTGGAGTTCCCCAGGCTTTCGATGGGCTTTCGATGGGGTGGGTGGGGTAAGGTCGTTTTCGGTTGAGCGAAAATTCATTCATCGATTCCCAGGCCGCTCCGATGTTTGTTTTCAGCCTTTCGACGCGTCATTTTTCTCGGAAAACTGCAATGAGTCGTTGTCTGTTGGCGGCAATCGGCCTAAATGCCTATAAGTGTTTGAATATCTCTTCAATATTTGGCAACAGGTCGCATTGCTATGATTACACTGAGAGAAATATCATTTTTCTTACTCAGTTTGTACAAAAATGAAGCAACTAATAAAGGTTGGCTATTATTTCTTATAGTATAATTGTGTTAGATTATTAAAACTTTATATTATGATTAAAATCTATAGTTTATTAAAAAGATAATACCTTATACAAAATTGTAAAGATTTTTTTAAAATATAAGTTTTTGTTTTCTGTGTCTGGGGATCAACCTCATTACCCCTTACATATGTATCCAATTTAGAGCATATCAGCTTGCAATTACGCTATTATTGTGTTTGAATTTTGTTCCGGTTTCCTGGAAACGCTTCTGAAATCATAGCTGAAGACGCTTTTGGCGTAAGTGATTCATGCTGATTCCACCACCCTCTGCCATACCCACTCGTGGTGGTGGCGCCGAACAAAACCACAATCATCCAAATCCATATCGCTCGCTGTTTATAAATATTTGCCAATAAATATATGTATAGGGATGTAATTTTTTGTTGTGACGTTGAACGAGAGCGGGAGCTTTTACGAGGTGGATACGTATACGTTTCCCGTAAGTTTCATTCATAAAATTTATAATGACTTGTAGGTTAGATAGGTTAGTGGTGTGTTATTGTGAGAAGTCTGACGAAATAGGTACTATATATGAATTGCTCATTCCGATTACGGATGTCTGAACTTTGACTAGTGGGTGCTTTCCACGGGGGCTTTGGAACTATCACGATAGTCACGGCGTTATACCATTCTGCGTTATCATTCGGATTTAATAAGTGAGAGGTACATATATAATAATTCCTAGTTAGAAGCTGGGGGTTCCTTTGATTGAAGATTTTATTTAGTCATTGTGATACCTTTGGTTTTGCACTTACATTATTTTACACAAGATTTAAATACTTAAATGAACCCACATGGATTTCTGATTTTATTTTCCTTCTAAAAGAATGAATATTTTGCCCATGACTAGTTCGGGTGTTCTCGCGTTCTTGAGTCACCTAATGCAGCTCCTCGGTGATCTCCTCATCATCCGCCTCGTCATCGTCGTAGCTTGTCGTCATGCCCGAGGTGCTGGACATTCTAGTGGCTGTGGTGCCACTTGTGGAGGCAGTCGCCTGGCGACCCGAGTTCCAGATCAGTTCAAAGTCCAGGTCACACTCCTTGGCGATTTTCTGGACCACAGCACGCTCCAAGAGCCCCGAGGCACTCCACGAGTTGTCCTTGACGGCCAGCTCCTTGAGAGCTCTGCCTGCTTCAGGATACTGCTTGGCGTATACCAAGGCCCGCACCAGCATGGCCAGGATGTGGGCGTGTCGAATGGGCGGCAGCTCAGGCTTAACTAAAGGATGAGAAGAATTAAGAAATAATCTTTAAACAATTTCCTGAGATTTCCTACCCAACACGCTGCGACAGGCCCCGATGGCGTGCTGGTGGTCGCCGTCTCTGAGTGCCTGCTGGATCTCCAGGATGCTCTTCACATCCGTCACCGTTCGCTGCAGATTGTTGTAGGCGTGCTGGGCGTGGCTAAGCTTCTCCAGGCACTTGGAGGCCTCCTGCATGGCGGTCAGAGCCTTGCCATAGTCCTGAAACTCCTCGATCTCGATCTGGGCGCAAATGGCATAAAAGTTGGCCAGCGAATCGAAGGCCTGGCCTTTCGTATAGAAGCTGACGATGTGCTTCAGGATCGTGGCATCCGACTGCCAGTCCAAGGCCTGCAGATAATTGGCAGCCATGATGTAGACCTCCCTCTGACGGGACATGTTGGCAAAGAAGATGATCTTGTCCGTGTTGCCCGACTTCAGGAGACTCTTCATGGCTCGCATTTTGTCGCCCGCCTGGGTAAACTTCTTGGTGGCGCTGTGGTAGTCGCCCTGTTGTTGCAGCAGCTCCCCCAGCTGGGTGAGGATGTTGACACGCGTCGCCTCCTCGAACTCTCCCTTTTCCGGGGTGAGCATCTCGGAGAGCTCTTCAGTCACGGGTACGCCTTTCTCCAAGCAGATGTTCATAGCTCTTTCCAGATGCCGGGTTTTGGCCAGTAGCTGCACCGCCTTCTGAAACTGTTCGATGCTGCAGAAGAAGTCGGCGCAGCGGTTTATTAGCTCCGCATCTGACTCTGGGACTAGCTCGGAGGCAATGATTTCGAGGATCTCCGGCTGCTGGGACTCAAAGGCCATCTCCAGGGCCTTGTGCAGCATCCCGGCACGGTGGTAAAGCTCCACGGCGTGTTTGAAGTTACCGCACTCCTCGAAATAGGCGGCAGCAATGGCCTTGTCCCTCTGCCGCGAGGAGCTGGCTACCGTCCAGAGCTCCTCCTGAAAGTCGTTCTCCTTGCAGATTCGAATGGCGTTGCTGAAGGTCTGGGCACGCGTAAAGAACATGATGGCCTCCTGGAATTTTCCCACATTCTCGTAGTGACGTGCCAGGTGATAGCAGGCGGCTCTGTCGCCCGACTGCCTGGCGATGGCATCCGCCTTGGAGATCTTTCCCAGGTAGCAGAGAATCTTCACTTGCGAGAACCAGTCCTCTGCTTTGTGGTAGACAGCGAGGGCAGCATCCATATCCCCCGAACTCTCGATGTACTGTCCCCACCACTTGAGCAGCTTGGGATCGGTCGTAGTCTGAATATATCGTTTCATGGCCGCCGGATTCTCCAACAGCAGCTGTGTTATATTCTGGGAGGGGTTCTGGGTCTTTTCGAAATACTCCAGAGCCCCCTTGATGTCGCCTCGTTCCCGCAGCTCCTGTGCCTTTTGGTAGTATGTGTGCTTCAGATGAATCCGATCCTCGGACTCCGCCACCTGCAGTGCCTCATCCAAGTGACCAGTGGCCTGCAGGAGTTTGTTGAGCAGATCGTACCGCTTACAGCGCCGGTACAGATCCTTGGCCTCCTCAATCATGCCCAGTTCGATGGCCAACACAGCCACCTTGGCCTCGATTTCCAGATCATCGTCTTCCATGGCCTGGCGCAGGGCTCGAACCGATCGCGCCTGTTCCAGATGGCCCATGCACACCTTGGCCACGTCCAGTCGGTTCGTGTGCACACACATCTTGGCCAAATTAGTCCAAATCACCTTTGACTGAATCGAGCGAATACTTCGATAGGCCAGGTCCATGTTTCCTTCGGCCACATAGAGACTGAAGTTCAGGACCTGCTTTCTGGTCACAGCATCGCACTGCTGAAGATCCACGAAATCCTGAAGAGGTTGCTCCTCCACCGCATTGATCTTCAGGCGAATAACATTGGGTATGCAGAGGTTGAGCAACTGAGATCCGGGGGTCATATTTTGGGTTTCCAGGACATTCAGGCTTCCCCTCTCCGAGTAAAAGAGCAAAAGTATCTTGGATTGGACGTAGTGACTGGGCTGCTGTTGCGGATTCTTCTGCGGCAGATTCTTCTGTATTATGGATCTCACCTCCATGGCCAGCAGCCGGGGCTCCTCGGAGTCCCAGAAAATACGCACCGGGAGGCTGGAGGAGGAACTATCCTTCTTGGGACCAATGGCCGCCTCGTCCGGCAGATCGTAGTCAAGAAGATTGTTGCGTTCGAAATCCCAGCAATACAACACCGATATGGGCGTGAAGTTACTGCTGGCTATCACCATTCCCAGGTGACTGCCCTGGCTATTGCACTTCACGGAAATGAACTCCCCGAAGTCGTCGAAGATGTCGTGGCCCGACTTGCTGGGAAACAGTAGTTTCGGGTCATGTCGCGAAACATCATAGGCCTTCACATAGCCATTCATGGTGAAGACCGAGAGGTAGCAGCCACTCAAATCCATTCCGATGATTTTTCCCTCGATGTCGCTGGCCTGGATGCGATGCAGTACCACTCCTCCCACGGAGTACACCATAATGTCGCTATTGGCCAAACAGAAGATGTTCTGGTTGTACAAGCTCAAGGACAAACATTCCGCGGGAAAGGTTTGCAGGAGTTTCACGCTCAAGGGAGTAGCCGTGGTTGGGGTTGTGGTCGGTGGACCCTCCACTGCCTCCAGAATCTCATCGAACTCGTCCAGACTTTTCTCGACTTTCTGCAGACTATAGGACGATATTCTGCGACCATTGCTCATCACCAGGCTCAGTTCGTTTAGAGCCAAGGCCGTGACAGCGAACTCCGACTGCACGGTGGTCTCCCTGCCACTGCAGTGCGTGAGTTGCACGGATTTGGCAGCACGCTGCACTGCCCACAGCTCCCGGGTGTGGAAAGCCAGCAGTGGTTGCTCCTTCAGCATGAAAACATTCGATAGACAGTTCACCAGCATGCATGGCTTGGCCAGCTCATTGAAACCCCACTCGCAGCTCCGGATAGCTCCTCTCACAGTGGACACATTGGTCAGCTGCCAAGCGTCCTCGGGAGCATTTACCATCCGGCTGCCGCTCCTCTTCCAAGTGTATAGGTTTCCTTGGGATGTGCCCGCACACAACGTCTGATTCGAGGAGCTGTAGGCCAGGCAGGTGAAAATCTCTCCGCTCATGTTTCCGTACTTTGGAGTTTTTCGAGTCACACTGCTGCTTTCGGTGCTGTCCTGGCTAAAGAACTGATTCGAGGAGGAGATGGTTCCGTTGCTCAGACTGGTCTGCGAAGATCCCATCTGGGTACCGCTGGGCAAGTCCATTTTAAGGAGATAGTTGTCGCTCCGTTCGATGTCCCAAATGCGAACAAACAGATCACCTGGATGGGCAGATATCGTCGTAGAAACTAACTATTAAAAAAGACTTTCCAGACTCACCCGTGATGATGGCCAGACTGTTTCCCGACCAGGCAATGCCACCTTGCCGACCACCTCCTCGTCCGCTCATTTTGACTCGATCTAGTTCCGTTAGAATTCCCGTGGATTCCACCAGAAACAGGGTAACGGTCAGATCCTCCATCAGGCAGATGACGGCATCCCTAGAAAGTATTCACTTTTAGAAGTCTGAAGACATTATTGCAATATTCCTACTTTTTTGGATGCCAGAGCATCTGAACAATGGGCGGCTGGGATCCGCACTTCATAACCTCGACACAGGCGCCTCCTTGGTTGATATAATATACCACACCGCCTTGGGTGCAGGCAAAGAAACAGTGATTGTCCCTCAACCCGGAAGGGAACATGCTGCGGGCTGCTGTGCGGGGCCTCCAGTTTGTAAGAGTATCCAAGGCATTCTCGTCTCCGGCCACTGCCGCCTTTGCCAGATTGGCCATCTCCTCGCGTACTTCGCTCTCCACCGTTCGCCGAAAGCAGATCAGGAGCAGCACCTCCCGCAGATCGTGAGAGAACATGGTCAGGAACTGATACTGGCCATCGCAGCGCCAACCGGTAACCAGGCCCATGGCATCTGCTGTTACCATCCGTCCGCCCTGTTCACTGAACTGCAACAGGACAATGGCCGCCTTGTGGGGCGCATTTACGCTGGCGAACTCCCGATGACCGGCAAACCACACATGGATGTCGCCATGCTCCCACCCGCTGGCCAGCAGTGCCTTCTCGGGATGCCAGCACAAGGCTGTAGCCTGGGAGGTGGCGTGCACTGGGTAGGTTACATCCCGTTGGGGTTCACCCTGTAGGATAAGGATAAGGACAACACTCTGTTACGATTTTTTCACCAAAGGAAGTAGGTCTCCTTCTGTAATTACGTACAGTATCTGCAAATATGGTTACAGAACCACCACGTTCCGAACTGAAAGAGGCCACCGCAAACAGTGGCTCACTGGGATGCCAGCTACTAATAGTGCTAACTGCATCCGAATCCAGGAACTCGATTTTGGTATCAAAATACAGTGTCATCCTGGAAAACTTTTACATGAATGCGGCTTAAAAGCCAAAACAAATAGAAAATGTGGTTCTTTGGCAACGGTTGCCATGTCGAACGGTTGCCATGTATTAGACCCGCAATCCTGCTTTCATTTACCTTCCAATAAATTCAACAGGTACAAAAGTAACTGGATGTATCTCTATATTTTCTATACTTTTTATTTTCTATACATATTTTTAATCTTATCTTTCGTATTTAAATCTGAAATCTTAAATCTTATAAAATAAAGTCATAAAATAATATTCTTCAATTGGAAAATATAAAGTTTTTTAATGAAAATGGCTCATGTAACTCTAAAATACATATTTAAAGTTGTCTTTAAATTTTAAACTTTCAACGCTTTGAATATCGTATGATTCGACATTCGATAACGATAAGTGTATGAGATATCGATTAACAGGCAGACCGGTATTTTTTAGTAGATTTACAGTGGAACGTGGTATTTGATGGAAAGTCTCAATATGGGGATCTGGCAGCACTGCAAATCAGATGACAAAAGGGGTCTGTTGCCTGTGATTTCTGTGGAGACTACCGGTTCAGATACAAACCGTGGGCGTCCTCGCAACTATCCGAAGTAAATTTATTCACAGTTTTTTGCTCTTTTTCTCAAATCCCACAGCAATTTGGTTACACGCTCTTCCGCTTCATCTTTCAGTTCTTGCGGCAGCTCTTTCATTATTTCGGCCCAGTAGGTGACCAACGACGGAACGTTTGTGGTCTGCGACACTATGGCCTTCTGCAAGTCAACGTACTCCGTAAATTTCTGTGTTAGGACACAGCTCTCAGCCGCCGCAGTCTTGTGCTTCTTAGTTGATGGCTTCTATCAAAAATAGTTACAATTAATTATTATAATTTAAAATTAGTCGGATTCCCTTCTCACATAGGAATATGAGCTGGAACTCTCCTTCTCCATGTCCTCTAATTCCTTCTGCGGCTTCTATCAAAAATAGTTACAATAAATTATTATAATTTAAAATTAGTCGGATTCCCTACTCACATAGGAATATGAGCAGGAACTCTCCTTCTCCATGTCCTCCATTCCCTTCTGCAGCTGTAGCTCTTCCTCCTCCAACATGTTCTGGTCGAATGAGCTGCTCGGTTGACTTTCGTCGAGGTACTCAGCAAAAATGAGTTCTGGGTCCTCGGAAATGTCGGAAGACGTTGACGCCTCTGGTGGTTTTGGTAGCGTTTTCGTTCTGTGTATTTATGAATTTAAAATTATTACAAATTTGGAAGCTTGACCCAAACTTACCGCCTTCTGTCGAAGAGGTCCGGCAAAAAAGCCATTTCTGACGCGAAGTCCCAATCATAATCGTCATTCGCCTTCGGACCGGGAACAACAGACCCTCCAGCACTTCCACTTGGCTTTTTTTTTCTGGAGATCTTCTGGTGGTAGCGCTGGCTGGCCCGCAACGATTTCCATGTGCTTTTGCAATCTTTCACTATAAAAGCCTTAGATTTTAGTAACAATTTGATTAAATATTAATTACTTACCGTCTTTCCGTAACACCGCGGCAACAGCCTGCCAGGCAGTATTTAGGCTTGTGGCATTAAAATGCCCCTTGTGGTTCAAATCCCATATTATGGGCTTCGCCCTGACCGCACTGATTAACTTCAGTTTATCCTCGCGGAACAAAAATGATTCTTTCCGAGAAATATATTTTTCCTTCCATTTTCGCCCCTTGTTTGTTTCTTTCTCCTCGTCCTCCTCCTTCTTTACGATGCTATCCGCTTCAATGCTCAGTTCCATACATAACTCTTGCTCTGAAAGTTCATCATCAATTGGTTCGTTTTTAACTCGAAAGTCATATTTTGGAAAAGGTGCAGAGCACTGACGGAGATCCTTTGCCGTATAAGTTTCCATCATTTCTTTCTGAGCAATTATTCGTGATTTTTACTCCGGTACTCTAACGACGTAAATGATGGCTATCAAATTGAATGGCGTTGCCGGATCAAAAAAAGTAAACAGCTGATCTAGGGGTGTAAAAATAATTCATTTGATTTATTTTTAAGCCTAGTACTGAGTTGATGAAAATCCGCTGTCGCACGAGTGACAGCTGTCAAACTCCATATAAAAAAAAACGGTGTAAAAAAAGGAAGAAGAAGAAATTTTTGTCTCCTAGATTCTTCCGGTACTCTGTTGACGAAAATTTTTGTTATCGAATTGAATGGCGTTGCCGGATCAAAAAAAATAAACAGCTGATTTTGGGGAGTTGAAAGAACTAATTTTATTTATTTCGATAGGTGAAACATGGAGGGAAAATTGATGAAACGAAAAAATAGTCGGCCCGTAATAAAGTGCGATTTCGCTAGCGGATTTTCGTCAACTCAGTACTAGGCTTTACATCCCAAACATGGAGCGAAAATTGAAAGAGAAATATTAGAGAGAGAGAGAGAGAAAGAGAACAGCTGTTCAGTATTACCCTTTTCCTTAATTTTTTTGGTCACACTAGCTCGGTAGCCAAATAAAGAGCGATTTCGCTAGCACATGAAAATTATGGCTGTCCAACTTTCGGCCCGCGAGGATAAGCTGAAGTTAATCAGTGCGATCAGGGCGAGGCCCATAATATGGGATTTGACCCACGAGTTGCATTTTAATTACACAAGCCTAAATAATGCCTGGGAGGCTGTTGCCGCGGAGTTACGGAAAGACGGTAAGTAATTAATATTTAATTAAATTGTTAGTAAAATCTAAGGCTTTTATAGTAAAAGATTGCAAACGCGCATGGAAATCGTTGCGGGCCTGCATGCGTTACCACCAGAAGATCTCCAGAAAAAAAAAACCAAGTGGAAGTGCTGGAGGGTCTGTTGTTCCCGGTCCGAAGGCGAGTGACGATTATGATTGGGACTTTGCGTCAGAAATGGCTTTTTTGTCGGACCTCTCGGAAAAAAGGCGGTAAGTTTGGGTCAAGCTTCCAAATTTGTAATAATTTTAAATTCATAAAGACACAGAACGACCACGCTACCAAAACCACCAGAGGCGTCAACGTCTTCCGAAATTTCCGAGGACCCACTCAATTTTGCTGACGACGAAAGTCAACCGAGTAGCTCATTCGACCAGAGCATGTTGGAGGAGGAAGAGCTACAGCAGCAGAAGGGAATAGAGGACATGGAGAAGGAGAGTTCCAGCTCATATTCCTATGTAAGAAGGGAATCCGACTAATTTGCAATTATAATAATTAATTGTAACTATTTTTGATAGAAGCCATCAACTAAGAAGCACAAGACTGCGGCGGCTGAGAGCTGTGTCCTAACACAGATATTTACGGAGTACGTTGACTTGCAGAAGGCCATAGTATCACAGACCACAAACGTTCCGTCGTTGGTCACCTACTGGGCCGAAATAATGAAAGAGCTGCCGCAAAAACTGAAAGATGAAGCGGAAGAGCGTGTAACCAAATTGCTGTGGGATTTGAGAAAAAGAGCAAAAAACTATGAATAAAATTACTACATATTTATTTCTTTTCTTTTTCTTAATTATTTTAAATGCCTGCATAATCGTCTTGCCATTGAACAGATCCCATATCCGAATTAACATAATTTTTTATATTATTTCGCACAAATTTCGGATATTCGCGAGGCCGCCCACGGTTTGTATCTGAATCGGTAGACTCCACAGAAATCACAGGCTCACAGACTAACTCGTAGTTAGCCCGGTTGGTTCGCATACAATAATTATGCAGCACACAAGCTGCAGAAATCATTTTTTGGGCTCTGTCAGGATGGCATAGTATAGTGGGTTGCACAGCAGCCCACCTCGCACTTAAAATGCCAAGAGCATTTTCAATGCACCGTCGGGCTCGGCTCAAACGGTAATTAAAAATTCTTTCCTCTTTAGTAAGGTTGCGGGAGACGTATGGCTTCATGATCCGCTTGTGTAGCGGAAAAGCATCATCTGCAACCAAGAAATATGGAGTCCGAACTCCACCGAGCGTGGTGTCTTCAGGAAACTCCATGTTACCCTCCAGTAGCTCCCTTCCAATCCAAGACTTTGAGAATGCCTTCATGTCTCCTTCGCTTCCATATGCACCAACGTCTATAAACGTAAATCTGCAGGATGCGTCGCATATAGCTACTAGTATTATTGAATGAAAGCCCTGTAAATACACAGTTAAATACTATTATGTCAGCTTAGAAAGGACTTTGTCTCACCTTAGAATTATAAAAAGCACTACCACAATTAGGTGGAGCTTTTATGGCAACATACTTGCTACCTATAGCCCCAATACAATTCGGAAATTGACATAGTCCTTGAAACTCCTGAGCTCTTGTTTTCATTGCTTTTACATCCCATGCCTCGATATCACCAGACAACGCCACACATATAGCATCGCAAACTTGTGGAATAATAACACCCACATCTTGCTCACTTATGTGGTAGCATGAGGCCACAGGACGTTGCAAGGATCCGCAAGCGAGGTACCTAGAATATGAAATGTTAAATTATGAATACTGTACCGACTGTACCATTCTTACTCCAGGGTAAGGGCCAATTTTGCTTGCAGTGGTATTGCATCCGAACGGGAAGTTCTGTTCTGTACCAAACGAGGCATTACTAAGGTGAACAATTCCTCAAAGTTGCTGACCGACATATGAAAGTTTTCAAAGAAAACTGTTGGCGTCTTTACCATTCTGTCGAACTGCAAATTATATTAAAGACATTTTTTAATATTAATATGTTTTAAAAACTTGTTTTTAGCATAATTAACAACGAATACTTACATCGCTTGCAAATCTTCCGTTTACGTTTCTCTTAAGCAAGTAATCGTTTTTTCTGGCATGACGATTAGCTTTCTTTTTCTTTATTATCTCCTTAGCGGCGAAATACATAAAGCAAACACCCAAATCCAATCCGTTTGAATTCATGTTGCTTATTTGTTTTACAAACAACAGCTGTTCAGTGTTACCCTTTTCATGGCGTTTCAGGCTTCTCCTTAATTTTTTTGGTCACACTAGTTAGGTAGCCAAATAAAGAGCGATTTCGCTAGCGGATTTTCGACAGCGGATTTTCGACAGCGGATTTTCGTCGTCACAGTACTATTCTTTAGGCCAGATTTTCATTGGGCAGGTTTTTTTGTAACCTAAAAGTACTCGATGATCTATAGGATGGTAAAAAATTCGCTAATGGAAACAATATTTTTCAATTTACTGCCATGCCTCTGAAGTAACTACAGGACTTCATCAACATATCCCCAAGTTTTTTTTGAAACTAATCATTGGAATCGGTTTTTTTTTTAAAACACCATACCTGAGCACAAGTAAATATAAAAGAAATAGAAATATTAAGCATGTGAAATGTTTTATTGGTTTGTGTTTTGGCTCTTTTCAAAGCTCTAAACATACCTTACATATTTGTTTTAATTTATTTAATGCAGGGCACGAATAATTGGATTTACAATCATTTAGTTTATCGATAGCCCTTCGATATCGTGCCACAGGGTGATTATGGTACTATTTACAAAACAATCTAGGTTTTCTAAGAAACTATCAGAGATATGACGAAGTTTCTAACAATTTGTTTAATTTATAAATACGTTAGTATAAACCTTATTATATTAATTTATCAATAAATGTATAAACTATTCTATTTCAGGGATTCGACGGATGTGCACAGTTTGACCTATAAGATTAAAACAAACTGCAGCCACGGCCTTTTTTCAATAATCGTGGACCACCGTTTGAGGAAAATGTCAAACATCGCCAATAGCGAAAAATCGGATAAAAATCTATGCCATATATGTACCAAGTCCTTTGAACTCGGCTACCAACTAAAGGCCCACATCCGCAGTCACGAGAGGAGGGCTCTTAAAAGAAAAAATCGGCTGCGATGTCGCAGAAATAAGCATGCACTTCAAAACACTATAAATAGACTCTATTCGACTGAGGATCCAGGAGGGACATCAATTGAAGAGAAATGCATACAAGAAAATGGAAAAGAGAATTTCAACGATGTTCTATTGGAGAGATTGGATCGCAACGAGGATAAATGCAACAGTGAGGTAAAAGATAATCAAAGTTTTGACAAGGACGACAAAGAGTTCTTGGATGAAAAAGCTCATTTCCATGATGAGAAATCTGAGGATCGCAACGAGGATAATTGCCACAGTGAGGTCAAAGATAATCAAGGTTTCGACAAGGACGACAAAGAGTTCTTGGATGAAAAAGCTCATTTCCATGATGAGAAATCTGAGGATTTTGTCGAGGAACCGATTAACGACGATGACGGAGATTTCTCGCTGAATTTAAATGACCCTCTAGAGATTGAAAACAGCAGTGAAAAACCAGCAAAAAAATCGAATTTAAAATTAGAATGGGAAGGAACTTTTCATGACCTTGTCCAGTCTAATGAGGAACCAGCTAACTGTTTTTCGTGTCCTTATTGTCGGGAGATATACGCTGGAAGGGATACTCTTAATAGGCACATTCTAAGTCACAATTTTGGGTCAGTATTCAAAGGCTCTCCGAACAAAAATGCCAGCAGTGATGACTACCCAATTTATGAGGGATCGACTGAGGATTACTTTTTTAATATGCCAGAAAGCGAAGTTGAGAAATTGTTTGGACAAAAAACGGATGCATTTGAAAGATTTCTTGAAGACTTAGAAGATACAACAGATGATGGTGAAATTGATAAGAATCTTCAGTGCCCGGATTGTCATAGAATATTTAAGAAAAAAATGTACCTAAGGATACACCTTCGGACCCATACAGGAGAGCGACCATATAAGTGCCCACACTGCTCCCAGGCATTCAAGCAAAGACCACATCTTACTGCCCACAAACGTATCCATACGGAAGAGCGTCCTTATAAATGTAGCTATTGCTCCGAATCTTTCAAATCGAAGATCACTCTTAAAAGGCACATAATACAACATGTAGGCAAGGAACATCTTCCCCCGACTTTAACTCCAAAGCCTCCAAGTGAATCCAAAAAATCTCTGTCTGAATCTGTGGTTACATTAAACCATACCAAAGAGAAGGATCCTCAAAAGGAAGATCCAGCGAAAGGACTCTCCATATTGAAATGCCCCCTTTGTTATGAGCATTTCCTGTCGGAAAACTATCTTCAAACACACATTGGCAGTGTTCATATGGGAAAGCGCTGTTTTAAATGTCCCGAGTGTCAGAAAGAATTTAAAAAACATTCACATATGATCCAACATATGAAAATCGACAAATGTGTTTTTTAGATTTTAGAATGAGGACTGGAATCTTCTTTAATTTCACAAAAAAAAATTAAAATTTATTAAAAACTATTGTGTTTCTTAAAGCTAAGCTAGATATTTTCCCAAAGCTATGTTATAATATATATGTTATAGTTATATGTTATAATATAATTTTGGTAATAATAAGATAGATAATAATGAATTACAAATGTTAAAACATTTAAAAATCAAGAAATGTAAAAAAGTCAGGCTTGAAAATATAAACGAATTAATTGTGTTAATTAATTACATATTGCGTAATAATATTTCAAAAATAAAAATAAGAAGGTTTGAAATTGTTTATCTAAATTTCCTCTTAAATTTTTTAAACACATTTTCCTAACAGATACATCTAACAGAATTGCTTGTGCTGTTATACGCAATCAGCTGTTAACTTTTTTCTGTCAACCTCGAAGAAGAAGAACTCAGGCACAGCCGAGAAATAATTGTTGATTTTTGTTAAATTTTTCTATTAAACATTCTTTAAAATGTCTATTGCCAAACGTGTGCAGGTATATACTCCTATTATCTACATAATCTTTCTAGTAATGTCTTATTTTTCCACACCATTTAGCAATGGGCAACGTTTGCACGAACTTGGCACATTTATGATTGCACCTGGCAGAATCCATTCGAGTCGGCGAAATTGGTTAAAACACACTTAATGGGCCTGCATAAACCCATTTACCATCCTATGAGTAAGTAATACACTTAGTAAAGTTATATTGCATTGATTTTGCATATAGAATTAAGGATATTCGGGTTTTTTGGACACATCTTGTGTTATTACATCACCGGCGTGTTTTCCTAAGTTTTTGTTGGTGTATTAAAAAACCAAAACAAAAGTGATAATTTTCTTCGATCTGAATAAATGGTAAATATTATAGCATATAACTGCAGTCAAAATAAATTTTATTTATTTCCTCTTTGAAAAGTATCAATGTCTATCAAATCTATTCAAGCCCCAGTACATAATAAAAGATAACTATGTTTATTTTGGCTGCAAAGAAAACCATTTAGTATTCGTTTACCTTTATAACTGTTCAGTGATTAATGTACTTACTTTTAGGATAAGCAAGTTTTCAAAATGGCCAAGCAATTTAAAAAAAATATAATTTTCCAGATGACTGCGGAGACCATGTGGTGCTGATTAACACTCGGGAAATCGCCCTACCTGGCGACGAATGGGTCAAGCGAGTTTATTTCCACCATACTGGATATCCTGGTGGAGCTTCGTGGACTCTGGCCTGGCAGCTCCACGAAAAGGATCCCACGATGGTGATGAAAAAGGCGGTATACAACTCAATGCATGGAAATCTACAGCGTAGATATACAATGCAGAGGCTGCATTTATTCGCGGACGATCAGGTTCCGGAGGAAATCCTGGAGAATGTTACAAATCAAATACGTACCCCGCGCACAGTTCCCCAGCGATTGGATCATATTGATAAGGAAACGCTGGAGAATTTCCCTAGCATTATGGATTATCCAAAGGATTATATTCTGCGTTGATATGTTGTTTAATTAAGCAAAATATAACTACTTTACTTAAAAACAAATGAATGTCATATGAGTTTAATTGGAAGATAAAAATTTTTTTTGGAGGAATCTGTTTCAAGCATTATTATTTTCGTTCAATTTATTTCGGATTATTTATCTTTCGTTTTTAATAGCATCCCTCCTTAAAGATTTGTCTGGAACAGTACCATCACTAAATTAAAGAATTTGTTTTTGAACTTTTATGAAAATAGTATTCATTAAATTTACTAAATTTAGAATGAAATAAAACAGTAATCTGTGTTTTTTTTATTTTGTTAAAGCTTACATTTTTAAATACATTACTTTAGGGGGCTTTTGCAAACTTGGCAACCCTATTTATTTACCGGCTGCGTCAGTGAGTTTGCAATTTAATCATTTATTTCTACGGCTCTCATTTTTTATCCGCCTACGGTCCAGATATATGAATATTATATAGTCTGGTGCGTTCATTAGTGAAGTCAACCGAAAAGCTAGAAAACCACAAACAGCTGGTTAGGATTTTTACTTATCTGCTTTTATTTCTTTTAGCGATAGCGTGCTTTTATAAAAAGATTAAATATATTGTTTTCGTTTATGATTCTTCAGTCTCCACTCGCGGCTTCTGCAGTTCACATCGTCTTCTACCGATTTACCAGATTCAGAAGCGCAACATGGGTCGTTTGGGTACCGTGGATCCTAGCTCCTACTCGCAGCCAGATTTGATTACCACTGAACACAGTGTCCTCAACTGGAAGGTGGACTTTGCTGCCACTAAACTCCAAGGAAGTGTCCTCCATAAGTTTAATGTGCTATCGACGAACTTGGAGCAGATTGTAAGTAATAGAAACTGCAAGAAATCGATAAGAACAATAAATATCCCATAATTCAGATCCTGGATGTGCGTGATATTAATGTTACCAATGCCACGTTGCTGGCCGGAGGCAGTCAACTCCCAATCAATTTTTTCATCAGCGATCCCGTGGACGATATTGGCCAGAAGCTAACATTGGAGTTGCCATCTGGAACGGCTAAGGGCAGGTAAGCTCTGCGATTACCAATCTTATCTTTATAACACTCGTAAATAATCGGAAACACAATATTTTAGTCTCGAGGTTCTTATTGATTATGAGACGTCCAGCAGTGCAAGTGGATTGCAGTGGCTTAGTCCCGCACAGACTCTGGGAAAGGAGCATCCCTACATGTTCTCCCAGTGCCAGGCTATTCACGCTCGTTCAGTGATTCCCTGCCAGGATACGCCGGCTGTAAAGTTCACCTACGATGCCTATGTTGAGCATCCCAGTGAATTGACAGCTCTGATGAGTGCTATTATCCAAAAGAAGGAACCTGGAAAGACGCAGTTTAAGCAGGATGTGCCCATTCCAGCCTATCTGGTGGCCATTGCCATTGGCAAGCTCGTATTCCGTCCACTGGGCGAGAACTCCAACGTATGGGCTGAAGAGGCCATTGTTGATGCCTGTGCCGAGGAATTTTCCGAAACGGCCGTCATGCTTAAAACGGCTTCCGATCTGTGTGGCCCGTATGTCTGGAAGCAGTACGATCTGCTGGTGATGCCTCCCTCGTTTCCCTTCGGCGGCATGGAGAATCCTTGCCTGACTTTTGTTACTCCAACTCTCCTGGCAGGCGATAAATCTTTGGCCGATGTAGTGGCTCATGAGATTGCTCACAGCTGGACTGGAAACCTCGTGACCAACAAGAACTTTGAGCACTTCTGGTTGAATGAAGGATTCACTGTGTTTGTGGAGTCAAAGATCGTTGGAAGGATGCAGGGTGCTAAGGAGCTGGACTTTAAGATGCTCAGTAACCTCACTGACCTGCAGGAGTGCGTAAGTATCCATGCAAAAATTCATTTTTCAAAAGAAGTAATTTTTAAAACTCTAATCCAGATTCGTACTCAACTCGACAAGACACCTGAGCTGACCAAACTGGTGGTGGATCTGTCCAACTGTGGACCCGATGATGCCTTCTCCTCAGTGCCTTATATCAAGGGTTCTACTTTCCTGCGCTATTTGGAAGACTTGTTCGGCGGCCCATCTGTGTTTGAGCCCTTCCTACGCGATTACTTGAAAAAATACGCCTACAAATCGATTGAAACCAACGATTTCAAGAGTGCCTTGTATGACTACTTCAAGGACACGGACAAGAAGGATAAACTGGAAGCTGTTGACTGGGATCTGTGGCTGAGCAGTGAAGGCATGCCGCCCATTATTCCCAAGTAAGCAAAGCTAACGTCAGGAATATTTCTTTATAAATTAAATCTTGAATGTCCTTTAAGATTCGATGAATCCCTAGCCAACGTAACCAAGGAACTGGCCCTGTTGTGGAGCTCCAAGTCGGTTGCTGAGCTGAATGATAGTCCTGACATCAAGAAAACCATTTCCATTCATCAACTGATTGATTTCCTGGGGAAACTCATTGAGAGCAAGGATATTGTTGATTTGACCGAGAAAAAGATTGAGCTCCTAGAGTCCACCTATAACTTGAAGGCGTCCAAGAACGCCGAGGTTCGCTTCCGTCTAAATCGTCTAATTATTCGTGCTCGCTTGATCAAACGTCTGGACGAGATCATTGCCTTTGCCAACTCGAACTTCCGCATGAAGTTCTGCCGGCCCATCTACCGCGACCTTGCCGGTTGGCCAGAAGCTAAACCCGCGGCTGTTCGCAATTTCGAAAGCGTCAAGGATCAGATGATGGCTGTGTGTTCGCACACCATCGAAAAGGATCTGGGATTAAAATAAATTTAAGTCTGAAATTATGCATTTCTCAAAAACTGGAAACGTATGCATTAAATTGTACATTTACAAGTATATTATCGTAACGTTGAATTTAAACTTTGAAGAACCCAAAAATATATTTTTTGATTAATTTTCGTTTTCTTGAATTATTTGTTTTTATTAAAAAATAAGCAAAACTACGTTTATAACAAGTTGATTTCCATTTCCATGCTCATTTTAATTTCTAATCTTCAATTTTGCTTGCAATTTTCCTCGTTACCTTGATACCATATTGTTACCAATTATATATCCATCTTGTTTTTATAGTTATAGCTCAACATTGACCAATTTCAAATATTTGGTGTTCGTAAAACTAATCAAATGGGCGCTGATCTGGTTGATCTTCGTTTTCAAATTTTATGTTCTTTAAATTCATTAAATTTCCCTCACTTTTGACCTTGCAGTTCACATACTCCCATTTATTTAAATTTATTATTGTTTGCTTTGCTCGGCTGTTTAAATATTTTCTCCGTTGGTGTCTCAACTTTAAATCCCGACGAGTTTTGCTTCTGGGTTTTTTAAACTATTCAACAATTTTGCATCCTTACACTGACCGAAATGCATCTCAACATGTCCTGCCAATTTAATAGCTGAGATCGTACCTATTTTCATTCATTTGGATTTGGATTTAAACATCTCATCGTTGATCTTCTGGGCTGAGGAATTAAAAACTATCACGCACTAGAATTATCATTGGAACGGGACGTGGATGGACCATTGCCCGGATCATTGCCCAGCACGAATGTGGGGCTCTGGCGGGATGTGTGATAGTGGTAGCCCTCTCTGTAGTGCTGATTGGGTTTCGACCGTGCGGTTTGTGTGTGACCCAACGCTGGACGCTGATTGTTGAGCTCATTGGGTCGTTTGGCTATAAAATAGTAATTAATATTAAATATATATATCTAAAAAATTGATTAAAATAACTTACCAGGTATATAAGGCTTTTGATTATAGGACGATTGTTGTTGTTGTTGGTTATATAGATCCGATGATGTTGCATTGCCATTATGGTGATATGGCGTCGTCTGCAGATCGGTGCTACAGTTAATGGGACTCATCGGCGTCATCTCGCGATCCTCGATAAACAATTCACTGGCATCGTCGGGCACCTGACGGTACTGAGTCCTTGGCCAGGATGCGATGCCCGACAAAAGAAATGCCTCCAAGGCACACATATAGCCAATAATCTAAAATTACAAATATTTATAAATACTATATGATGTCATATTTAAAATATTTATGAACTTACGCCTGTGGCCAGCAGTGTGTCCTTGGAATGCTTGGATACCCATGTGTATTCCACGGCATAGAGCACCATATGGACAAGCAGCGTGGAGCTCAAAATAAATATCAAACCAATACTCAGGTACATCCACGTATTCTACGCAACAGAAACCCAAAACGAGGCGAATCAAAAATTGATGAAAAATTTTAAATTCAATGCCAATGTCACCTACCACTTTTGTCCAATTGAATGGGAACATTAGGGCTATATGCGATATATCCAGAAAGAGCATGAGACATGTGATGAGGAGCGAGAAGAGCGCACAGAAGACCATCAGCCTCAGGCGCCCGATGAGTGGCAGTAGAAAGAGGCCCACCTGTACGGTGCCCGCGGAGCATTCGCAGGCCAAACAGGCGGCCGAGGATAACTTTAAGAAGGACATTTAAATAATATATGGTTATCTTTTGTGATTTGTGTATAAGCCCATTAGACTCACCACCAATAGTATGCGCACAATCCCTGTAGGCGATTTCAAGTGTTGCGGATCACAGTGAAGGGCGACGCCCCAGGGCAGGGGGGTGTGGCCGCCCCTCTGCTTGTAGTTGGCATGCGAGTCCCAGGAGGTGCAAGTGCCCAGGGGGGATTCCAGGGACAGCGAGTGCGAGTGCGAGTGGGAGAGCTCGCCGGCCCTGCTGCCAGCTATCTCAAAGTCCTGCTCATCGTCCAGCTGACAGCAGACCGGCTCCAGCTCCAACTCCCGAATCTCGTCCAGCAGCAGTTCTATCTCGTCCGTGCCATATAGATCAGATACAGACGGTATATAACGTTGGGGTTGTTGCATTGCCCGTGCCGGGATGTGTCCCACATCACCGATGGTTGCCCCTCAACTTTCAATAACTGCGCTTCCCTCCTTCCCGTTTTCTATCTTGTTTTCTCTCTCTATATCTCTGGGTCGGTATCCTTGTATCTGTCTCCTCGTTTGGGTTGTTAATTTTTATCTTTTAATTATACGAATATCTACAGGGGAAGAAAATATTTATCAATTTGATGAAAAAGTTTTATCATTCATAAGGTCTATATGGATTTTATGGTACAATGGAAAATCCCTATTCGTTTTATTTCTGCCCATCTTAAATATTATCATTTATGTTCATATATGTATGAAAAATTGTTTTTTTTCTATAGCTTTCTCTCAATATTTTTTATGTTTAACGCTCGCAAACGTTTCTGCTGTCCTCCTTCTGCCCCATTTGGTATGCTATAGAAATTGATAACTGCCGAGCAGCTTGCCCCCGACGCTCATTAGATATCCTAGGCCCTTTTACCATTTCTGCCACACCACCGCACTCTCTGGCAACCGCTCTTCATGGCTCCCGCCTGTGCATAACCATAACGGTAATTTGATATGAGTCGTCGACGACTTTGGCGTCACCGCTGCCCGGCTGTCACTCATACGCCATGTGTGCCGCAACCAAATCGTGGCACGGCAAAATTCCCCAGGGTGCTACCAATCTGAATACGCTTTCAACGACTAGGTCTCTCAACGACTAGGTTTTCTTTTAAGGAATAATTCAAGAAAATGAATTTAATTTCAAGGAAAGGGTATGCTGTTTAAAGTGTAAAAGAAAAATAAACCAAAAGAAATCACAACAATGATATGAGTATAAGGTTTTGGCTTTCTCGCGTTATGATATTTTTAAAAAATTTTAATGGAACTTTGTAAAGAGTTTGTAATTTTTTTTAGTAGTTCCCCTAATGTGTTTTTTTTTAACAAAATTTAAAAAGTTTTAAAAACTATAAAATCTCTAAAGATTTATATTTTTAGCCTCAAAATGACTGAAACTCTTGCATTAATCACTGAAACTGCCCCTTCAGGACAAGAACTGGTGTTAGCCTCTTTCCACATGGTTTCATTTATTATTTTTAATTGCATCTGTTGTATCGATAGCCCACCTACCAGATGATGTGGCTGCCAACTGGAAATTAAAACGAATTGGTTTTGTGCGCCCCTTCTGCAGGCCACGTTACCCCCGTCAGTTTTCATTTTCACTTTATCCCTTCGGCGTCCCGTTTTGATTTTCCCCCGCGCCACCCCCATGGCTCGATGGCTGTTTTTCCCATGGAATGCCATGAAATTGCACTTTCCCCACACACATCGGCAATTAGCACAGACATAAAATGCGGTTGTATGTGATGGCAACAACATGAAAGCCCAACTCCAGGGAGAATTTCAACAATTTTCAGCTGTCCGGTGGCATTTTCCTTGAGCTGTCATAATCAGGACACAGATGAAGGTAGCTTATGCTCCTTGTTGTCAGTTGTCCTGCTGCTTTTTCCAACTTTGTTGGTTTTTGCTGCATCACAAGGACTCCGAACTGCAGCTGGCCAGGAAAACGGAAAATGCCAAAGGATGGGGATGAGGGGTCAAAATAGCACATGCATATAGTATGTATATATGAAAATACATTTCTCTCGGGACAGGCAATGTAACAATTTGTTGCCTCTCTTTCTAGCAGAGTAGTCCCATCTCTTTCGCTTACTCTCTCTAGTTTTGGCGAAGTTTTTGTTGGTGGTGCTGTTCGTGTTGTCCTTGCTCTAGTTTTAGCGCCCGAATGTCCTCAGCCTCCGGTCTGGCTTTTCAGAACCAGAATGAGAATCATCCTCTGCCCTAGCCCTCTGCCAGTAGCCTACCCTAGTGCCCCCCGTATTCCAACGCCCTTATCTCTGCCTATTATCATTGCACATAATCTCCCGATGCTCGAGTGCCTAATGAGAGTCCTTGTCAGCACATCTTTGCAGAAGAGGACCTGCTCTATCTTATCCACTTCACCATCGATTCAACGGCATTAAGCCCTTCACCTGTAGTCTCTCAATGAATATATTTCCCCCCTTTTTCATTTCCATTTTTAACATGCACACAGCAACAAATGCATTATGAATACTGATTCGATTTCTGGCCATTAAAATTTAATTTATTTATATGTTATTCAATTTCAATTAACAGATTTCATGGGTTTTAATAATATAATAACAGTAATTATATGATTTGGCAAATTAATTTAAATATAAATATATTATTTCGCGGGTAATTATTTATATGTTTCAGAAGGACTTTGAATTTATAGCTATTTTGTGGCAGTGCACTATTTGAAATCAATTATGCTGATCTGCATATAAACCTACTTGGCTTCCTGTAGGGCTCCACCATGAGCTCTACTCACCTCCCAAGCCCCCTCTCAAGTTTTTTTTTGTTTTTTGTCTTGCAGGAAGTGCAAGTGCTGTGTATGCAAATTTATTGTCAATGAAGGGGATTGGAATTGGCGTTTAGGCTTGATAGGAGCTGTAGAACTGCCTCGGGGCATTGGGGAAGACTCATGGAGGGAAGACGGGCTCAAGGGTTGGACACTCGACGTGAACGACGTTGGCTCGACTGCATTTCTTATTTATGAACGTGCATAGACAATGCTTTTGGGTTCTTGTTGCTTTTTGTTTGAGTTGAGTACCTTCTGGTTGAAATACAGACACACACACACGGTGCGGTTGATGTGCAACTTTTGTCGCATTCAATGGACCAAAGTTGCCGTAAATAACTTTTAATAGAATTTTTAATGGGGGTCCGTCGTTGATGGCCGTCGGGTCTGTTCGCTTTCGGCCTGGCAATTTGGTTTTAATATAGATTACCATAATGATTTCTCAATGTTGGGAAATTTGTTGAAATGCGGTGAAGTGTAAAGTGTGGGAGGTGGTTGTGGTGGTCCTGGGGAAGTATAGTGCATTTATTTATATCGTAAACTCAATGTTAAGTCGTTTATGCATATGTATGAATGAAAGTACTATCAAATGAGAAATAAGCCAAGTTAAAGCTCTGGGTAAATGGTCCTTCAAAATGATGACTTTTTGGCAATTTAGAGACAATATCGCAGCCATAATTCATAGAATTTAGAAAAGGCGTACCAATCAGGGATTCAATATGCTTCTATCTTTATTAATATACGAGTAACAAAATTTGTTCCCAAATTCGATAAATTATGTATTATATAGTTTTTCGTAATAAACCCCCTTTAAAACCATGTTAATGTCATTTGGCCCAAAATATATGCTTTTCATCCACATTTTGGTCCATATTTTAGGGGTAATCCATCCGATTTTGAAAAGGAATAACATTCATAAATTAGTGTTTTAACTGCCTTCAATCTGCATTAAAATCTTATGAAAAAATCATGAGGTTACCCCTTTTAAAAATGGCAAAAATTAGGTCAGATTTTAGTAGGTTAGGTTTTGATGGAAATTTATAGTACTCAAAATTCTAAGACCGGGAAGGCATAACATTCACTGATGGGAGAATTATTAGTAAAGTTATGGCCATTTCTGCGAAATAATTAGGGATCTTACTCAATATATCCCCATGTCCTAATTATCTTCCATTTATTTTTCGTTTTTTAAGGAAGTATAAATTCTAACGTCTCTTATTCCAAATTTCAAAAAAAGTCTTTTATAAAGGTAACAATTGATTAAAAAGGTAAAATTTAGAAAGTTTTTTACACAAATACATAACTCAAATGTATGCGTTTAGAACTAACCCACCACAAGCAAGTTCTTCTTTCCAAATTTATTGACTGAATAATAAAAACTGACCCCGCCAATTCTTTTGAAGAAACTTATCGGCCAAGTGCAGAGTGAGCTCTAAGCATAAAGCCTGATATAGAGCAAATGTCGGACAGTAACGGACCTGAATAAATTCTAGACAAAAATTATTGGAATTTTTTTTGTACATTTTTTTGGCTATATATTTTGGGGTTGTTGTTGCTGAATGCAGACAAGTTGACTTTCGTCCTCAATTCGTGGCGGCGTTCAATGCGGCTGGAAAATGCAGGACATTGGCAAGGGGATTGGGTGAGAATTCAGCGGGTCCTGAGACCCAGGACCTTTTCCTACTTATTATGCCGCCGCATGTTTCTCTATGTTTGCTCTTTTGCGGAATTATCGATTACAAATGAATATTTCATCAGGAGGGCTGGAGGAGAGGTAAATAAAGTGGTCGCGGGGAGTCGGGAGATGGAGCAGGAAGTAGGAAAGGCGAGAGGTACCTGGCACCTGGTACCTTTCTACTTCCGTTTCCGGATCGCGACACCTCCCCGGCTATTTTCAATTAAAATGCAGCATTCTTTGCGTTCTCCTGCCAGGAATTTTTAGGCACAGAAAAAAATTGGTGGTACAAAAGTAAAAATACATATTTTCAAAATCTTCTTAGCTTAAAATATTATTTTATTTAAAATAACAAATAGATTTTTTATATATTTTATATTGTATATTTTTTTTAACAACATACACATATATATTTTTTGGTGTGACTAACATCACCTTTTAATACCCAGCTAGGTCCTAGTCCCTGACTCCTCTTTAAAATACTGTTTAATGTATGGTGTATTCCCGTCCTCTGTTCTGCTTTGTGTCGCATAATTACCAATGCCAGGATAATTAAGGCAGCGCCTGGCTGCCAGGCCACATAAAGAAAAAAGGACAACGAGTCCCGAATGCGGGTCCCGACCCGAGGGAATCCAAAAATGGAGTGGGAATATGAATGGGTCTGGGACGGAATGGGCGGTGGTGTGCAGGAGGCGGAGTATGACGGTGATTCGGTGGCTTGGAGATTCAAGGATTCGGTGGTGCGAGCACGTGACTAACGGTAATGGCACGCCAAATCACAGGAGAAATGAAATGTTTGCCGGGCGAGAGTGTTCGGAATTCCAAATGCGAACAAAACAAGGCACATTTCCTGATGTTTCAACAAATTTTCGTATTTTATTTTGTTCGAAAATAGAAAAGATGTCACCGTTATTAAATTATGTTTGTACAGATTTCATTTTTAGATTTTATTTCATTTTTCCAAACATCAGGATATGAGTGACAGCTTGGGGATTGAAATGTTTCTTCCTAGGACATGTCCTTTTTGTTGGTTTGCCATCGTTTGAACTTTAAAGTCAATAACATTCCTTTTGATGGAAAACAAAAGCTTCGGAATTAAAGTTGACTATCTTACTTATCATTTAAAAACTTTTAAATCAATTAAAAGTAAAACTTTTGGCTTTGCGGGCTTAAATTTCAATTAAAAGGTGTTCAGTGCCTGGAAAAAAGGATTCCCTTGTAGGGGCAACTCTTGATCCTCTTATGCTAAACTCAGCATAAACTCCACTTCAGTTTGCCACCACCTTGCCACCCGGTGGCGTTCCCCTTCTTCATCAACTTGGCCAGAAAGTGATTAAGGCTCACGTTTCGGGATTACGTAAGCTCCTACAGGGATACTTAGCCAGCTGGGCCTCGGAGCTCGGAGCGTTTATAAATGCGAGCATGTGTATGTGTGGATGTTGTGTCCTGAGGATATCATGTGTTTATGCGCGATTCCTGAAACGAAACTCACCCGCCGACCATTTCCCCAAACCCAAAAACACATTTTTACCTGGAGTTTTGGGGCGTCCCCTGACACGTGAGCTTCATAAAAAAAAGAGGCAAGATGGCCTCGTCATTTCATGGACGTTGCAGCACGCGAGGGGTCCTCTAAGCCAGAGAATCGTTCCCATTCTACTGGAACCTATTCCTCCTATGTATTACCCCCCGAGCTACCCATTCTTTCCCAAAGTTTTCACTTTTGTTGGGATTTTCCTTGGCCACTTTTCCCCGCTGCGTAAACACAGCTATTAAATGCGAACTGACCCCAAAAGCTGACCGACTCGGAGACCGACAGGGACAACTCAATAAATCGAATTTTATTTTATGAGAGATGGAATAGCTTTTTAAAGAAACAATTGAGCTTGGGAGTAACTCTTATAAACTTTTAGTAAATATTTTATTAAAATTAAAAGACTTTCAGTCATTTATTCTAAGGCTTCATTTAATTGATTTATTGACAGGTTGTGGTTTTATTTATTACTGTTTCACTGTACCTAACATCCCTCCAAGTCCCTCACCTCGATTTGGTAGTAAACGGGCGGTGCAATAACCTCGTTTAGTTGCAGAAACGACCTTGAACCAGTTTAATTTTTAAGAAATTTCCAGCCAAAGGGAAAAAGTCAAGGAGGTACTGAAGGGAAGGTATTAGAAGACTTTGCCAACTTAGAAGTCTTGCAAATATCTCGGAATATTAATAAGGCCCAAAGCGTCTAACGGCCATTTAATTGCAACCTCATACAACCGCCCCAAAAGTACACACATGTGAATAGTTGTGGGTGGGCTAGAATGAGGTTCTATGACAGCAAACTAAAAATAAACAAATGAGCCAGGCCAAAAACACAAAAAAAGAATCGGAATAGGTCCGAAGAACGAGTTGAGGAAGCCAGAAGGCGCCTGCGTGAGAGGGAGAGAGATAGGGCCAGAGAAAGCTGAAAGAGAAAACTCGGAGAGAAAGTGAGAAAGAGAGGGGCGAGAAAAGTTATTGTTGTGGCTGCAGAAGGATTTTAAGGAAGTGAAATAGCTGCAGACTGAATTCTTCACAGACAAAGTTTCCTATCTGCTTCCTCTTCCTTGTGCACCACCTCTCTGCTTCTTTCCATAGGCGTCCTAGCTGTCACTTCCTGTGTGTGTATGATTCAATGTGTGAGTGAGTGCATGTGTGTCTGTCTGAGAGATTGGAAACACGCTGGTCAAGACAACTTTTTCTCATGTTGGTTTTTCAATTAATTTTTAAATATTTTGTACTTTGTAAATAAAATTAGTATATTTTTTAATAATTTTATTTTAATCAAAAATATTTTAAGTAATTTTATTAGTTTTACAAATAAGTACTCATTAACTAATATCGATCGTGACTAGCTTTGTTCTCAATTATATCAATTATCGCTCATTAGGCACTGCCATAAATCTAAGTGTGAATTACTTTAGCTAATTAATTATCCATAATTACAGTAAATTAGTCATTTTCTTTACATAATGCTATCCAGATGGGCTTCAAAATAAGGGTATAGATTTGTGTACTTTCATTTTCATAAATTTATTGGCTTATTTTTTATTAGGTTATTTAAAAATAACCTTAATCATATCTCATATGTAGTTTAGAGGTATTATTTTAATTTAATATCCTTAGGATTTCCGCTAAGCCTTTTTTATTATTTAAGTATTTTAAAATATTATTATTATATAATAATAATTATTATTATATATTGTTATATTAATTCTATGACAATATGACTTTTTTTCACTTCCCAGAACCTCTAAAAAATATAATATATTTTTTATTTAGCAGTGAACTTGGTTCAATTGAACCAATTCAGAGCGTGAACCTTGCACACTCGCAAACATCCTTGCTCTCCTAGTATCCTTCTCTATGAATTCCACTCAGTCGTTGTGAGTTTGTGTTTGTATTTGTCTGTGTGTGTGTGTGAGTGTGCCTCAAAGTGTTATATTGACATTTGGCTACATAATGATTTATGCTGCTGCAGGAGTCGGGCGATCCTGGCTCCATGTAATTTCTGCTGCTATTTTTAGAGTCAACTGTCCATAATTTATTTTTATGTACGAACAGCAGTGGAATCAACAACAGGAATAGAAACTACACAAACTGAGACAAAAACAAGCTCACATAAGGATATATGTTAGGTTTTTTTTTGTGGTGGAGCAGGGGCAAGCGAAGGGCAAACGCTGAAAAGCATGCTATGATTTTTGCGATGAAGGTGGGCGGTGAAATCGAAAGGGCCGTCCCCCTTCGCGTCCAGGAGGGATGGTCGTGTGTTCGTGTATACAACTAGTTAAATAAATTTACACTTGACCCACCTTTTTTATTTTCTCGCTTTATATTGTATATGTATCTTTCCAGTTCCTCCAAATGCGCGGCACGTTCCTATTTCTATTTTTTTGGCCAGCAAAAATCTTTCGAAAATAGCCTTTTTTTATAGGCCTCTAAATGCTGCACATGTGTGTGTGATGTGATGGGTGACTGTGGATGTGAGTGTGAATGTTAGTTCATTCATGGACCAAAATTTAGGTTTCAGTTTTTCCTGGTACTGTGTGTGTGCGGATAGCATGGGTGTGTGTGTGGCAGGAAGCTGGCATTTTATATGTGATTTCCTGGTTTTTAAAATATATATACATCTATAGATATTTTTTCCTATTTGGAGTTTTGTTTTTTTAGTTTCAACGTTTCGCACATTCCGGTTTCTTGTCGTTGGTTATTTGATCATTTTCATTTAGCTTGCGCAGCAAACAACAATTTTCATTTTCACACACTCGCACGAAAATCATTACTCAGTATGCACGGCTTTCCACGGGCTTTTCATTTGGCACCCCCTTTCCCCGCTTCTCGCCATTTGGGCCATGCTGCTTTCACTGCTATTACTGCCTTTGCTGCTGCTGCTGCTGCCTTTTCAACTGTTTCTACTGCCTTTCAGCATGGGCCCACACACACACGCACGCCACACATACATACGTATACATATATGTGTGCGCAAAGGGGGCGTGGCTGGCGGAGGGGGCGTACGAATGCAAAGCAGCAACTCGGACGTCGAAACAACGCGACACCAACACTGAAAAATGGCAAAGGAAAATGCACGGGAAATCGCCAACCGACAGCGTTAAAAGCCAGAAAACGACTGAGCCCCAAAAGCCCCAAAAAAATAACTGAGAGCTGAGAATGAGACGAGACCTATAAGGGGAGAGAAAGTGAGCAGGAGACTGAGAAAGTGAAAGAGAGACCCATGCTGCGTGCACATCCTTTGCAGGGAAGACATTTTTGGAACTAGTTCAAAGCCAAAGACATTATGCACTGAAAATAATTTTAAATGTAATCATATTTTACGCTTATCATAAACAAATTTTAATGAAAAATCCCTAACCTATCTTATTTTATCCCAAAGAAATGCCTAAAAAAAAGTTAAATCATTATTGTACACCTTTATTAATATGTTATATTTTATGTTCTAAAATATATCGCCTTGATAACGACTTTCATTTCGTATCAATTTTTTATTGCAGTTCACATGAAGAGCGACTGCTGGCTATTTGCTGATAAGCTTCCTCAATAATACGATGCCCGTCCGAAGCCCCATTTCAAATGATCAGTTGTGCTTCGCATTTCGAGAGGACCGAACGTCTGGCCAGTATCAACGGAGATATTAAACCACAGATTCAAAATAATATATACGCACCTACAATATATAGTGCATTTATACTAAATAAAGCTTCGGATTTCGTTTTCATAAAGCCATTAAAATGGAAAGGTGAGTTTCGGGATTACTTTTCCATGAGTCACTATGAACGGTTCAAAATAATGTGTTTTGGAATTAATTCCTAGTTTTTGGCAAGAGTTGAAATCACTTTTGAAGACCCTGATTTGCTTTGTGGTTGCCCTGATGCTGGTGCCTCTGCTGCTCTTATCTTTCCTCTGTAAGTAATCGACATATCCCCAGCAGTGATCGATGATCGTTTATATAGGTGATTGGTGATCAATAATCGCCGATCAGCGATCCGCGACCCGCGCTGCCTCACTGATAAGCAACATAAATCAAGAACTTCAAAAGAGACCGGCTATATAAATAAATAAATGGGTTGATTAACCGATCCCATTCTCAGTCATCCATTAGGATCATAAAAGAGTTTCTCCCAATGAGAGAGAAAGAGAGAGACTGTCTCTGTTTAGAAAAGACCTTCGGAGAAAGTTCTATTGATAAGGTCTTTTGTTTATAAATAATAGAGATTACCTGTTGTACCTTTGCGGAACCCAGACGAGCGGACAAGCGAACCTTGACCAACTGAATTACTCATAAAATTTTGCTATTGATAAGCCGATTTTTTGTTGCTTAGTACCCGGCATTTGTAGAGATAATGGGAATATAGGTTTGGGACTTAAAGGGATTTAAATATTCTTGAAATAATAATAAACATGTAATTTATATTTGATTAATATTTAATTGTGGAGATAATGTTTAAACAAAATCGGACTAAAATTGGGAAAGATATGGTCATCACAGTGGGACCTATAGGGGAAAACCCCATTTTCAAGGGGTCCCACCAGGAAAAATGAACAAAAAATCTAAAAAAAATTTTGTGTCAGGATTTTAATGCAGAATGGTGGGAAATCGATCCAGAAATCGTTTAAGGTACTCCGCTTGAGAATCGGATAAGAATTGGGAAAGATATGGTCATCACAGTGGGCCCTATATGGAAAAACCCCATTTTCAAGGGGTCCCATTAGGAAAAATGGACAAAAAATCTAAAAAATATTTTGTGTCAGGATTTTAATGCAGAATGATGGGAAATCGATCCAGAAATCGTTTAAGGTACTCCGCTGGAGAATCGGATAAGAATTGGGAAAGATATGGTCATCACGGTGGGCCCTATATGGAAAAACCCCATTTTCAAGGGGTCCTACCAGGAAAAATGGACAAAAAATCTAAAAAATATTTTGTGTCAGGATTTTAATGCAGAATGGTGGGAAATCGATCCAGAAATCGTTTAAGGTACTCCGCTTGAGAATCGGATAAGAATTGGGAAAGATATGGTCATCACAGTGGGACCTATAGGGAAAACCCCATTTTCAAGGGGTCCCACCAGGAAAAATGGACAAAAAATCTAAAAAATATTTTGTGTCAGGATTTTAATGCAGAATGGTAGGAAATCGATCCAGAAATCGTTTAAGGTACTCCGCTTGAGAATCGGATAAGAATTGGGAAAGATATGGTCATCACAGTGGGACCTATAGGGGAAAACCCCATTTTCAAGGGGTCCCACCAGGAAAAATGGACAAAAAATCTAAAAAATATTTTGTGTCAGGATTTTAATGCAGAATGATGGGAAATCGATCCAGAAATCGTTTAAGGTACTCCGCTTGAGAATCGGATAAGAATTGGGAAAGATATGGTCATCACAGTGGGACCTATAGGGAAAACCCCATTTTCAAGGGGTCCTACCAGGAAAAATGGACAAAAAATCTAAAAAATATTTTGTGTCAGGATTTTAATGCAGAATGATGGGAAATCGATCCAGAAATCGTTTAAGGTACTCCGCTGGAGAATCGGATAAGAATTGGGAAAGATATGGTCATCACAGTGGGACCTATAGGGAAAACCCCATTTTCAAGGGGTCCCACCAGGAAAAATGGACAAAAAATCTAAAAAATATTTTGTGTCAGGATTTTAATGCAGAATGATGGGAAATCGATCCAGAAATCGTTTAAGGTACTCCGCTTGAGAATCGGATAAGAATTGGGAAAGATATGGTCATCACAGTGGGACCTATAGGGGAAAACCCCATTTTCAAGGGGTCCTACCAGGAAAAATGGACAAAAAATCTAAAAAATATTTTGTGTCAGGATTTTAATGCAGAATGATGGGAAATCGATCCAGAAATCGTTTAAGGTACTCCGCTTGAGAATCGGATAAGAATTGGGAAAGATATGGTCATCACAGTGGGACCTATAGGGGAAAACCCCATTTTCAAGGGGTCCCACCAGGAAAAATGGACAAAAAATCTAAAAAATATTTTGTGTCAGGATTTTAATGCAGAATGATGGGAAATCGATCCAGAAATCGTTTAAGGTACTCCGCTGGAGAATCGGATAAGAATTGGGAAAGATATGGTCATCACAGTGGGACCTATAGGGGAAAACCCCATTTTCAAGGGGTCCCACCAGGAAAAATGGAGAAAAAATCTAAAAAATATTTTGTGTCAGGATTTTAATGCAGAATGGTAGGAAATCGATCCAGAAATCGTTTAAGGTACTCCGCTTGAGAATCGAATAAGAATTGGGAAAGATATGGTCATCACAGTGTGACCTATAGGGGAAAACCCCATTTTCAAGGGGTCCCACCAGGAAAAATGGACAAAAAATCTAAAATATATTTTGTGTCAGGATTTTAATGCAGAATGGTGGGAAATCGATCCAGAAATCGTTTAAGGTACTCCGCTTGAGAATCGGATAAGAATTGGGAAAGATATGGTCATCACAGTGGGACCTATAGGGGAAAACCCCATTTTCAAGGGGTCCCACCAGGAAAAATGGACAAAAAATCTAAAAAATATTTTGTGTCAGGATTTTAATGCAGAATGATGGGAAATCGATCCAGAAATCGTTTAAGGTACTCCGCTGGAGAATCGGATAAGAATTGGGAAAGATATGGTCATCACAGTGGGACCTATAGGGGAAAACCCCATTTTCAAAAGGTCCCACCAGGAAAAATGGACAAAAAATCTAAAAAATATTTTGTGTCAGGATTTTAATGCAGAATGATGGGAAATCGATCCAGAAATCGTTTAAGGTACTCCGCTTGAGAATCGGATAAGAATTGGGAAAGATATGGTCATCACAGTGGGCCCTATATGGAAAAACCCCATTTTCAAGGGGTAATCGTTTAAGGTACTCCGCTTGAGAATCGGATAAGAATTGGGAAAGATATGGTCATCACAGTGGGACCTATAGGGGAAAACCCCATTTTCAAGGGGTCCTACCAGGAAAAATGGACAAAAAATCTAAAAAATATTTTGTGTCAGGATTTTAATGCAGAATGATGGGAAATCGATCCAGAAATCGTTTAAGGTACTCCGCTTGAGAATCGGATAAGAATTGGGAAAGATATGGTCATCACAGTGGGACCTATAGGGAAAACCCCATTTTCAAGGGGTCCCACCAGGAAAAATGGACAAAAAATCTAAAAAATATTTTGTGTCAGGATTTTAATGCAGAATGATGGGAAATCGATCCAGAAATCGTTTAAGGTACTCCGCTGGAGAATCGGATAAGAATTGGGAAAGATATGGTCATCACAGTGGGACCTATAGGGGAAAACCCCATTTTCAAGGGGTCCCACCAGGAAAAATGGACAAAAAATCTAAAAAAAATTTTGTGTCAGGATTTTAATGCAGAATGATGGGAAATCGATCCAGAAATCGTTTAAGGTACTCCGCTTGAGAATCGGATAAGAATTGGGAAAGATATGGTCATCACAGTGGGCCCTATATGGAAAAACCCCATTTTCAAGGGGTAATCGTTTAAGGTACTCCGCTTGAGAATCGGATAAGAATTGGGAAAGATATGGTCATCACAGTGGGACCTATAGGGGAAAACCCCATTTTCAAGGGGTCCTACCAGGAAAAATGGACAAAAAATCTAAAAAATATTTTGTGTCAGGATTTTAATGCAGAATGATGGGAAATCGATCCAGAAATCGTTTAAGGTACTCCGCTTGAGAATCGGATAAGAATTGGGAAAGATATGGTCATCACAGTGGGACCTATAGGGGAAAACCCCATTTTCAAGGGGTCCCACCAGGAAAAATGGACAAAAAATCTAAAAAATATTTTGTGTCAGGACTTTAATGCAGAATGATGGGAAATCGATCCAGAAATCGTTTAAGGTACTCCGCTGGAGAATCGGATAAGAATTGGGAAAGATATGGTCATCACAGTGGGACCTATAGGGGAAAACCCCATTTTCAAGGGGTCCTACCAGGAAAAATGGACAAAAAATCTAAAAAATATTTTGTGTCAGGATTTTAATGCAGAATGATGGGAAATCGATCCAGAAATCGTTTAAGGTACTCCGCTTGAGAATCGGATAAGAATTGGGAAAGATATGGTCATCACAGTGGGACCTATAGGGGAAAACCCCATTTTCAAGGGGTCCCACCAGGAAAAATGGACAAAAAATCTAAAAAATATTTTGTGTCAGGATTTTAATGCAGAATGATGGGAAATCGATCCAGAAATCGTTTAAGGTACTCCGCTTGAGAATCGGATAAGAATTGGGAAAGATATGGTCATCACAGTGGGACCTATAGGGGAAAACCCCATTTTCAAGGGGTCCCACCAGGAAAAATGGACAAAAAATCTAAAAAATATTTTGTGTCGAGATTTTAATGCAGAATGATGGGAAATCGATCCAGAAATCGTTTAAGGTACTCCGCTGGAGAATCGGATAAGAATTGGGAAAGATATGGTCATAACAGTGGGACCTATAGGGGAAAACCCCATTTTCAAGGCGTCCCATTAGGAAAAATGGGCAAAAAATCTAAAAAATATTTTGTGTCAGGATTTTAATGCAGAATGATGGGAAATCGATCCAGAAATCGTTTAAGGTACTCCGCTTGAGATAAGAGCGGATAAGAATTGGGAAAGATATGGTCATCACAGTGGGCCCTATATGGAAAAACCCCATTTTCAAGGGGTAATCGTTTAAGGTACTCCGCTTGAGAATCGGATAAGAATTGGGAAAGATATGGTCATCACAGTGGGACCTATAGGGGAAAACCCCATTTTCAAGGGGTCCCACCAGGAAAAATGGACAAAAAATCTAAAAAATATTTTGTGTCAGGACTTTAATGCAGAATGATGGGAAATCGATCCAGAAATCGTTTAAGGTACTCCGCTGGAGAATCGGATAAGAATTGGGAAAGATATGGTCATCACAGTGGGACCTATAGGGGAAAACCCCATTTTCAAGGGGTCCTACCAGGAAAAATGGACAAAAAATCTAAAAAATATTTTGTGTCAGGATTTTAATGCAGAATGATGGGAAATCGATCCAGAAATCGTTTAAGGTACTCCGCTTGAGAATCGGATAAGAATTGGGAAAGATATGGTCATCACAGTGGGACCTATAGGGGAAAACCCCATTTTCAAGGGGTCCCACCAGGAAAAATGGACAAAAAATCTAAAAAATATTTTGTGTCAGGATTTTAATGCAGAATGATGGGAAATCGATCCAGAAATCGTTTAAGGTACTCCGCTTGAGAATCGGATAAGAATTGGGAAAGATATGGTCATCACAGTGGGACCTATAGGGGAAAACCCCATTTTCAAGGGGTCCCACCAGGAAAAATGGACAAAAAATCTAAAAAATATTTTGTGTCGAGATTTTAATGCAGAATGATGGGAAATCGATCCAGAAATCGTTTAAGGTACTCCGCTGGAGAATCGGATAAGAATTGGGAAAGATATGGTCATCACAGTGGGACCTATAGGGGAAAACCCCATTTTCAAGGCGTCCCATTAGGAAAAATGGGCAAAAAATCTAAAAAATATTTTGTGTCAGGATTTTAATGCAGAATGATGGGAAATCGATCCAGAAATCGTTTAAGGTACTCCGCTGGAGAATCGGATAAGAATTGGGAAAGATATGGTCATCACAGTGGGACCTATAGGGGAAAACCCCATTTTCAAGGGGTCCCACCAGGAAAAATGGACAAAAAATCTAAAAAAAATTTTGTGTCAGGATTTTAATGCAGAATGATGGGAAATCGATCCAGAAATCGTTTAAGGTACTCCGCTTGAGATAAGAGCGGATAAGAATTGGGAAAGATATGGTCATCACAGTGGGCCCTATATGGAAAAACCCCATTTTCAAGGGGTAATCGTTTAAGGTACTCCTTGAGAATCGGATAAGAATTGGGAAAGATATGGTCATCACAGTGGGACCTATAGGGAAAACCCCATTTTCAAGGGGTCCTACCAGGAAAAATGGACAAAAAATCTAAAAAATATTTTGTGTCAGGATTTTAATGCAGAATGATGGGAAATCGATCCAGAAATCGTTTAAGGTACTCCGCTTGAGAATCGGATAAGAATTGGGAAAGATATGGTCATCACAGTGGGACCTATAGGGAAAAACCCCATTTTCAAGGGGTCCCATCAGGAAAAATGGACAAAAAATCTAAAAAATATTTTGTGTCAGGATTTTAATGCAGAATGATGGGAAATCGATCCAGAAATCGTTTAAGGTACTCCGCTGGAGAATCGGATAAGAATTGGGAAAGATATGGTCATCACAGTGGGACCTATAGGGGAAAACCCCATTTTCAAGGGGTCCCATCAGGAAAAATGGACAAAAAATCTAAAAAATAATTTGTGTCAGGATTTTAATGCAGAATGATGGGAAATCGATCCAGAAATCGTTTAAGGTACTCCGCTTGAGAATCGGATCAGAATTGGGGAAGATATGGTCATCACAGTGGGCCCTATAGGGAAAAACCCCATTTTCAAGGGGTCCCATCAGGAAAAATGGACAAAAAATCTAAAAAATATTTTGTGTCAGGATTTTGATGCAGAATGATGGGAAATCGATCTAGAAATCGTTTAAGGTACTCCGCTTGAGAATCGGATCAGAATTGGGGAAGATATGGTCATCACAGTGGGCCCTATAGGGAAAAACCCCATTTTCAAGGGGTCCCACCAGGAAAAATGGACAAAAAATCTAAAAAATATTTTGTGTCGAGATTTTAATGCAGAATGATGGGAAATCGATCCAGAAATCGTTTAAGGTACTCCGCTGGAGAATCGGATAAGAATTGGGAAAGATATGGTCATCACAGTGGGACCTATAGGGGAAAACCCCATTTTCAAGGCGTCCCATTAGGAAAAATGGGCAAAAAATCTAAAAAATATTTTGTGTCAGGATTTTGATGAAGAATGATGGGAAATCGATACAGAAATCGTTTAAGGTACTCCGCTTGAGAATCGGATCAGAATTGGGGAAGATATGGTCATCACAGTGGGACCTATATGGAAAAACCCCATTTTCAAGGGGTCCCATCAGGAAAAATGGACAAAAAAACTAAAAAATATTTTGTGTCAGGATTTTGATGCAGAATGATGGGAAATCGATCCAGAAATCGTTTAAGGTACTCCGCTTGTGAATCGGATCAAAATTGGGGAAGATAAGTATAATATATTTAAGGATCTTATAAGGATCGGCCTTGCGATAAATATTTTATTCCTTTCTTGTTTAGTTTACAAAGGGATGGTATTAGTACATCAGTTTTCTTATAGAAACTTGAAATAATTATTAATCAGATGTATTATATTTTCTAGGTGCCCACTTTGGCAACGAACTATCGAATTATGTTCTCAGCATTAAATATCCCAACCTCACAATCTCAAAGTCCAAGAAGATCCGGACTTTAATCGACACCCCGAAGAACGCTGGAATCTTTCACTTTCTTCTACAGGTTGAGGGTAATTGTGATTTTGAAAAAATCAAGCGCTCGTACTCCCAGTATTTAACAGATCTGAGGGATAAAACAGGAACATTGAGGTTTCCAAAGTTGCGCCAAAAATTGGTAACCTGTTGGGGCAATTATGCTTGGGTTAATGACAATAGGTGAGTTCTTACCAAGGTTATGGGAATGTAATTCATTTGTATCCATTAATTATCTCTTTCAAGTGGCTTCAACATCAACAATCACGTTCTGCTGAGCACCCACAAGTATCGAGGACGTCCTGTCACTGAATCGAATATTCAGGATTATGTTAGTGAACTGGCCACCAAGTACATACCCTCCGACCTGCCCCAATGGCAGGTGATTGTGATACCCAACTCGGAGCCCTCTCAACCCTATTATATTCTGATTAAACTGCACCACCTGATTATTGCCGAGGAGGAGGACTTGCATGTGAGTGAGATGCTGCTGCTGCAGGATCCTCAGAACCAAAAGAAAACTCTGATGTCCCTGAATGATGGTTTGGCTGAGATCTCGAATCAGGAACAGCAGCTGTCTCATTTTGTGCGAAAGCCTGAACACATCAGCCGATTGATTAATCATCTCGTGCATCTGGTTGTGTGTCGATGGCAGCAGTTTATTTACGAATTCGAGTCCCTCGAAGGTCCTGATGGCTCCAGCTCTATTACCCCCGTTAGAAATCTCAGTCAGCTTTTGTCCTTGCTGATAATTGTGATGGTTAATGTCGTTTTGGGATACTGGCGGAATCGTAACCTGCTCCAGAAACTGAAACGACGATCGGGTCATTATAGAAATGAAGTGGGTAGAATTCATACTATTAGACTGCTTTTAAATCGAGAAATAGAACAGAGAAATCTAAGTTGGATGGGGGCCAGGAATGCTATATATAATAGTCTGCAGCCAACTCACTTGGCCAAAGTTTGGACCCGATTCCTCTGGCGACTTAATCTCAATCATTTCCTTCTATTACCATATCACTTTTACTGTGAATTCATAGCCTTTGGTGATGTCCTGTTCAAGGGTCAAACCTCGTATACTTCAACTTATTGCGCCAGACTCCATTTGTACGTCCCCCTGCTACTTTATGCACAATTGGAGCTATTCAAGATATTCTGGGAGCTGTTCAAGGCTCCTAGAAATATCTACGAAGTGTTAATAGAACAGCCCACCAAGGAGCTGAATATTTTGCACAAGAAGTCCTATGCAGGGAGGAAGATTGTGTCCTTTAGTCGCTCCTTAAATGGCGTTCAATTAAGAGAACGAAATCGAGAAAAGTTCAATAACAATCTCAGGGAATCTGACTTTAGTTTGACTTGCTTGGCTGGAGCCGTTCACGACTACTTCGAGACATTCTCCAGCGATACTCAGGTTCCAAATCTATTGAATACAACTTGCAGGACAATAGATAAAGGATACTTTACCAGTCGGAGTGGGGACAAATCGGAAAATATCGGGGGCGTTGTGTTTTTGCAATTACCTTTGAAAAAACCCGATACAAATCATGCCAAGGAACTCCACGAAATTGTGGAGAAAATTCGAAGGCAACAAATAATGATATACCTAGCATCGATCGGCCAAACCAAATATAGTCTGCTCACCTCCCTATTGCCGCATGTGCTGACCAAAATATTTATAAACTTTTTCTCCTACAACTTCCCGATCACAATTACTGAGATTTACGGAGCCACGGATGAGTTTCAATCGGCCTGGGGTCAGAAAGTGCAGGATGTCCTGCTGTTTAGGCCACCCCAATCAAAGACTTGCCTTTCGCTGAATCTTCACCGTTTCGGTGATAGATATAGACTGGCCGTAATGGCAGATACCCATTTGGCACCGGATCACACAATCATCACGAGATCCTTTGAACGATATATGGAGACGATCACTCTCTGACATCTCTACGAAATCTTATGTATCCATGGATATTTATCAATTAAACGAAAAAAAAACTATTTATCCAACTTATGACATGGTATTTTTGACAACCAAGGATAAGATGGCTTTGAAATGACTGTTTCTTGTCATCTAAACTTTTACTTCCAGTTTTCAGATATATTTTTCATATGGAGATAATCATATAATATTAAAAGTTTTTAATAATTGCCACGATAAGAGTACTTCGATGGATTGCCACATGGACTATCGCGGCGAGCTACGACAGCATTTCTTTGGATCAAAAAATATTTCAGTTGGTTTAATTTTTAAGTATAAAAAATAATTTCCTTAAGGGGTATACCTTTTTCCTTGTTTTTATATAGCGAAAGAATTCCCGAAGCTATGTCTCGAAACAATTAACGCAAACTCATCATTGTGGACATAATCAAATTATGGATCATTCGAAGCACCAAGAACATCATAAATGTCCTCATAATCGTGGGTCGGGATTAAATCAGGGATATTCCCCTGTTAAGACAACTAACTTTTATCAAAGTCAGACTTATCAGAAATTAAATAATGATATTGGGCCAATGGTATAATGGGAGCTGCTGGGGAGTAAAAGTATCAGAAAATAAGATTTCTTTTTTTTAGCCAGGAAATGTCAGACGATCGTGCTTACAAATGGACACGACAAGAAATCGTCAAAGCCGACACTATACTGATCTGCCAAAGTACGAAGAACCCAATAATTGTTCTCCTAATAATGATAATAGAATGCAACAAAATCAAAAGACTTGTCAAAGAAATCATTCTAGTCGAAATAATATCTCTAAGATGGTAAGGTATTAATGGTGGTATTACATTTTTAAAGTCGTAACTTTAATGTTTAAACTATTCTTTTTCAGAAATATAATTTAAAAGCAGATTATCAAAACAGTCCTAGATTTAAGAGCGATTCTAAGCCTTACCAATACGATAGTAACCTTTCAAGACAGAATGGAGAATGTAGAGCAGGAAGGGATGCAAACAATAAGATACTTTATAAAAATTCAGCTTTTAGAATTCCCACTTCCAGTAAGAGCGAGCATGCCGATGATGAGGATGACAAGGATGCATCTCCAATCCATTACTCCGTCAAGGCTTGCAAAAAGGGAAGTTTTAACTTTATCGACTCTGCGCGAGCCCATTGCCAGGAGGTCAATAAAAGATACCGTCAGCCGCGGCAGTTGCCTACGGTTGGCATGGATGACTTGGTTCCAACTCCTGATTCCAGTAATAAGGACTCAAAGAAATTGGGACCGACTCGGAACACATTCCATAGTCCCAAGAATTGCGATGACCTCAGATCGATAGTTCGCTCGCAAATTCAGATCCAGCAGGTTTTGGATCATTCCATAAGGGCGGGAATATCGCCGTTGAACAGCTCCCCAAGAGAAGATACTTCACCAAATGAAGAGTTATTGAGCACAGCTAGGGCGACCAAGGGATCGCCCGTTCGGCATCATTGCGAGCCGGTCCATAACCGCTATCAGTGCCAAAAACACTCTAACACAAAGAATTTTCATCATAGTAGCAGTGGGTCGAGTACCAAGAACACTAAACCCTCTGAAGTTACCGTAATCAGTGCCAAAAGTGGCTTAGATCTGAGGAAAATAGTTCGCTCGCAAATAGAAGTACAGAAGGACTTGGACATCTCTATGAGGGCCGGACTTTCAAAGAAAAAGACTGTCCAGACTACAGCCCAGGTAAACCAAATTCCCTTTGACATCGGAACCACCTTCAAGGTTCCCAACATGAGCAATCCAATCAATGTAAACAAGATTGAATCCCAAATGGAGAATTCCCCCCAAGCCTCCTCTAGTATTCAACCACTTGACTTCACCGTCAGTGCCGATGATATAGTTAGCTCCAAGGTCATTACCCCCGTCATCCAAAAGATACAAAGGATGTATCTAAACACATTGCAGGACGAATTGTCTATTATGGAATATATGCAGAAGGTCCCAAAGTTGGTCAGCGAAGTTTACAGGCGCGAGGCCGCCGAAAAAGATTCAAAGAGTTAAGAAAAGTTCAAATATTCTTTTGTTGTTTGTTTCATATATATTTTGTAAAGAATAAATTAAAGGTTGGTCAAAATTATAAACATCAATAAAATTAGAACACTTTTTGAAGATTTGAAAATTTTACATTTCCCGCCTCACATTATGTTAACCTACATGCGCTTAACAGCGCCCTTAACATTGGACGTTTCGCAGCACTCTCCAAACTTTAGTGCTGCATAATGCATTATTCTTTTATTTTGCATTTAAGCGGCCAAACAATAAGCGCAGAAAAAAATTTACTTTCGGCTATGGCAGAGTCGGAATTTTGAATACAATAAGCCGCAGACAGACAGGAGAAAGGATCTGTTAAAATTAAAGCTAAGAAACTTGAGGAAGGCAGCCAACCGGAAAGCTACATGGAAGACTCGCATGCCCATTGATTTTTCGCTACGGACGCTAAATTGCTTTGCTGTAACAAAAAAGGAGTAAATATTGGTGCTGTAATCAGTGCTGGAATTTAGCCAGCAGCTAATAAAATTCTCACAATGAGCGGTAAGACAACGAAGCGAAGGAGTTTTGTTTTAATTTTGTTTTTGTTTATGCGAGGGAAGCATATTGTGACGACTGCATGGGAATTTGCAGTCTACTTTTAGGGAGTGGGGGAAAATATTGAAGGAAGGACGCACCTGCGCCCTAACTCCCCCCACCTTAAAAGTATCCTGTGGAAGTTGGACACCCCCCGATGAAGTCATCAATTGTATGGCAATGTTACAAAGTATACACAGTGGGAATTTCTTTACTCGTATTATGAATTTTTTATAAATAGTTGGGTGACTGCATGTCCTTTTTATAAATTAAAATGTTAGCTAATATTTTTTTTTTAATCTTTTAAAAGGCGACGAAAGCGGAGAAGTGGATAAACACATTCTAAATTTGTCAAAGCAGAAACTGAAAAAGGTTCCCAAGCAGGACGATGCGCACAGTGTCCGCCAGCTCATCCTGGATGAGAATGAACTGCAAAAGATCGACAACATAGACTCGTACCTTAAGGTTGAATCGGTAATTGATAACAGATCTAACCACTAAGAACCAATAATAATTCTATATCTTATTTGTTAGCTCTCCCTGGCCAAAAATCAATTGCTGCGCATGTATGGCGTTTGTCGGCTGCACTGCCTCCGGGAACTCAATCTATCCTTCAATGGCATACTCTCCATCGACGGTTTGAAGGAGTGCATTCACCTGCGCGTTTTAAATTTGGAGGGAAACACCATCAAAACTATCGAACACCTTAACACGAATGTGAATTTGGAAATCTTGAATTTGTCGGAGAACAGCATTGGAAGCATCTCAGATATATCCTATTTGCGTAATCTTAAGGAACTATATTTGCATGGAAATCGGCTGACGCATCTTAAGCAGTGCGACAAGTATCTGCCCTCATCCTTGGAAACCCTCACCTTGGCCAGAAATCAAATCAATGACCTCAACGAAATCTGCACGCTCTCCCACTTGAACAATCTGCTAAGCATATCCATTTCAGGGAATCCGTGTGTCAACATGAGCAACAGCTTGGAGTAAGTGTTTCCAATGGAAATATTTGGAATTTAAATATTAATAGTATATTTTCTTTAGGGGCTTTGACTATAGACCGTTTGTGTTAAACTGGTGCATGAGCTTGAAATACATTGATGGCTATGTTGTGGATCCAATCGAGAGTCTCAAGGCGGAATGGCTTTACAGTCAAGGTAGAGGCCGTCAGTTTCGTGTGGGGGATCAGCACGCTCTGGCCAAGTATCTCAGCTCCATGTGCCCACTGGTGGGCAAGGCCCTGGAAAACGAAAACGATCGAAAACTACGCTTAATACTAAGCAAGGCCCAACACCACCAACGTCAATTGCAGGAAGAGATTTTGGATAATGTGAATAGCTCCGCCAGCACTTCGCCCTCGTCCCATCGGAAAAAGCCTACGAGCCGAATCCAGTCGCCTAGATGTGAGATTGAGTTTAACTTTCTGATTTAGGTTGAGGATTATAACTTACTTTACTTTTAGTTTCCCGTTTGAGTGGTCGCCAAGGATCGCCTGAATCAATGGTAAATAGCTATCATGGGAACAGTAGCTGCAACAACAGCGTTGTGAGCGACAATGGCTCTGCAAACAATTCCCTACAAATGAGCATTTCGTTAATCGAGAATATAAGAAACGAAGGCGAAGCATATTCGCTGGCCGGCAGTGGAATGTCTAGCAGTGTGACCACCAAAACATACAACTCTACAGAGTCAACGCCCAGGAATATAACCCCAAATCCATACAATGGTATAATGAAATAAATTATATTATATTTTTCCCTTTTAAACTATCTGATTCTGCAGATCAAACATTTATTGGTCAAATTCCCACTGGTGGTCCCTTGGCTGCTGCCTCGAAAATGGTTCCCGTTCCGGAAACGCTTATGAGTCCGGATGTCTGTCCCGTCGCAGTAGCCCAGAAGATGACTGTCAGTGCTATCAACTCACAACTCCACAAATCCAAAATCAATAAGAACAAAGGTTGCCATTTACATACAATCTCTACTCCTTACAACATCTACATCGGTTTACTTATGAGAAATAAATATTTTTAACATTTATTACTCTCCATAAACCAGATAACAAATTAAACTTGCCGCGGGTGCGAAGTCCACAACTGAAAAGGAACCAAAGTCCGACGAGTAGTCCCCGGAAATCAACTGGCAAAATGAGTGGCGACAAAATGCAGCAGGAAAAAATAAATTCATCCGCAGTAATGGTGGATGCCGGGGGCTTCAGTACTGATGACGACGGAGACCAGATTAACATCGAGAAACTAAAAACTATCCGCAAGATGGCCGCCCAGAAGCAGCAGGAACAACAGCAGCTAGAGATTAAGCAGCAGCAGCAGCAGCTGGACAACAGCAACGACACCACCCAGACCTGTGCTGATCGCTTAATTGAACATGTTACCGAGTCCTCGGCGGTAACCATTCAAAAGATGTGGCGTGGATATCAAACCCGCAAGAAGACCAACCAGGATATAGCTGAGCGCTTGCATCATCGTCGCACTCAGGAATATATTGAGTAGGTCATTACCTAATAATTATATAACTTTTGTATCTAATTCCAATGATTTCTACAGGCAACTTAGCAAGGACATGGTACTCACCAAGGCACAGCTCGAGAACGAGCGCAAAATTCAGCAACTGCAGATGCAGGCCATCAATGCGTTGTGGAAAAAGGTATCCACCATGCAAGTGGACCCCAGGGGTGCACCTCCAGCCGTGGACCAGGTGGAGGATGCCATTGCCGGCTCTGGCAACGTTAGCCTTGATCAGAACTCGGCCTCGGTGGTTAATGATCTGGCCAAGCGATGCACCTTGCTGACAGATCAGGTTCAATCACTGCAGAGTTCGATTGGAACCATTGTCAACTGTCTGACAATGGTGTGCAACCTACCGCAGGATGCAATTAAAAAGCAGGCGGAGATCATCGACTGCAGCTCCACACAGACGGACTTGATTGCCGTTCACACTCCTCAGATCGAGGATCTTACCAATTTTCCTTTCACCAAAGCTAGACCCTCAACCTTGGCCCTGGAGTCCAAGCACGAAATGATCGCCTCATCGAAAATAGAGGAACTGAACGATGGGGAACTCAAAGAGAACGATCAGGCTGTTCATCTCGAAAACGAGGCATAAATGAGGAGTAAACGCTATAACTAATCGTGTAGGCTTTTATGTAGCTTTTACAACAATTTTCAGCTGCAGCAGGATTCATTTAATTAGTGGTCACCAAAAACAAAATTTTTTGTTATATTTTGAATTGTAGTAAAGGTATAAAACCAATGGTTAACTAAATACAAAGCGCAATTTTTTTGTAACGCAGTTATTACTTCATTTTTAATTAATTAGTTCTTTGATGTTTTTTATGTATAAAAGTCTAATGGAACGGAAATAATTTAAATTCTTTGATTTTTTATTAAATTTAAACTAAATTACGACTCTTCATCAGAAGCAGGAATAACAAACATGCTTCGATGCCACATTTCTCAGAGATGCACCATTAAAAAAAACCTTAACTAAGTTTAAATCAATTGGGGAATGTCAGTCTTCATCGCTGCTGGATGTGTCATCTTCATCCTCCCCGGAGGATTCTTGATTTATTACAGGCCGATTTGTGTTGGGCGGAAGATCATCTTCGAAATCGGAGTCATCTTGATTTTGAGCGGAGATTTCTTCCTGGCCAGATTTTTTGGTGAACTTCACTGGCCAGATTCCAGCTTTGGTGTATTCCTTGACATGCTCAGTGGTAAGGATTTTGCAGATTTCTGCTTTGACTTTGTCGCCCTCCTCGATGGGTTCAATCAGCAGGAAATCGCCTCGTTTCACCCACATACTTTTCCGGAATTTATTGGGCATGGAGACTGTAAGAATTGTTTAAATTATACTTTTGAATAGTTATGCGGAGAATCTTAGCCCAGTTCCACACTCACCCAGAAAGTTCTCCTCGTTGGTGGCCGCTTCCACCTCGTGGAGATTGTTTCCACGGCTGCTGACCACCCGCACGATTTTCTGTTGCTCGGTGGGCAGCGCAAAGTCATCCTCCATCATCTCCTTTATGAGGTGCTTGCGGCGACTGATACTCGGGTGGGATCGATGCATTTTAGTCAGTAAATTTTAGGGAAATACGTAAATTTACAAAATATTAATAATTTTTGGTGCCATTTAGTGTGCCCAGATATATTTTACTAGAAATGACCAAAATTAGTTTTTTAACATTGGTCTGTTAAGTATTAACAGACACTGTACAGTCATAGTCTTGTCTACTTTGGCGCCTTATTTGAATTAAAGATGGGTTGGCAGAAGATTCTAAAAATTAAATAGAGTATATACGATCACAACAGCACGAGGACAATTTATTTTTAGCGCCACGCTTGCATATACATACATAAGTAATTCAAATTTTGTATACAATTTTGTAACTTAACAAATTAGCGGAGAAAAATCCATATAACGAGAAATTTGCTTAGCAATAGTGTGAATAAAAAGCAACTACAATTAAAAAATATATCATCGTGGTGTTTCTTAGATTAGGTATTCAGTTTTTGCTGCGTCTCATAAGCATTCGCTCCTTCAAAGAAATGCGACCGGACTTTTCTACTTTCGTGGAGACGTTTTTACGGGACTCGATTTGTTTAGTCTTCTTCATCCTGTAAATCGGTAAAAAATAAGTTATAATGCCATAAAATAGATATTTTAGACTAACTTACAATTCGTTTAAGAGATCTGTGATCATCTTCTTCCAAATATCTTTAAAATCGTTAGTGAAGTTGGTCCAGTACTCGAAAAACTGATCGGGTGTGCACTTTTCCAGTGTCACAGAACCAGTTTTTGGTGTAAAGTGATAAAACTTCATCGTCTTCATGAACAAGTCGCGGCACTCCTGGAGGAGCTGCTTGAGCTTGTCCATTGATTCTTGAGCTCCTGCAATGAACTCCTCCATTTTGGACTTAAAGGGCTCCTGGATATCCGGACGCGAGGCGGCCAGAACTTTGGCTGTGGTTCTCTTGTGTTCTAAATGGAGAAATTGTCTTTTTAAGAAAAGGTTACCTAACAAAAGAATTCTACTCTGCTCACCCTTGAATTTAGTGTCGAGCTCATCAATGAGTGTGTTCACAACATCGAAATCCAACTGCGCCGCTCTCTCCACGTCCGCTGGCTCTGGGATCGGCAGCCGGATCTCCAAAAGATGCACTCCCTCCTTTCTCCTGTGCTCAATGTACGTGCGCACTATGAAGTGGAGCAAAGTGGTGTGCGAATCCTTGGACTTGACATCCTTGAGCTTCCCGAGAATATCCAGATTAAAGCCATCGGCCTGGCCGCGCTGGCGGTTGCCACCGTTCATATAATTACCAAGAGTCAAAATGATGGAAAACACGAGTTTGAGGTCTTCACTTTCGATGAGCTGCTTGGAAAGCTGGGAAATAGTCTCCAGCTTGCGGACCAACAGAGTGAGGGACTCCTCAAATTCGGTCTGGAAGACAATGCACGAGATCCGCTCCTTGGCCATCGAGATCAACGATATGTCCAGCAGGAACTGCTCAGGATGATCGAGGGGTATGTCCCCTCCGGCGGCCTCCTTGATCATCTGCAGTTCAGCATCGGTGCCCTGAATATTACTAATGGTCTGCAGTGCCTCCAAACTGACTACTGACGTATCTATGTGGTATATTGCATGCTCGATTTCGCTGGACGGGACGTGCAAGCTCCTCCAAATGATTCCCACATTGCGGGACCTCTCCTGGTCGAGGACCTTAATCGATTTCGCCCTCTTGACCTTGGCTTCCTTGGGCCGGCTGACTGGTGCCATCGCCTGGCGGGAAAACAGCTCCGTAAATTCGTCGATATTGTCCAGAGGGGTTTCCTCGATTTCCGTCCAAATTTCCTTGGTGGGAGGGGGGGTAGATTCCACCGCAGGTGGTTCTTCCGGTGAGCTGCCACTATTGTCTGTACTGTCGGTGGAATTGGCCACCGACGGGGGTCGTGGGACTGGCGGGGCACTAGTCACGATTCGGGTCCAGTATAAAGGACGCATGGGTTTTGGCGGGTTAACAGCACTCTTGCGCATTGCTGAAAAGTAAAATTTATTTAAAATAATTAAGAATAGGATACTAAATCTTTACACTCACTATTTGTGCGATGGAACCAATTCCCTTCGGCGGGATCTGGAAGCGGGGCGGGTGAGATCAGCGACTTGGAGGGCGAGGCGCCCATAGGAGGTGGTGGGGGCGGGATTCCGCAGGCACCCGGTGCTGGAGGAGGTGGAGGCGGTCCCGCGCCACATCCTGGCGGCGGGGGAGGCGGAGGTGGAGCTGCCATCATGAAAGGGGGTGGTGGTGGTGGTGGAGGTGGAGGTGGGGCGTTTAATGAAAAAGGGGGCGGCGGTGGAGGCGGTGGCGGTGGGGGTGGTTTGAAGTGCAGTGGAGCGGGAGGCGGTGGAGGCGGTTGTGGGATTGTCGATTGCTGGCTGCCTGTATCACTGTTGGCTTTGCCCTTTGAATCCTGACTATCATTCTGTGCGGCCCCGCACTTGCACGATCCTTTGCAGTTTATAAGCTCTTCCCCGAAATCTCCTACTTCCGTTTGGGTACCTGCATCCACGACGTTTGCCAGGTTAACGTCCGTCTTGTTGTACTCATAGACGGTCGATTCGCTGCCGTTCAGGACATCCGTGAAATTCACACACCTTTTGGATGGTCGCCGCGGTGGTTCATCCACACTGCTCAGCAGTTCGTTAACCACCGCATGGACCTCCGCCAAAGTGGTGCAGTTCAGGAGGCGCTTTTTCAGAATCTGCTGGAGGGTATTTTGATTTTCCGATACCGAAGTGGTTTCTGCACCTGCCACGGCTGCTGCTGATGATGCTGCTGTCGCTGCTATTGCTGGTACTCCAAGAGCACCTGACGCATTGCTCAAAGAGATCGCCTCCAGGTTTCGTAGACCAGATGGGGTACTCGAAAATGGCCAAGCTGCCACTGCATCCAATTTCCCGGGAGTCAGGGGCAGTGATGTCGTCGGCTGTTCCGTGTGCGTCCATTGGTACATCTCATACGGCTAAGGATTGAAAAAATATTTATTAAATTATACATGTTCTAAAGAATGGAAAATAAATTTGTATATTTTTAAAGAAAGAAAAGGGCCAAGTGCATTGGTTGCAAGTTGGTCTCGAGCGTGCCACAAGCGACAAAGCTTAAAAGCACCCACTGGCCTAAGTTGGCTTTATTTTCTTCTATCTAGTTTTCATGGAAAACTCTTTTGATTTTGATTGTGCATGTCGTCGCTGACTTTTCAGTCCCACTGTGGGGACTGCCTTTCCGTGTCCTGTGACCTCGTAAAGGAAAAAAAAAGTGGACTGGATACAGAGTGGATAAAAAAAGAGAATATTGAAAATAAAAAGTGTTACTTAAGAGTTCTGGAATTTGAAATTAAAGTCGATTCCCCAGAAAATTGTAATTAAGAGATCAAAAATATGAAAGGCTGGTCGTCCACCCGATTCCACACATACTTGTCGCTCATCGCTGACAAATGCAATTAAAATTGCAATTTAATTATGCCGTTAACAAGTGGCGCTCACTTTGCATTTCAGCATACCCATCTACCCACTCCCACCCACACAGAAAGGCTAATCAGTCAAAGAACTGAGAACTTGACAAATGCAAATCAAGTGCAACAGCTTGCCCCGATGGCTGATTTTGCAGATGAACACACAAACTCTCACACACAGTATATATAACCCTCTGCCAGGGGTATATGGGCTCTAAGGGTATAGGGATAGTGGGGTAAATAGGGTGGGGCCGGGTCGAGTTTATCGCACTTTACACCATTTGCACCAAGTGTTTGCACTTCAGGCTGGTGGTGTCGGCGATTTGCATGTTGTTTGCACATTTTAAAGAAACCCAAGAAACCCACAAGTAACCAGAGCAGACCTCAAAAAAACTGGAAAACCCAAACGAAAAACCCCCATAAGAGACCTCATAATGGTGGGACAGGCTAAAGCCAAACATAATCACATCTCAGGCACATTTAACCTTAACTTCTAGTCAAGTCAAGTCCCTATTCCCACTTAATTAACAACAACATCCAATTCTATCTAATCTAATACCATCAGCCACTTGATATAGCTTCTCTTTATATATATATATATCTAAATAGTAAAATAACAATCGAACACGCGCTGAAAGAGTCCCAAACAAATCGAACATTCACGCACTTTTAGTTACATTGCACATTCAAATCCAGTTTCCTCATTTCTGCATCAAAGTTTCGTTTGTTCCGGCAGACCCAGTAGAATAATACCACTATATAGTATAGTTGGGTGGTGGAAGGGGTTCAACGGAGAAAAACTTTCGACTCAAAGTAATAAAAACGCACAAACTTTCAATGAGCTGCAGCAACAATAACATGAAGAAACAGAAGGGACTACGGTATAAATAAAAAGAAAATAAGAAAGGATACAGTAAGTCCTTTAAAAAGGATTAAACTTACTTGAAAAAATATATTTTTTAACTTAAAAAGCTTGGTTTAATCACTATAAATGATAATCTAATCAAAAAGGCTATAATAATTTACAACTGGGGTATTATTTAATATAGTATAGCCACTGTACAAATCCAAGAAAAGTTAAAGTCAAAGTCGAACAACGAACCTTTGGCTTTGTCTCTCCTTTTCGCACCCCTGTGTCCTGGCCTGTTGCCCAAAAAGTTCGAACACCATTCCGGAGACATTGGAGACGTCGTCAGCCCTCTCTATATACCTCCGACCCCTGTGTATAGTCCTACTTGGCAGCCAGTTGAAGAAATTTGTGATATCATAATCTTGAGCTCAAGTATCATCACATAGAAAATCACTTAACGGTGTCTCTTGTCCCGCCAGACCCCCACTCTCGATTCTTTCTCTTTCTATATTCATCAGGATGTGTGTGAGAGTGTGTGTGTGGGTGGGTGTGTGGCTGAGGGTGTGTGTTTGGCTCTCTCAGGGATTTGAGGTTAAGCTGCTGTGGCTAAAACTTTTGGCCTAAACTAATTTGAGGGCTATATCTAGTGCTTCATTATTTGCGGTGGTATTTGGTTGTTGTATGTTGGTCTTGTTGCTCTTGTTGTTCTTGTGTTTGTTGCAACTTGTGGTAATTTGTTGTTTTTGTTATTGTCCCTGCTGTCGCCTGTCTAATAACACTTAACCGGGGTCTCGGTTTACAGCCCTCGAAATGAAAGCGGAACAGCCATCTTCTTTGGCATCTTCATCTTTTGGCCTTTTTGTGCTGGCCGGGCAATTAAAGCTTTTCCGCCTTTTCCCAGGCTATTTGTTTATTTAGCTTTCTGGTCAAGAGCAGTGCTAAATGCTAATGCCCTGGCCGAGACCGAGGCTAAACTGTACCCAATATGACCAACTATTATGGAGTCCATTAGGCCCAACGCAGATGAAGATGACCAACCACCATAGCCAGATGCTTGCCCTGAAAGAGTTGGCCCAAAGAACGAGTGGACAAAAAGGCAAAATGGCAGTTAACTGGTGGACATATAAAAAGACTTGAATTGCCAAGTTGCACTTGGAACAAATTAATTATATACAAATTATTTTTGAAAATGAATTACACAATAAAAAAGAGTAATAAATTACTTAAATATTCAAAGATTTAAATTTCTATATACATTTAAGTTTTGAGTACTTCTTAAAGGTATAAACTTTAGAGGAAGTCTTCTTCTAAATTTTCTTTTTAAAGAAAACTTTCTTATCAATTTCCTATTATACCTATAGTTTACTTTACTGTGATTTTTTTTAGTGCATCTCAATGACCAACTTTGGTTTCATAATTTGTACAGGCAATAAAAACAACAAAATCAACAGCTATGGCCGAGCAGTAGAAGCGAAAAATTGTTAATGGAGCCAAGAGAAGTTGGCTTCTGATAGTTGACGGCTGCCGACTGTAAAGTTTTAACAAGTTCTGACACTTGCAGGCAGGGACTGCGCCGGGCCGTCGCCAGTAGGCGTAGCAGGGGTTAGATGGACAACCGCTATGGAGCTCTCGGTTAAATGAAAGTGCAACGAAGGCCTGCACCGACTTAGTTCTCACTCGGTTTGTCCTTTTTTTTTTTTGCAATAGAATTGCTAATTTCCGGGCACAACTTTGTGGTTCGTTTTTGTGGCACAACTTTGCGAAACGACTTCGAGCAGGGGCAACACTGCGTATGGGTGATGTTATGCCGAGAGGTCAAAAGTTAAAGAATCAAAGGGCCGAGGGAGTCTGGACACTATGAACAAATTTAATTAAATAATGACAAGTAGCTAGTGAATCAATTATTTATAATTTTTAAAAATTCAACCCACCAAGTTGAGAGCTCAGTGCAATAACAGGCTGCAGTCATTAACTATAGTTTTTCCTCAGACGCTAATGACTTGAAACTAAGTTAAGCTCTCTAAGCCCCCTATCCCTTAAAAACCCTTCATCGCCATGATTTTATTCCCTTTTTGTGCCCCATGATTTGATAGCCAACGCGCTGTCATCATTTCCGTTGGCGCCGCGGCAACATCCGCCAGGACCTTCGACTAGGAACCTATTAGCACCCTCTGCCACTCTCGAAATGAAGATGACCAATTTCCGGAAAGGATGGAAGTACATTGAACTTACGCTGAATCCGCCGTCCAAGTGCTCATTGGAGATCTGCTTGAGGACGCCGACATATTTGAGATTATTGCAGAACTGCATCGCCAGCGAGTAGAATAGTTCCTGGTTGAAGTCGTGGAGCGAACTTTTTGGGTTGTTTTGCATCGTTGAGATAATCCATTTCATCAGCATTTGACCTGCAAGGCAAAAAAGGGAAAGCAGTTGTTACTGACTGAAATAACTTTGATCACAGCTGGTCCACTTATTCACTTTGTGTCCCCCAACCATGGGGGCCAGAGGAAAAAAAATAAAAGAAAACTTATAGCCACTAAGTTGAGAGATTTATGGGCGGGAGAAGCTAGGGGGTAAACCAACTCCCAAAACTGAGAACCCAACAACAAGAAAAAACTGTGGAATAAATAATTTTCTGGGGCAGGAGTCAGACAGAAAGCTGAATGAATATATGAAATAATCCTAATCAATAGGGCAACCAAAGAAATACCCTAAGAACTCAAGATTATTGTTTATAGGTATACATATTTTATGAATGGATCCATATCAGCAATATGGATTTATATCTAATGATATTACTCAAAGTTTTTTCGCGTATGCCTCGGTTACTCATCTAATCAGTTTAGCCATTGAACTACCTAATTTTAAATCGTATGACTAATGTATTGATAAGATTTATAAGTAAAAGTAGAACCTATTAAAAGGTAATGGCATGAAAGGTATACACATTAAAAAGGGCATCAAATATCCGGAGCTTACTTAAATAAAATTAAATATTTATTTACAAATAGATTCAAAAATAAACAATCTAGTAATTTTTAAAAACCACAAACTACAACGTTTCATAATAATAATTTCACAGTCAATGGACTCTGTCATAAAAAACTGTTTGTAGTAAAAATAAAAAAAATATATGTATCAAAGAAAAAGAAGAAACAAACTTACGCTGGCCGTCAGCGTTTGAGTGGGAAACAGTTCGCAGGAGCAGCAGGAGCAGATGTTTTGGGTCACGAGTCGTGGGCAGGTCAACGGTCATCCCTTGGATGCGTAGGATGCTAATTCCCGACCAGGTCCCCGACTCCCAGCCCCAAGACAGGGCATCAGGTGGCTCCTGGGCCTGTTCCAGCGCCTGTTCGACTCCTCGTTCTCTTTGCAAAAACCGAGAAGTCTGCGCCCTTTTCCCGGCCAATGACATTATCTGAACGTAATGTGATGGTAGTTGGCTGGGGGAGAGGTCCTCTTCGAAATTCCATTTTGCAGAGAAATTCTGTGGTTCTGGTTTTTCGATATTAGTTTGAAAATTCCTCGACGGCTGCTTGGCCAGCAAAGAGCACCAAACGTTGCTTAAACTAGAGGACATATATGTGGAATATATGTATATATTTTTTCTCAGATCCGGGAGACCCAGTAGAACCTTCTCCGATCAATTCAAATACTAAAATGTCGAATCGGTTTCGCGTTGTACGTTTCGAGCAAAAAAAAATTAAAACTTGTCGTACATTATCAATGTCTAAAGCGTACATATATGGTATGACAACCCAATACGTCAGTTCTTTACACTTGGAAAAAATTATTAAAAAAGCAACCAAGCTTCATTTTGTGAAACCTTAAATTGTCCATAATTTCTTCAAGTGTAACTGATAACACTTTAGCTATAGAGATAGAGAACTAGAGAGTATAACTATTAAGTTCAGAACAGGAGAGCTTCGATGGCCCTGACAAGGTCGCCTGGTTTATCAGTCATGGGTAATTTGTTCATCATGTTTTCATTGCCCTCCAAAGTTGAATCATTTTTATGAATTTTTCTTAAACACTAATGACGTTTATTTCTCTTTATTATTACGTCTAACTTTTATCATAAACTGACTAACCAACCCGTTCCTTTATAGACTTTCCTGAAGGTTTGTTTTGGTTTTCGTTGGCATTATCGCAGAAACTTTTAACAATCTTTTTGATGGGTGGAGTGTTTCGCCTTTTAGGACTTAAGATAGCGGCGAAAGCAGAGTGATAATGACTGATAACTTGATGGAGACAGTTGATAGATTAAATAAAAGTGATGGAAAGGCCTTTAAAAAGATTGAGTGACGCAAATCTCTACCGAAACACGTCTCAATGGGTTCTTTTAAAATCAATTATAGAAACTAATTCTCCATTCTTAGATTTAAGAAAATTTATCTCTATGGATACCCCTTGGTTGACCTCATTCCATTGGCTCCAAAGATCATTAACTCACGGACCACATGCAAAGCTGCTGGCAAGGATTGGCATATTGGATGATATCGATGGTGGCAATGGGGTTAAGTCCGTAGAGCAGCAGGACAACGGAAGGAAGCGGAGCTTAGCTGGACATCGTTGGCCTCATCAGTAGTGGGGATCTTTGTTGTTTCTGCATTTTTGTTGCCCTATTGTTGTTGTGGCTTTTGCTTTTTTTGGCCTTTATTGCTGGCGCCGTCGCGGCAGTGGCAGCGACGTTGTGGCAAACGGTTTTGATGAAAACTGCGCCACGGAGAACGCAGAACAAATTTGCATAACTGCTTGCCAGGCAAATGCAACGCTAGGACACTCTAAAAAAATGAAAATTTTCTCTTTTAATTACCAAAAAAATTATGAAATTTTGACTACTAATGCATCATAGAATCATATTAAAGTGGAAGGGCTTGCAACCTCTGGGCTTTATCTTTCGTATAGAAGTTCTAAATTTTTATTAAAAATTTTCCCAAATTTTTGTTTTAGTGCACAGTCATTTTGTGACGGTTTAGAAGGGGAAGTGCATTGGATGGCAGCGGTTTTTGGCGCCTCACGCATGCATGCGTTGCATTCATCAACGGCAGAGTGACGTTCGCCCTCTTCATTCCGACAAACAAACCGGATGAGAATGAAACGATGCCGAAAACCACAAAGCAGAACTCAGAATGAAGCAATAGGGGACAGAAACTGAGAAGAGAATGGATACCAAAACGGAAGATCTGGGGAGCTTAAGCGAACTCCAAATACTCAAGAATAGTTTTGGAAAATATTGGAAATATTTCCAAAACAAACTATAATACTTTAAAAGGGGGTTTAAGGATACAGATCCAAGCTTTCTAAACTGTTTCTTATATTTCGAAAATTGATATTTCAAATACCCATAATAATCCATCCAATTTACAATAGGATTACAGGGTATTTAGGGCCAAAGGAAGTAGAATTTTGTGGCAGCTACATACCTTCTTCCCTTACCCAAAATATTGTTTCATTACGCTTTGGCCGGCAACATTGTCGTCTATACTTGGTGGCACCCAGATCTCCTTGGAGTTCTCCACCCGCTGCACCCTCCGCTATACTCCTTTGGCTGCTTTTAGTCCTCATCCCGCCCAGAATCTCTTCATCCAAACGAAGCTGGCGAACGTGATGGTTTCGAGCATATAAATCAGATTTTTGGTCCAAAAGCGGTGCCGGACGTTGCCTGATGAAAAGTCGCGACAAAAAGCTTCTGCTCTTGTCCGCCTGTTCTCCTAGTGTCCCGCCTTCTTCCTGCTCGGGCTACTACCATGGCATCCCCCATCCCAATTTAAGTACACGCCGTCGCCCCATCTTGCTGAAAAGCCACGAAGAATTGATGGCCACTTCAGAGACAATGACAACGACGGCGACAGCACGAAAAGCGTAAGCTCCACTCGAAGAAAAAAGTCTAGAAATTATGTCTAATTATGAATAGTTTTTGGGTAGAAAATGACTTATTTTTAGAAGAAAAACTAAGCTTTAAAAATGACTTTTTATTAAAAAGATTGTGACTCATAAAAAGCTATTGATGGTCTAATGTCTTATCTACATTTTGTATTATCATGGCTGGATCATGGCTGGATTATAGCTTAATTATCTTTGACTTTCAAGTATTGGCTTTTAAAAAACCATTAAAAGCTTATTCAATTTATTTATCAATAGTCTGGTAATATTGCGCTTCAGAAACTGGCCTAGACCTCGCAGTTTTTAGTTTCCAGTGCACCAAATTGCGTGTCCAGCTGAGTGTTGGCCCCCATCCGCCATCCCCCGCCCCAGCTCTTTTGTCGCTTTTTTGGCCTAGACCCCCCCCTTGTTGCAGCTTCTCTGCTTCTTCGGTTGTTTGCCCAGCGAGGCGTTAAAATGTTTGTTTGCATTAATTTGCAGCAGACGACAACGGGCGGTTGATGATGATGATGACGGAGGATCAGGATCCGTGCATGACCAGGGGCTGGTATTATGAGAGGGGGTGTTAGCCAAGCCTGACAACGATGAGCTTACCAATTAGCGCTACCCCTCGAAGCTGGGCGTGGCATGTGTCAAAAACTGTGCCTCCAAAAATGCAGCCCGCACAGCGCTTTTGAAGTGAAAGTTTGGAGCTTCTTTTTGCTGAAGAAATTCTGGATAAATAGAAATAGTTTTACAAAGAAGGTTCAATTTTCCAACGCACCACGCAGGAGAAAAAAATTCTATAAATTTTCTCTTTATATATAGAAATATTTACTGAGAGAATCTTGTAGAATCTATCAAGGATTCTAAGATATTTTCGCAGGCTATGTCTTGCCATTAAATTAACAAATTAGTATGCCTAGTATAAAAGATTAAATATTTGTCTGGCATGTTAATTCATAGACAGAATTAAATTCCGGGAATTTTCCATCTCAGCTTGGGAGACGAATTCCGAGTCGTGGTCGGAAAGTATGCTATACATTTTCAGGTTCTAACAGGAAGGAGATTAAAGTCAAGGCTCGAATGTATATGTGTGTGTGCGTGCACTTCAAACACTTGGGTGAAAATGTTAAGCCCGCAAGTTTTGCCTTCTCTCCTCTATTTACATACAAATTTTCCCAATTATGCAATCATTCAACTTGATTTGGCTTCCTTTTCTTGACTGATTTTCAGGAAAAAGAGCCGAGAAAGGGCGGCGGGCGGCGGACTTGGGGAAGGTGAAAAGAAAGTCCGCTGGAGCTGAAGCAGGCAAATTAATTGTTAACTTTAAGCAAACAACAAACGCAATCAAACGTGGAACTACCAAGAAAAAAAAAATAAAAGAAATGTTTGAAAATCAAGTGAAAGGGGCGAAAAGGAAAGGGAAATAAAATTAAATGTTTCCCGAGTAACGACAAAAAGGCAAACAGTAAATGTGCAGAAATCGCAGAGGTTACCTTTATATTTCGTTTGCTCCCTTAAAATTCCATTTCTTCGGCGATTTTCCCGATTTCTCTTCTCGATATCCCTTTACTTTTACTGACTGTTCCTGCCTTTGGCAGGACCCTACTGAAGTCTCAGATTTAACTTATAGGTGACGAAAAGCAACGAGATAATGCTCTTGAAAAAATATGTCATATTTCTTTCAAGGTTTAAGAATCTTTAAAATAGGGAGAATAATATCCCTTAATAATAATTAATTAATAAATAAGCTAAACTATATTTTAATTTCATTTAAAGAAAGAGACTTTCCCCTTTGGTGAGATCATGGTAATATTGTGATTTCTTTTTATATTTCTTCTTAAAATATAATATATTTTTCTTCAATATTTTCAAATAACCTCTTACTTAGAGTATTTAAACACGAATATTTCGGCAAACTTACCTTCGAACTTTTCATATGCAGCGAAGCTTAACTTTTCCGGTACATAAGATGAGCCGCGTCGCGAACCAGCCCCTACTGCTGCCCCTGCCCCTGTCACAGCCACGCCCCCCGGAACTTCCGGCAGGGTTGCTGCCGCCAACGACGAAGTCGGCGTGGCCAAGAGCGTTGTCTCCTCACTCAGAATCGGGGGATTGGATTGCGAATTGGAGCTACTGCTATTGCCCACCGAAGACTTCTCGACCGTGAAGCTGGCGACCTTCTTTAGCACATTGCTCGACAAAAGGGGCGTGGTGGGTGTACCAAAGCCCGGGGGCGGCGGTGGCAGTGGCAGGGGCGCCGTGTCATCCTCGACATTGTCAGTAGCGAGTACCACTGCTGGCGGTGCTGCAGAATTCGTTTGAGACTGCACAGGTGTTTGAGATGATTTAAACGAAATTATAACAGTTGATTGCGTTTCCAGCGACGATGGCGCGGCTCCTCCAGCATTTCCTAAAAGTCCTGACGCTCCTGCGAATGAATGAATGAATGACGAGGCAATGGCATTAGCCGGATAAATTTGTATAGAAATTCCTGAGTTTATTTGGGGCTTTTGGCCCGAGCTTGCTGGCTGCTTAAATAAGTGAAAAATTGAAGATAAATGTATTCAGGCGGCGCATAAGTCACTTCCCATAATTACTGGTTAAATTGTAAAATATTCCGCAAACATTTGCCAATCATCAATCATTTCTTAAAAATTCTATAGAACATCTGATTTATTGGTATTATGTTCAAAGTAAAAAATAGTTGCAGTGTTTATCGAATGACTTGATAAATAAATTAAAATTTCTGTTTACTTTGTGGCTCTTTAGTTTGTTTTGCTTTTTTCGGAAGCTAAAAATTTTAATATGCTAAAGAACGTCACGTCAATATTTAAATGATTTACAATCATAAAATCGAAATTCATGTACAACAAGGGCATAAAAAATGGCTCCTGCTGCCGGCAAAATAAACATACAATTTTTCTAGTGCATTAAATCTTCCATTACCTTCCCCCTGGCAGGACCTGGCCAATCAGGACTTCACCTCCCAGGGTTTGGAGGTGGGAGGCACTTTTTTATGGTCCCTTCACTCCGATTGAGTAGACCCTGCGGAGCGCTTATCGCAGCCCATCATCATTGACTGTGTACCCAAGTGGTTACGCCGACCCTGGCATCTGCCCCTGATCCAACAGCAGCCGCGGACCCCCCGATTTCGCCTACAGGCCTTCGATTTGGCGGAAAACTCCCGCGTGTATCATTCTATGTAACATGATTTAATTAAAATTTAAACTTACGTTTTTTTTTCCAGCCGCTTGGTTGGCTGGATGGTTTGTTTCAGAGCCGCCCCTGCGGAGTAACAACAATGGGGATTCAACAAAGTCAGAAAAGGAAGCTGAAGCTCCGAGCCTGAAGCGCCTGTTTCCGGCCAACATTTTGTAAACAATGAAGACGTGTTTGCAATTTTTAAGTTTTTACAAATGTTTTTTTGTTACTCGGTAGTATTTTTTCGGCGCTTTATTTTCAGCTCTTCTGGGTATTCGCGAGCGATATGCCATATACCCCAAGCCGAAGGCCCGAAAAAAGCACCGAACCATGTTTGCTTTTGTTTATCGAGCTGAGCGAGTTGGGTGAACGCAATTAGAGGAAGCTGGTGGGCGGGTCGGGGCCAGGAAGGGCCTGGAGAGGAGTTTTGGGGCCACTTTAGCCGGGGCAATTATATATTTAAAATATCATGTGAGGGGGGACGTGGGAGTGAAACGAGTCCTTGCATAAATGTGCCAATAATTACTTTTGGGTCCTGCTTGCTTTTGTTACATTTTTTTTCCTACAAGCATTATTCTCGCATCTTTTTTTTTCTTAATTTTTTTTTTTTGGGTAAAGGCGTCGCTGATCGGATCAGTTTGAAAAACAAAGACAGAAAGGGTTTCGGGGGAGGTGGGAAAATTTGAGAGACGGCTTGCTACATGAGTTAATTAAAAAACTTTGCGTTAAGGTCCTGCCATCGTCCTTTTTGTTGGATATTTTTTTCAATGTTGGTCAAGAAAAGTATCAAGTTCATTAAGATATTTACAGATGTTTAAGAAATAAGAAAAAATATGTAATTAAATAATTAGCAAGCTTCTCATAATAGAAAAAAAAGTTCATAACTCCTTAATAGTTTAAGTATTTTTAAAACACATTAAATTTTAATATCTTTAGCATTTTCTGAAAAATTTGCTTAGTTGCTTTTTTGTGCCATCACCTCTGAAGAGACTTAGGGCTCTTGAATTTTTTGAAAGGACATGTGCGGAAGGTGCAGCCCTCGAGTCTACAGTTTGGCAAGCACTCCTGTGCGACCCGTGTTTACTCTTGAAATTGGCGCAGAGAAAAATAAGCAACAATCCGCACAAAAAAGGGACAAGCTTTTAGACATCTCTTCTCCCCAACATTTTTTTTTTTTTGAAGGACTCAAGGACCACTCAGTAGAGCACACATATGGCTACAAGTGGAACAACAAACAGGACCAGAAATTTTGAAAATCGAGAGAGAGGGGTAAGCCTTTTTTATTTAATTCATTTAAATGTTTAAGAAACTAAATTCTGAAACATTAATAGACTAAATATTTTAAAGACCTAATGGTAAATATTAAATGATATCTCACCTGATTCGATTGGGGTTGCAACACCTGACGTTTGACTGACGGCTGCCGTAAATCTGGATGACAGATTCTGCAACTCCACCTTTTTCGCCTTGGAGACGTTGAATAACTCCCCATTTCCCAGCGGTGAGTCCACGCGATTTCCAGATCCACCCTCCATATTTCTTGGGGTCAAGGGTGATCCAGTGCCACTACCCAGGACTTGCGCCAGCTTCTTGCCCAACTGCAAAGCCATTAGTTCGTCCGGCGAACTCTCCGCCGGGCTAATCGGTGCTACCAATAGATCCGAGCTGAGCAATATGGCCGGCTGGGCTTCCTCAACCTCCTGCAGGTCATTGGCTATGGTTAAGCGGTACACCTGTGATATACTCAAGCAGGCCAACTTATCCTTGACACAACGTTGCTGCAATTCGTGAACCCCCTCGGCTGTACTCGGCGAACAAGTGTCCACTGAAGTCACACTTATTTCGCTCAGTGGACGATCGCGTTTTGATTGTGGAATCCGGACGAGGTCGTTCTTAGCTGCATTTAGATACTGTTTGGGTTCGGCTATTTCCGGGACGGGATCTGTGAATAGGGAATCATTGCTTGAGCAGGTTGTGCACAGGGATCTCTGGTCGTAGGGTATGGAATGGTGATGGATCGAGTTGGAATGATGGTGAAACTGCCGCTGTCTTTGGCGATGGGTCAGAGTGTCGTTGGAGGCATAGCAACAGTCGTCGCCGCTGCAGTTGTGGAACTCAAGGGAGTCGGTGCAATCCAAACTGATCACGTCGTCTATATTCGGATTTATTTTTAAATGCCAGCAGCACAAAGTCAAGAAACAGAAAGGTTTTCAAAATAGTTATAGAAAGTGTATGGAAGTTAGTTATAGAGAAAGGTTAGGAAATCCAAAATAAAAATTTTGAAAAATGTATAAGAAATATGAATACTAATCTGAACTTTTATCAAATCAAAAAAATTTTGAAAAAAATGTTTCTTGATAAGCAGTTTTGTAATATTTTAATGGCTAGTTTTCTGATTATTATTTCTTTGAATTTTTCAATAAACTGCCAAAAATGAAAACAGAACAATGAGCTCACTTTTTTGATTATTTCAAAAATAAATAAGTCTGCCAACTGTTCGTTGAATGATTTATTTGGCATTAATTTGCGACTCTGATGGCTCATTCACAAAAATGTGACATGTGTAAGAAATATTAATTAAAAAAAAGTAAATAAAAACAAGGCGCCACTGGAAAGAAACAGAGAGTGTGGATACCAGATATGAACTCTCTCCAAGAGAACTGGAAACCGAATGGAACTGAAAATAAAACCCAAAACTAAGCCCCAAAGAGCCGCAGAATTATGAAAATCTATATGGAAAAAGGTTGTGAAAGAAAAACAGGGAAATACATAGGTGTGTTCTACTGGACAAATGAAAATGAAAATGAGAAAGGTTAGAGAAAATCCCCCAAAAAAGTAAACAAAGAAAATCGTACACAACAGAACTCCAAACTGGTTTGGCTCTGGGCCACTTCAAAAGGGGAAAAAAGAGAGATAGGGCTAGTGAGTTGAGAAAGAGAGGGGGCGAATAAATAAGCGTTGGCGTCAGTATTTTTTCCTTTTTTCTCCCATTTAAACACGCACCACAAATTGTTTAATTTGTTGTCTATGGGTAATTAAAGAAAATTGAAACAAAAACAAAAGAGTCCAAAGGCAAAGATGGGTCTAGATAACAAAGGAAAAGGTACATCACAATCCCCAAAAAAAAAGGAGAGAAAAAGAACACTGCTATCACACCTGTAGAGGTCGGTTTCGGTTTTTTGTTATTCTTGTTTCAGGTGAGCAAATTAGCTAATAATGGTTTTCATGGGAGCACTTTTCTTCAAACACAACTCGTCACTTTTCACAGAGTATTTCATCACATTGAGCTTACTTTTTATTTGTAATTTATACTATTTTTGTTAAAAGTTTAGATGGTCTTTTATTTCTTAGCTTGGAACGATCTGCGCGGAAGCGAGTTCAGTTACTAACAACTGGTTTGCCGAAGGGGGACTTGGGTTTGGCTGTCGGGGCCCCAACAGTGCGGAAAGACCCGCTGGAAGCCGCACAACCCAGAGAGGGAGCACTATTTTGAGAGAAATTCAGAGAAAAAGAGAAAAATGTGAACGATACGGGAGAGTAATGGGAATATATTTTTATGAGTCTTAAGCTCGAATTACATGGAACGAAAGCAGAGCAGAACAACAGAGAGGCATGGGGATCAAGGGAAAAGATCGAAGTCATGATACCCTAAAAGTATTATTCCAAAAAGACTTGTTGGTTTTAATTATTGTATTTTGAAAAATAAACATAATTTAAGTCATAAATCTTTAAATTATAATGAAGAAGAATTAACTAGTATAATAGTAGGTACAGGTTTGTTTTTATAACTATAAAAACTATAAGATTCTAAAATAACTTTACGAAATATTTACATATGTAGGTACTTTAAAAAACTTTTCTTAAAAAGTAAAAATATTATATTGCAGATCTGTAAAAATGTCAGTCTTTCATAGATTTAGACAGAATTTCTTCTGATAAATGTCTTCTTCTGATAAAACTGACATACCCTTTAATATTAATACCCATTAAAAAAAAAACTATTGCAGCGGCCACGACACATTAGACTTAGAACATCGCATGTGGTTTTTCTTTCTTTGGTGACTAAGTCTGAGCTTACCCGCAACAATATTGGTTGCTTCTGTTGCCACTTTTTCAGATGTTGCTGCAAAAAGCTTTTCAATAAACGCACAGTGATCATCATTTTCGTGGATATCCTCCTCGATTTTTAGAGATTTTTTCTTGGGTTTCGGTGGAGGCTTTGGTGGGGGTTGGGGTGCAATGCGTCTCTTTCGAGGTTGCTTGGTGGTCGGTGGGGGTTCCTGCAACGATTGGTGTTGCTCCTCAATGGACAGAATCCCCAAGGACTCGGCCTCCAATACATTGTCCTGATCGTCTTTAGATTTATTTGTCAGGTGACACAGTTGGCCAAAACTACAACGATCCTCCGTTTCCAATTGCAAGGACCTAAGCTTTTTCAAACGCGGAGGTTTGGCGGGCGCTTTGAAATAAATGAATTTTTGTTGCATACTTTTGTTCCGCAGCATTACTATATATATGAATCGTATTTCTATATTTAAACTATTGTAGTTGCCTTGGAAATCTTCTCTTGGATGGTGACATTTATTTTATATTTCATTTAGTCTATGTTTGTACATTTATGTATTGAACTTAAAGATTTATAGTTTGATGAAATCTTAAAATCTTTAATCGCCCACCTCTGTGTACATGGCTATTGTTTTGAGAACTCTACGTTTATAATCGCATTTTATTTAATTTTTTAAAATATTTTAGAGGAGAATTTTGATAGAAAAAAAAGAAAACTGACAGTTGCAATAAATGCTACTGTGAAACAAAATCTAAAATCGTATTTAATTATGGATTTATGCTTTGCTAAAAACAATAAAAAATTAAATGTACCTAAGGGCCTGTAAAATGTTTATTCCTTGAGGCTTTTATTGCATTTATTATTAGTTTTAAATTATTTTAAATCAAACTCTTAAATTCCATAAAGAATGCTCCCAAAAGTATGCAACGTATTTGGACTAGATTGTAAAATTTAGTATTTACACGCATAATTATTGCCACATCATAACAAATTGTAAACATCATTAAACAATTGTTAAAACTAGACTAATTAAACACACTACACATACACATATAAAATGGCGAAAAAGGATCTCTATTCAGGAGAGCGATAGAGAGGGGCATAGACAGATAGAGATAGAAGAGATGAGTGAGTTTTGAACTTTACATGGAAATGTACAAGCAAAACTATTAAAACTAATTGCCATAAATATTAGCGGCCAGCCACGTGCCATGCCCCAAAACTTTTTCACATTACAGTGTATGTATGTGTGTGTGTGGGTATAATTGTGTGTTAGCATTAGTGGTGTGTGTGCCCGAGTGGATGCGTGGGTGTGGGTGCTTAATTGAGCACGTTGCCCTGACTCCGCCACGGGCTGCAGTTCCAAAAATAAAAAAAAAAAAATACTGGTAAGCCGACTTCCAACAGCCATGCCTGGAGGTGCCACCCACCCATCGCCCATCACACCCTTTGGGTTTTTCGCTCCAAATCATGGCTATACACCAAGCGCCAAAGGGTATTTTTGATTATTCGATTTCGGTTGGCAGAGCTTGAACATGTGTTGTGGGAGGAACTCTAACTCTTTAACTTTCTACCTTTTTAATAAACTGATTCCACTTAAATCTAGGTCTGTATGGAACAAGAAGTACTGGCTAGTCGAGCAGGACTTTAGCGTGTCCTTTCTTTATACGATTTTGCTGGGGATCTCTTTCCTTTAGGCGCTGATTCTTGGCCCCCATGAATTATGAATTTATGCATTGAAAAAGGCCCCAAAAACAGCTGCGTGTGTGTGAGTAAATGAATTGCGAGGAGTGTGCCGTGAAGGGGGCAGGAGGGACAACCAGGGGCTATCATCTCTCATCGCTGAAAGGGAATTTTTGATATGAAGCCGCCACCCACAACCTTTCACACCCGTTTTTCCCTCCGGACCGGCACGTTTAGGATTTTTCGTTGATTTGATTTTAGGCTTTGGCTCCGCTGCAATGGCGAAAAAGCTTCTTGCACTTCATGGCGAAGAGGATATGGTGTGGGCGGGTGATTCTTTGGAGCCACCAAAGCATTGGGTATGATGAAGCATCTCTTTTTCGCTTCTGAATTGCTTTTTGATATGCGCCTCAGCCTTGAACGCGTTTTTTTTCGCAAGCGAGGAAAAACTAAAGCGCGAAAGAATATGGTACAGTCTGGGAAAAATTGTATCAACAAAAAAAATTAAATAGTAATGGTCTATAAAGTGTAATATTTGAAACTATGGGATTTTTTATTCTGACCATTTACCAACCATTACTTGAGCCAACAATCATATTACTTGACCTTGCATATAAATTTAACAATCATATTTAGCAAATTGAAAAGAAAATATATCAATCAACATCACTCTGGCTTCGTGGTATCCTTCCACTGCCACTTATCCTCCTGCCATTCAAAATTCAAAACTATTTCCTGCATTAACAGCATTAAGAGTTCACTTTCGCGGATTGTAACCCTTTTCCACTCCACCTCCCATATTTTTCCAGTTTGAGTGATTTTTTTAACGTTTGTTTTTCTTTTCAACCATTTTTTTTTTCTTTTTTGTTTTTGTGGCATGAGTATTGAGGAAAAGTCAGACGCCTGAAGCTTTTGAACTCGAAGCGTTTTTCTTATGGCTGTTAATAGACAGTCGTGAGTTTTGAAGTGGGTCGCATTCTGATGCTTCTGTGTGTTCCTTCGCCCAGTTTTTGGGTTCTGTTTTTTATATATATTTTTTTTGCAGCTTTTTTTCTTTTCGTCCTGTTTTCAGTTTCCCAGTTGCTGAGTTATGACTGCGAACGTGCTTGCTTTTGAGCTTCTGTTTTCGCCTGGGTGTCTGTCTGTGTTCGGCTTAATATTTTTAAAGTGGGCGTCTTAAAGATTTCACATGAATAACTAAAATCTATAAATTTTTGATTTCACTTTGCCAAAAAAAGCACAACACTCAAAAAATAAAAGACAGGAGAACGAAGTAAAAAATATAATATTTCGAAGGAAAAATGCCAATAAGTTACAAGCAAGTCAAAAACTTGAGAGTTACGGCTTCGATGAGGGATGATGATATATGTATGCATATTGAGGGTCGAAGGGTTTTCGGGTGGGGATTTTGCAACAGACGAAGGTGCCACAACAATAACAACAGTCAAGTAAGCTCAAAATATCAGAAGAGTCAAGCGGTAGGGGTAAAAAAAGGGAGAGCACTGAGCGTAGAAAATTTCATAAAAAACTTCAATGAAAAGTTTATATTTTTTGTTCGCTTCTGTCGGGTTATTTTTTTTGTGTTTTTTATCCATTGTTAAAAAAGTTACCCGAAAAATTCTTATTTAAACTCCGCTTAAATTGCAATAAAGTCAAGTTGAAGAGAGTTTGATGTACAGTGTCTCAAATTTGTTTAAATAAATGTTTAAATACTTTAATAAAACAAAATTTAGTTTTCGAGGAACAAGAAACTACACTTTTTAATAAGTCTTATTAAAGCTTAAAAGATTTTAAGATTTTTTATTGCTTTTATATTTATATCTTCGAAACGCACTGTAGTCTGAAGTTGCAGAGTTCAGTATTAAAACAAAAGTCCCCAAAAACAAAAAACTACAAAAAAAGGAGGAAATCTGAAGGAACAAAAAAGTTGGAATATTGAAAAATGCAAGGGTCAAGCTGGGAGTGGGTCGGAGGAGGTTTTTTTTGGAAAAATAGAAAAACGAACTAACAAACTGAATTTGATGCATACTAACAATGTCTGAAAAAAATAACAACAATAAGCAAAGTAAGTTCCCCAACAAGGAATCAACAATATAAATAACAACTAAAGGATACACCGAGAAGAAAGTTTTCAAAAGGAAGGTATTTTTAAAGCTTAAATGTCAAAAAAGGTTTAAGGTAATAAGATAAAATAATATATCCTTGAAGTTACTTTTTAAAACCCACTTCAAGAATATATCTTTCATCCTAAAAATTGTGTCTTACAATTTTTATTGTGCATTTCTAGGGCATCTTGGGAATTAACTTACGAAAATCTATTTGTTCGGCGCCGTTATCCAATTGTCCCTGCTCCGCTTCCACTTCCACTTCCGCTTCCGGTGTGGTCCAGTCCCCGCTTCCATCCCTGGCCACCAGACTGCCCTCCGATCGGGTTTTGGTGAAGCCAGGTTTGGTTTTCGGTTTTGGTGAAGCCAGGAATGCCTCGCGAATCCTTTTCTGTCCCACAAAACGGCTCAGAACGTGCATTCGACTGCTCCGGCGTTCAATCAGGGCCACGCCCACACCACCCACATCGCCCACTTCCCGGGTAATGCCGCTGGTGCCGCCCACTCCCATCCGCACTAGACTGCCGCCACCTGGCGGTGACTTTTCATAGCTGTTTGCCGCTCGATTTTGTGAGTTTCCCATGTTGATGCAACTTTTGCTCCTCTTGCTCCTGGGTTGGTTGTTGTCGTTGTTGTCTCTGGTGGCAGCGCTGCGGTACTGTAAAAGAAGTTTACAAAAATCAATTAAAAAACTTTTCAATCAGTCGCATTGTTTGCGTGGGGTTTTAAAAAAATGTTTCTCAGGTATTTGCTCTGAAAATACTCTACAAATTGTTTCGTAAAGGATTTAAAATACAAAATGGTTTATTTTCATTCTATAAAAATTATATAATGAAAATACCATTTTTATTTTTTTAATCTATAATCAATTACAGATTAATAATTTGATTTTATGAAACAAATTGCAGGGAGTTTCAAGTTCATTGTGAAATTACAGACTAGTTTTTTATCCTTCTCGAAGGCTAACAACTTTTTTATTGAAAAATAGTTTCAGAAATATGAAATGAATTAGTTGACAGAGGCACCTGAAGGGAAATAAGTCTGACTTTGGAATCGAACAGTAGATGGCAGACCTGTGTTGGTTGACAAAAAGTTGCTACCATAGTTGTAGGATTTCTAAAGCCAAGTTCGATTACTGGGGATGGGTTAAGGTGGTAGTGGCCATTATTCTGGAGCTTATTCCTTTGCTGCCATGTCAATAGCCAGTTGCTCAAGGCCATTGGCCATGTAGTTTCAACTGCATTTTCATCCTTTACTTCTTCAGCTTCTCAGTTGAAATTTTAAACTTTTACTTTTTGGAAAAACTTTTGCATAACATTTCCAAAGACTAATGATCATTAGGGAGAGGGTTAGGGATATTTCATCTATCAAAAATAAATAAATACGATTCAGAGCTCATCCTTTGTTGGTCGTTTCTAAGGTGGGTTGGTGGTGTCTAAAAATCGATTAAATTAGAATAAAAGTTTTCAAGGTTTTAAAGTTTGGAATATGGAAAAATTATAAAACTACAAATGTATAGCTTTCATATAGTCTTTACCCACCCAATATTAATATTCTCAGAGTTTGGTTTACTATCTTATAAGATAAAAATTGTCATATCAATCAAGTTCAATGACTTTATCAAAATCTGTATCTATAATTATTTTTTCGGCTTTACTAAGAGAGCGTTTTTTACAAAAAAAAAAAAAAAAGGCACAGAACTGTAAGAACTCACGACTCTCTCATAAATCACAATAAAAACAAATTAGAAATTTTTTATTGGCCGAGGACAGGGACCACCTTGTTTTTATTAGGCCTCGAAAAATGGTCGACTAATTGAAATAATGAAGGAGGAGAGGGACGGGCCCCGGGGAGAGGTGTTAAAAATTGTTGGCCAAAATTAATTGGTAGCAATAAATTGCTGACTGTTGTCCGCCCACGTGACTCATTTTGTTGTACTTCAGGTCTTCAAAAAAAAAAAAAAAAAAAACTCACCCCTCATTTTAGAGGATATCAAGCCGGAAAAGAAATTGAGACACACTTGAATAAAAAGTTAAACAAAATATTTTTTGAATTTAAGTAATTTTTTTACTTGAAAATTTTAAAATACATTTTTTGAAACCGAATTTATAGTCAAAATTCTGTATTTTGACTTTAAATACTATGCATGTGTCCTTCACACAAATCAGTATTCAATTATAAAGAAAATGTAACATGGAGGGTCCCTATGAATGTTGGGGTTTCTTTGCCATGTGGAGGGTGGAGGAGGGGCGACAGTGGGGGGCTTGGCAAAGGAAACCACGCGAAACACATTTTCTTAATTGTGTCAAAAGCGCAATTTTCTGCAATTTGTGTGAAAGAAAGTGAAAGCAAAGCACAAAAACACTTGTGTTTATAAACGTAAGCCGAAAGCTTACGCATTTGAAACAAATCTCCACACACACACACACACACTCACATACCCACCTGAGTGTTGAAAAGAGAGAGCTATAGAGACGAAGCTGCCTCTCTTTCTTCCGGTGCAATTTGTTGAACAAATCTGATGTTGCTGTTTGGTGCTGTTGGGCTTTCTCCACCGCCCTCCTAAACACCACCCGGAAAAAGAAAATCGGGCGCGGCTGGCCCTCTGCTCACTATTAATACATATACATACACATATGTTTTGATTGTGTGTTTTGGGTTGATTTTTTGCACCCTTTTCGGTACTAATGTTTGAGGTTCGTGAGTTCTCCTATTTCCGCACTTTGGCTTCACTTCACTGCCTTAATGGCCAGAATTTCACTGATTAGTTCTGCGATCTAGCAATTTCCGTTTCCGTTTAGCATTTCTGCCACTTGGCTTGCACATGGCCGACACCCAAGAAAATATTTGTTAGCACTTTTGTTATTTAATTGCAAAGTGCAGGAAAAGCTGAAAAACTGCAACTGCAGCTGTCAGATGAAGTGTCACAACAAAGCGACCGAATGCCCGAAAGAGAGCCGACAGGACTGCCGAGGCGAGAGCCGAGCGCTGAACAGCTGACTCATAGTCCTAGGACAACAAAATGGGAGAGCACTATTCGGCGAAGCAACAGCGGGAAAAATCGATGGCACACTAACTGTGAATCCAACGAACCCATCCATGGCGGTGAGCAGCGAGAGAGTTAGCAATGTGCGAAATTTGGAGAGCACCTTGTGTCTGATAACAGCTGAGAGCGTTTGTTATGACTTTGATTCTTATTATTTTTTAGGGGGTTGCTAAGGCTATCATATACCCTGTAAAATATATATCTTATTTTTTTAGTATTATACAATTTTTGTTATCTTAGTCTTTGGTCCGTATATGTGATTTCTATGTTACACGTCTAAGAAATGATATTTTTTAAGAGGTCTTTTAGTTTTCATAAAAACTACATTAAAATGTATTTTTGAATATTTTGATAAGAAGTATTATAAATAAAACAAGTAATTTATTAGACTTTTATTCACCTTTCACTTGCCTTTATGCATTTTTTCATTAAACTGCGCCGGGCTGATAACAGCTTAGAATGTTTTTATATAGATTTGATTATAACGTTTTTATTTTTGTGGAAGAAATGATAAGGTTTTCAGTTAACCCGAGAGATATATTTAAAATAGTATTTAATGCAGCACGACAACTAGGCGTATACTTAATTTACTTTTATTTCGAAAAAATCTTTGTTTTGTTATGTAAAATAAGTTTTACTCTTAAATATCTTGTTAAAAATAATAAAAATAAACTATTTTTCTCAAAACTTCCTAGCCAGCTAGTCTTCGTTGGTTGAGAAATTCGCTTATAGATTCCAATACCGATGCGAAACCCTAATTGTAGCTCACATCTTGGTCAGGCAAATCGAATCGAGCGCCTCATTAGCATCGACCATCGGGGGACTTAATGTTGGGGTTACGATACAGGGCAGTCGAGCCATGACTCATTGTCCAGGCACAATCAACAAACACACACTGATATAAATACGCTTACACGCTTGTACACAAATACATACAAATGGAGCAGGTCCCCGGGCAATTGCAATTGTGATTTTATGAGCTTTTCCGGGCTAACTTCTGTGGGGGGTTTTGAGCATCAATGGCTCGGCTGTGGTTTATACGCGAGTTTACACAGAGAAAATTTGTTTAAAATAAAATATAAGACTAAAGCTTTAAAACTAAAAAAAAGTATGTTTAATATATGTTAAATATATGTTGAAAGTTTTCCCTAAGTTTAAAATAAAATATGTTCCAGTCCATATAAAATATGCAAAGCTTGTGTATATTTTTTTCAGTGCATAAGCGCTTATGAAGCTCACCTCTCTCTTATTTTTATTTTATTTTATTATTCGTGTACTCTCCCTTTAACCTTTGGGGCAGTGAGAATAAAAAACGGACTTTCGAACATGAATAAAAATAAAATTTTGCTAATTTGCTTGAATGAATGATTAAAAGGGGGGTCTTTTCAGTCTTTTCAAATGTTAAGATAGGAGAAAGAATTCCCCCTTAAACGATGATGCAATATAATAATACTCTGTTTTTATATTCGCCCGTACAGTGTTTACTTTTGCTGGTGTGACCGGAGTTGGTCAGCTTTATTGAGATTGTCTTATGTTTACTCAATGGATTTAAAAAAAGTATTTTTAATTGGGAGTTGGTTGCTGTTTAAACGAATAAGAAATACTCTTTTTAACATTTTAGCTCTAAGTCTTATACATGAAGCTTATAGAGCAATTATCCTACTTATAGAGCTACTTATAGAGAGCTTATAGAGCTACTTATATCAGCTATTATCCATTTGTTTGGTGTATAAGACTAATTGAATAATTTCTAACTGACAGAATTTTTCAAAAATAATTTTACGAGCTTACATTAAAAATAAGAAAAGTAATTTTTTAAAACAATATTAAGATAATCTACAAAATTGTTCTTTTATGATCTGTAATGCCCACTCTTAGTTAGGGTATTTAAATCGTATTACTTTTTATCTTGGCTTTTTTATGGTGTTTTATTTTTGTTTTCGCTGGGGCGTTAATTTTTTCGGACTTTTCGCACATTTCTTATTGTGCCCCCAAACCCCCTCTCTCCCTCCTACCAACATTTTTTGTGGGTCATCACCATGTGAGGGTGTGTGTAGGTGTGTGGTGTGTGTGATTGAGCGATTGTTGTTGCTACAACAATTACTGTTGGAAATTTTTTGTTGCTGCTGCTCAGCTGATAAGCCGTTTATTGCTGCCTGCTACACAACTTGGATAAGGAGACTTATGAACGGACAGACGGACGGACAAACGGACACATGGACGGACGTAAGTAGCCGTGGGTCCGAGAATCCGATTAGATTTATGCATTTCGTAACTCATTAGCCGACTCAGATGCGATTTGTGCGACTAACGAAGGGAAACGGAACTGGAGAAAAGCGTTTTTAATTAGCTCATGAAAGATTTCCCAATTTAATTGGACTTAATGCATGTGGGCGAAATCCAGAGAAAAGTTTCCTTCACAAAATGTTGCACTTCTTCTTCTTCTTTGGGACTGGGTGGGTGGATTTTAATTAATTTTACACGACATCTCGGCGAGAGAGAGTGCATGCTGAGGCCTTGGGAATGCATTTTGACACATTGTTTGACAAATTGCCAGACGCTGGGGACAAACCAACTCACACACTTTTAACAAAAGACACACTCGGCAAGAAAAGGACGCAAAAAGAGATAGAGAAAGAGATGGCGAGCGGTGGGCTGGTGGCGGCGGCAGGTAACAGAATCATCAAAGCTAAACTTGACGGCAAACTTGTGTCGTTGACGCACAAGTTTAATGCCAAAAGGCAACGTAAGGCTGCCAACGAAGCCCGGATAAATTGAGTCGGTTTGGGGCGTAGATGGAGGGTCTATAAATAATTTATTAACATATACAAATTCACAAATCAAACACAAAGCAGAACTCAGGTATCCTTGTCCCAAAAATATGCTTAAAATGTAACCCTTTAGTTTTATGAGAAACCCCTCTTTTTGGTAAGCCCCTGTCAGCCACACGCAGGTGCATTGACAACAACAATGTTGCACTAACTGCTCTTTTTGGCAACGCGCAAAATGTCGCCCGCAACATGGCGTATGAGCAATGTCTGAGCGCAGCACAAATAGCAACAATAGCAACTTGGAGAAGCACAAATACAAACAACAAGAACAATCATCATCTGGCCGGAGCATCCAATACGCTCCAGGGGCAGCTAAAACGGTGCCACCACCCTAGCCACCCAACCCCCTTTTAAGCCCCACTAACCCCCTTCGATCCAACGACAAAGTCAGTTATGGTCAATAAAAAGCAATGCGAACTGGGCCAAGCGACAATGAGAAAGCGCCAGCGATTTGGATTAAGCACTGAGACAAATTTTAAGAAGCTTAATAAATTAAAAATAATTTATTTTTGTATAAAAAGTAACCAAATAGCTGCCATTTTGATTTTTTATTGCCATAGTTCTATTATAAATAAATGATATTGAAGTCCTCTTTATATTTTTGAAGTGTATTCAATTGGGATCATGTTGGACGATGAGACGCAGTCTAGAAAAGCGGACAACAGATGGCGCCAGTGGCAGTTGCCCTAGAGATGATAGCGTGAAATTGCACGGAATTGGCCAAAGGGAGGTGCAAAACAGGACTCGGTGCAATGTGGGCGTGGCCCAGCCAAACGAAAGCCTAATGAAAGGAGCACACTTTACGTGCAGCTGGGATTTGTGACAGGAAAGCATCGGAGTGGGAAAATTGGACCAGGTCATGTGCTCACGTATTGGATGGAAAAGCCGTTTGTCATTAAAGTTCCTGACTTAATTCTATCTGAAAGATACAGACATTTTACGCCATTAAAGCAATCCTCCAATGCAATTGGATCAACATTAACCAAGATCCCTCGGCCAACCCGGGGCACTACAAAATGGACTACCAAAATCTAAATTGCGTGTGTCCCAAAAAATCACTCGAAATTTGACCGCAATTTCGCACAGAGTTTCGCACACGTTTGTGGAAAGTACGGCCAAACTAACCAACAAAAAATATTCACGTGTTGCGACGAAATGAAAATTATTTTAAATTATAGCCCGTTCCAGGCCTAACGAACCCCCCTTCTATCCACCACAACCACATGTTAGCCCAAATATGCCAGAGACAGGTTACCAAAATGTAGCCACGTGTAACCAAAAACACATTTTCAACAATTTGTAGATAAAAGTGGATCTAATATTATGCATTGGCTTGAAAAATAATTCCAAAAATTAGAGGTGTAAAGTTGATGGAGGGAAATCTATGGATGGAGTTTATAAAAGATAAAATTTCAGACCAAGCACCCAGATTTTATTAAACCACTTGTAGTCTGCTATCCTAAATACCGACTCTTATACATTTTTTATCCCCTCGTAATGACACGCCCATACTCCCACAGATACGCCCCCACAGATGCATACCACTACAGACACACCTACACATACAGAGAGAAAAAGAGACAGATCGATCCGTTCGTATTGGACACCGTTTGCAGAGCTGCAACTTTAATTGCTTTGGTGGTTTGTGCCAAATTAGATTCTGCGGTTTTGTCGCGTCGCCATTCCGGTAATCGAGGATGTACTGTACAGAGTGAGGACTTGCCTGGGGGGGCAAGGGGCGATGGGTGCTGGTGACTGGTGACTGGGTGGTGTCTTGGCCATCACCTTTTCCCAAAACTCAATCGAATTGGAGCTAAGAGCTGACGCCGACTATGCACATGGCATCTGACTCTGACGCTGACGCAGACGCCCATCAATTAAACTTGTCAATGAGAATGCGATGCAAAAGCAGCAGAAACAGCGACAAGAATCCGGGGAATAAGAATTAATGGTTAGGGGGTGAAATGGTATCGGGGGTTTAAGCCATTTTGCCTTCAAAGCTCTTCTAAAAGTTAACTACATTTAACGTAACTCAATGATTTTCAAATTAGGAAAGTAGTTTAAAGGACACGTTTAGCTTTGAATTTCGGGTAACAGGTATGGTAATTCAATTAAATGCTAAACTTTTCTGAAATGTAAACTTTAATATTCCAAGGATATTTCTACAATATCCAGTCCAACCTTACACATTTAAGCATGGCCTGAAGCTTAAAAACAACAACCAAATTCTTTTCAATGCAATCAACAAGGTCCCAAGGATAAGTAGCTCTACATATTTCCAGCAAATGTTATCCTAACTTTTTTTTTTGGGTAATTTTTTTGGTTTGATATAGAATTTGTAAAAAAAAATTTAATGCAAATGCGGGTGAAGAGCGAATTTTTTTCTTTCTATATCCCAATTTCCATTCGTGATGGCCGCGGGCCATTGACATGACTCTCTAGTCTTGGTTTTTATCCTGGTGGCTTGTCCTGTCGTTATGGACTCTGGTCTGTGGTCCTATCTACTATCTCAACAATTGTACGCACCAAGAAATTGATTTATTTTTGTTTACGCCAAAACAGCAAAAAGTTTACCACAATTTTAGCTTCTCTCCTTATAAATGCTGGGGGCCAAGTTTTTGTTGGTTTATTCTTCTGTTTATTGTACACAGAAGAAAATTATAAGTATTTACAGATATGATCTATTAAGGATATATAATTCATTTTTATTGAAAAAATTAAAAATTTTTAAAATAGTTAAGCCTGAAAATATTTTGTTTATTTTTTTTAGTAATCTTATATATGGAATAAATTTTGATTTATTTTTTTGTGTCTCGTTTCGTTAGCTATTTCTTGTGAAGAGTCGGGCTAATCCTAATGCTCTCTAATTACATTGGCCAGCAAGTCAACAGAGTCAAGGCCAAGTTTCTTCTCTGTCTATTTGAGTTTGCCATGTTCGCTGTCTACTTTCCAGCCCGCTTATCATTTTTTAGTCCTGGCTTATAGACACTCCTAATTATTGGCCCTCTGGCCAAGCAAAGAACTCAAGAATGCGGCCATTGAACTAGTCTCTACGAGCTTTTCGTTTCATGAGCCTGTGTTTATGAGGGTGCCACGACACCTGACGACATCAATTAGGCTACCAGGCAGGTGCTACCCGGAATGGTAAACGGGGCTAAGAACTTCCCACCTTCTGACCGACAAATGTCAAGACGGGCACCACTTTTCTTTCGTTGTAAGAAATCTTGGGGTGTTTATGCGTTCTGAGTGGTTGAGAATTTTTTATTTTCAAGAGGGGGTTTCCTGTAGCTAGAGTTTAATTATGGAAGGTGTGAAAATTCTAGCAGTTCGCAAGAGATTTTCTTCCGTTTATTTCTTAAAAAATGTGGAAGAACTATTTAGTTGTTAGACGGTTTTTCTTATTCTTTTCTTAGTTGTGATCAGTGACTTTAAACTATATATTTAAGTTTTACTTATATACTTATATTTCTATAAGACCCAAGTTATTGAGCCTTGTGGCCTTGATATTTTCCTACATTTTTTTTTTTTGTACTTTTTCTAGTTATAATAATGCGTTTCCCACACACTCCCATTTAGAGTGATATGGCTAACAAGCATTTATATTTATTTCTCTATATCCACAAGCATTTTTCTGTTTCTGCGTCGTGAAAATTTATGAAGGGCACTCCAAATGGCCTACGAGCCGGCTTACAATTCCCTCAGCCCTCCCGGCCCCCACTGCCGTGGGGCTAAAGCTGCACAGTACTTAAAGGTGGTGGCCAAAGAGAAAAGGTAGAGGGGGGTGAAAAAAAAGAAGCATCAGACGAGGCGAGCAAAATGGCGAGCAATAAAAATAATTGAAAATTTCGAAATTTAAGTGAAGGCATGAGGCACGTTTAAAGTGTCGCCTGGCAGCTACTACTCCTGCCCCTAAGCTGCCACACCATCGTGGCACGGTGTTACCCACCTCCTGTACAAACAATGGCCAAAAAAACAACAAAAAAACTGAGGCAAATGCTCGGCGCAGTGTAAAATCTGCGAATCGCGGTTTTCTTTTTTTTTTTTTTTGCCATTGTGTGGGTACGGGTATGTGTGTGAGTGTGTTTGTGTTTTACAATCTGTTTCGCAACTCACGTAAAATATAAGGTAATTTGTGGAAATTTGATGTTTATCGTAAATTGTTTTTTATTTGCACAATGTCACCATTTTGCGGTTTTGCGAGCAGCGCACACTTGCAGACTGGCACGCATACATGCATGTGGAAACACTGGTGGTCAGAGTTGCCAGGCAGCCAGAAATAAAATAAATACTTTTCAATCAGGGAAAAAATGTCAAAAACGTAAATTGAAAATGGAAAATCCACTTGAAAGCTACTTTTAAAAAAATAATTTTATAAAATCAAATCAATATTCTATTAAAATATGGTATTTTACTCAATACTTCCTTCCTTAAAAATTTAAAATCCTTTTGGTTAGGGTATCACAAATTTTTCTACCTTAATTGCGCCCCAAAAAAATGGAGGTGCTGGCAAAAACAATTGCAAACATTTTTCAATTTACCTGCATGGCCGAAACGCCTCTCCGCCTTTTGTTGTTCATTCTTCCGGTTGCCGTTGTTGTTTTTATTGCTGTTACGGTGGTGCCTTCTTCCTTTTTTGTTGTTTTTTTTAGTATAGGTATTGCTAGTGTACTTGCAACACGATCGCCGTAATGCAATAGGGCCAATAGTATGAGAACAGTGATTGAAACGGAGACTACTGGGTAGTATTCCCCAATAATATCTGTTAACATTTTGACCAAAAAAAATTTGACAAAAAACAGAACGAAACAACACGAATTTTGTCAGGAAAGTAAAAGAATGCCTACTCAATGAAAAACACTATGGTAATGTAATTTTCATTTTATTAATTTTATATTTATCGTATATTCTGTTTTACATTGTATAATATATCGTATATCGTTACCGTCTAGATGTTACATTTAAAATTAGCTTTTTGGTTTTGCAATAAAAAGGTCAGTGAAATGTTTTCAACGCCTGGCGTTTAAGAACAGTTTTCTAATAGTTTACATTTAGTTGAAGTGGAAATAATAAAAAACAGATATTTGTTTAAAGAGAACGGACCATTAAACATAGTTAAAGACTTAGACTTACAAATACCGACTAGGTTATTTTGATCTTATTTTGTTTTAGATTACAGATAATTTTTTTTTGGCTTAATCTTAAATAGGTTTTTGAAAAATATTTTATGTATTTGAAAGTTACTAGCAAACACACAAATAACTTTCCAAAAGCCCTTCTTATTTTTTTATAAATTACCATTTATTAAATATATTTAATCTTGAATTTAACATAGATGTTCTATTCTCTTTGGTTTACTCTGTTTTGATGTATTTACAAATTCCTTAAATCCTAATTATCCATTTAAATGGTTTCTATTGCTATGGAGAAAGTTAAAATTTAAGTTAATTTGTTGAAGTACATTTCTATGCTTAACTTGTTGCGCAAACATCTCGAAAAATACTTCCGTCGAAATTCACTTCTAAGCTTTTATTATATTCCCGCTGGCCTTTGTTTGCCAAACATCAAAATAAATGCCTCAATTATGTGGATTTATTACTTGAATATTTCATAACGTAGTTGAACAATTATTGGATTAAAGATATTTCCAGCTTTATGGGTTTTCCTGTTGTGCAACAAAATGTTTTGCATTTTTTAGCTTTATTTTCTCTACTTTATCACCGATTGCAAGTGGGCTCTATTGTATAGAGTTCGGGTTTTAAATTGAAAACAAAAAGAAAACATGTGTAGAATAAAATGCTTTAATAATCATTTTTGATGGCTACATGCTGAAAGCACTAAAGAAATTTATGCCATTTTATTTTCATTAAAGAAAGAGTTTATAGAAAGAAAATAGAGCAATATTTTACACTGAAGTCTGAGGAAAGTTTCTTAAATAAATGGTTGATTTTTTGGTAATTACTTTTCATGAATGATTGGAAAGGCAAATAATATTTTAAAATATGCTTTGTCTAGATTTTTTAGTTGCTTTTGTAGAGCTCACTTTATTTTAGCTAACACACTCAATTTTAAATACCCCGCAGCTACAAATTGAAATTAAATTGCATTTTTCGTTTGTTGATTATTCCGTTTTTCCAGCTATTATAATTTTATTCAAAGATTTCGTCTTTTTGCGCTAAAAGATATTTTTGCTATTTTATTTTTCATATTTTGCGGTTTTGTTTCGTTTGTCTATTTATAAATATATATTTTTTAGTTGCAAGTCTATATGTGTAATGTAAATGCAACTCCCTTGGACTTTTGACTGGCAGCATCAGTTTAAAGTTGGTTGCAACAATTTCAATTTAATAACTCCATCGAGTTATGGGGTGGTGGGCTGTCGGGGGGGCGTTGAGTCTACTATTTACAAAATGCACAGTAAATAAATTGATATTGTGTGCTCTGATTTTGTGTGAAAACTGTGAACTGTGCAAACTGAATAGAGCTGCGCTGAGGGCTTTGTGCGATGTCAAATTAATTTGCAAATTTACACAATCTAATTTTAGGTCACCCAGGGACACACTGGCTCACCGATTGTTAATTTGTAATTACAATTTTTGCATTATTATAGGCATCGACAATGCGAACAATTGAAATTAGCAGCGCAATTAGTCGATCCTAGAAAACAAATATTCGTTTCAATTTAATGCCCCAACGGAGACAAAAGCTAATGAGGAGTCGAAAAGTTCTTCCACCTCCACCTCAAACTCTGCAATTGTTTTTAGACCTTTTTCGATTCCATTCATGTCGATGGGTTATTTTTATTGGCCATGGCCATGGTTTGTTTCTGGCCTATACACTCCTCTCGAAAAGCAATTAAATGAACATTTTGTCTCTTTTATTTGATTTAAATCAACAGAATTTTGCATATTTTGCAAACAGCAGTAAAAAAGGCATAGAAAACCTCAAAAGGTGGCTTTTGTGTTTGGTTGTTGGTTTAACAATGATTTGACCAGAATATTATGGCCGTGTTTTTACAGTTTGTCGCCATGGACCTCAATATTTTTGGCCATGGTGGTCATTCTGGCCATGGTGGATGTGGCATAAAGTACCGAATAAATTATTATTTAAATTTAAATTAAATATTGGGTGCGAAAAAAGATTAAAATAGGAAATGAAGTGGTATAGTTTTTGGCAATTCGATGACTGTTTGCTGGTTTGACTTTTCAATTTACTAAAATTGTAAAGAGTTGTATTTGAAAAAAAGATAAAAACCAGTGGCTCATATAAAATTGTATTTTTTTTAGTAAACTTTTAGGAATAGTTCTTAATTGTATTTATATGCTTTTTGTAGACTTTTCACATTTACAGCGATTTTTTGTTGTTGGTCGAAATAGGTAAATTTCCACTTAATTAGGTTTTTATGTTTGCTTTGTTAGCCATTTTTACGCCACTTAAACATTTAAAAATTCTATTTTTTATGCTTGTGTGTTTTTTTTGCTCTTTTTTTTTCTGTTGTTGTAGACTTACTTAAATGCTAATGTCAAAATGTATGTTGGTTTCTCTTAACGGCCAATTAGTTTAATTTGCCAAATCCTGTATTATATCCGCTGCAACGAGAGAGACGAAAATCGATTTGCGTTTAGTGCGATTTAAGCTCATTAATAAATAACGATAAAATATGCAATTTAAATTAATTAATGCTGGTGTGCATGGAGAATGTCCCACTAAGCTATTAATTTGTGTACACAAAATATGCATGCGAGTTGTTTTATATTTTATAGTTATTTTTTTTCTATATGGAACGGGGTCAGAAAAATGCTAGTCGCTTGCCTGAATTTCAATGCATTTATATTTTATCCATTTTTTTATAAAAACATGTATTCACTCTCGCCTCAAATGCATTTGCATTCAATCAGCATAATGCGAATGTGAATGGGCTGTATCATTTTGTATATCCATATATATACATATATATATATTTTTATCTAAATTCTATTGGTATTATATTCGCTGAATTCCAATATCTATGCTTATATGTTGGGTGAAGCTCAATGTGACTGCCAAAACACTTCACATGCTCCGAGGTAGAATCTGGCCCTCTTCGCCCACTTGTCACCTCTCACTCCTTTCCCGCTGATTTGAGGTGACACTTTATGCACTTTGACTTGCCTCTGACAATTGAAACTTTTGCATAAATACATTTTCTGCATTTTCCACACTCCCACACACAACTCACACTCACCCACAACACAATCACACTCAGTCGCTTTTCAAGTCAAGTGTTTGTGGAAATTCACGCTAGCTCGTCTGGCACAATAAAATCTCTTTGGATACAAAATACGTTTCTGATGCATTTCAATTCGCGTCGCGAATATTTATCTCTGGCAAAGCCACATGAGTTTTGTTTGCTATTTTCGGTGAAATGCATTTCCCGATCAGCTTTGGCCTGCCAACCGATTTTTCCCCATCTCGGCTAAAAACTCAATTAACGCGCTATGTTTTATTTTTTTTCCCTCCAGCCACCAAAAAAAAAAATTCCTTTCACAAAATGTGACATGGTCGTTTGAGCTTTATGTTGGTCGCTTGTTGTTATGTTTCATTACCTAATAAACATTTTATGAGAGGCGTTGCTTTTGGCGAGGGTGTGGAGGGGGCTGTTGGTCAGAACCAGAAAGACAGACAACCGCGCAAATTGGTAAATTGTTTGAAAAGATGCATTACACGCAGCTCCATGGGGCAGAGTCAATGGCCATCAGGTACCCCATTTTCCATTTACCCGCCGCCCACTCAGCCTGTTTGCCTGCTTTCATCTCCGCTTGGCCTTTATAGTAACCCATTTTGGCCAGGCCGTAATTAACAAGCTGCAAAACGGCTCCAATGGGCTGGCAATGAGTTTTCCGGCATTTTTTTTTTTTATTTTTCCGCCTTTTTTGAAGGGGTTTGAGGAAACAAGGAGTTGATTAGCTATTGAATCGGGGTTGCCTGGTTGGTTTTTATAGCTTCTTTAATTATTGAAATGGTTGAAGAATAAATAATTGAAAGGATTTTCTTTTTGGGTTTGAAGTCCCAAAGGTTTAATATTTGGTAAGCCATCTTAACTTTTTTTGCTTTTCTATTGATTTTCTACAATTTTTAGGCATTTTTAAGAATAAGATTTATCCCTAGTTACTATATTTCAGAGTATCCAAACGTCTTTCTAAAACAATTAGGTTAATGTCCAATATAAACTCTGTTAATGTTGACCCCCTTATATCCTTTGCCAAAGTCCTGGCTGCTGTTGGCTCATAAAACAAGCTTGTCTGCAATAAGGTGCGTTCCACTGGCAGGATGCTGCCTGTAGTGCTACCTGTCCACCTCCACCTCCCACTCCCAGCTCATTTTCCTCCCTCCCACCAACCCACCGTACTGTACGCCCGTGTCACCCTCTGCCTTTTGGCTCGCTCTTGTATTTATGCCTATGAATATTTCATTTAATTGAAGCGCATTCATTACCAACCGCACACCAACGAACAACAACAGCCACCCACATCCCCGAATGCTATCTCTTTTCGCCTCATATCCCCCTCTCTTTTGCTTTTTCATCACCTCACCGCCGCACTTTTGGCGTTGTAATTAAAATAAATTTATTACGTAAAATGTTTTGCCAAAAAATTTGTCGAAAGTTGTGGCCTGGCCCCATGGCGTAATAAATAATGTTGGAGTTGTATGGGGAATGTAGGGAAAGTACACACATATACGGACGACGGTGCAGGTGTGGGAGTGTTTGCATATCTCTGCGAATGTATGTTTAATGATCTGTGTACTTGTTGGGTTGTTGCTTTTGTTCTACGGAAATTGATGCGGTTAATATGCTGCCAATTGTTAATTTTTGTATCGTTTCGTTTGCATTTCGAAAAGCCACAGCAACAAAATAAAAACAAAAATAATCAAACGCAATTATAGAGGCAAGCTGAAACCAAAAAGCGAAAACAAAAAGCTAAATCTAATCAACAGGAAAAACAAACCGACCTAGCAACCAGCAAACCAGCAACCAACAAATTCTATGGATAACCCAAAAATTTATGATTATCCCTCTGATTGGCGAAACCAATGTTATTCAGTGTTGCAAATATTGATTGGCCTTCAACAATGGGTTTTTTTTTTGTATGTTTAATAAATGATCAAGACTGTTTTTAGTGATAGACGTGTAGAGTATGCTCTAATCAACATTCAACCTGAACATAGAAATTGAATCAGTCAGACATCGCTTCAAATTTTGCCCAATTTCCAACACAACATCGACACCAGAAGCTGAGGGAAAATGATATCAAGAACAGCACTAATTGAAATCCAAGCCAAACGAAAACTGCAAAATGCTTCGGAGTGCACTGCGCTGCAATTGAATACGGCGACTAGAGTGAAACACTTGATATAAAAATATTTGGAATTGCGTAACGCGTTTCGGGATTTGTATTGTTTGGCATTGGACTCCGTTTGGCGGACTGAGTACGGCGGATTGTGTGGACCATGGATAGAGGATAGCAGTAGTAGATCCCAGAGTAGATCCCACAAATCGGCAATTGGATTGCGCAAATCGAGAAACTCGCAAACTGGAAAGCATTGCATACTTTGCAGCGCAATTTCTGGCATTGAAACAACAGCGAAATACTTGGCTTTTTCGTTGTTGTTTGATTCTTTCTATTGTTGTTTCTCAACGGTCATCAAAGTCAAAAACGAGATGGCTGCACAATAGACAGAGAGAGGAAGGGATAGAGTGTAAGAGTGAGAGGGTTAACAAAAGTCTGCCCCTTTTATTGCTTTAAACTGGCCCTCGAGTTCCACTTGCAGTTCAAGCCAAGTCCTCGCCAAAAAGTGGTAGCACTACAATAAAAGAACCAAACCAAAAAAAAAAAGAAAGAAAACAAAACAAAGAAGCAACTGTCAGGATCTCGGTCTCGTCTTCATCAGAAATCCTTGGCTGACACTATGGGAAGCCCCTTTTACCTATTGTATCCCCTAGCCGATTGTCGTTGCGTTTTTTTTGTTGTGGCATTTTGCTAAAAGGGTATTTACATTTGGTTTCATATTTGCTGAATGGAAGTGAAAGGATTTTGGGAGATGCCAGGTCCTTGAGGTTTTATTAAACTTAAACTTTTAGAGATATTTCTGGCAGATAATTATAGTTAAGTCATTTTCCTTTTAAAAATAAAAACCTCTTTAAAAATATTCACATTTTCCATCAATGACCATTAAGGGTATTTGTGGCTTCGTTTTTGTGTCACCTTTTCGTTGGCCATCATCTTGAGTTGGCATATTTTGGTAGCTTCTTTCGTTTTCGGTTCCGCTTTGTTCCTTTGCGGCCAAAAATGCGGAACACGCCACTGCAGATGCGGGGATTTTGGCCACGTAGAAGCAGTAGACGAAGAGGAAGTCGAGTCTTTGGCCATGGCTTTTGTTTTAATTGAAATGTTTTTGCCTCTCCACTCGCTGCAGCCACTGCTGCAGCTGCTTCTCCTTTCTAAGCCGATTAGAACCAGTTCATAATGTATACGGCTAAATTTGAAAGCTGGCTAGGAACTGCCCTCCTCCCGCCCTCCAGGAAACAATTGTTTGGGTCCACCCTGTGGAGAGACCGCAATCACCGCAGCAGTCTCTCTACGCTTTTGTCTGTCTATCTAATTGAAGGAACATTTAGTAGAAATGAACCGGCACATGGGGCGTATGCGCAACGTGGCGGGTGTCTTATGCATAACAAAACAAAAATCACGCATACGCCCTGTGTGTCCAAGTGTGTGTGTGTGTTTGGGATAGTGCATACTAAAAAACCGCAGGATCCAAATGAAAGCAAATTCCATACCCTACTAGAAGGCAGAAAGCATCAAGCAGCAATCGCATTTCTTTTTATGCATTCCATGTTGCATGTTGCGGCCGACAATGGAGAGAATCATTCAATTTCTGGTCCATTGGGAGCTCCTGCGGTTTGGGGGTTCACGGAAAAATCTATTAACGTTTGAGGGGGGGATTTTTAACAATCGTAAATATGGATCTCCTGATGTCTATTCCACAAAAATAATATGAAAATAAAATTAAAAGATAACTATAAATATTCGTCTGTTAAAAAAACAAATAAAATGTTGAAGGAAAATATGTTTTTCCTTTTTTAAAAACAAACTCTCTCCACACTTTCCCATTTTTCAGCTTTATTTTTGTTTATTTTTATTTACTTATGGATATTTGTTGTGTTTTATTTTCTGGGTGTGGCGTGTTCGGTTACCATTCAGCGATTCAGTTCACTTACAGCTGGCAGCGTTGTTTGATTTTGATTTCGTAAAATATTTTTAGCTCTTGCATTTTAGATTTTTATAAGGCCAGCTCGCTTGCTCCCTATCCGCATCGCTCCTCTGCCTTGGATTTTTTTATATTTTGCCGTTTCCGAAGCGATAGATGTCGCTGCAAGCGTTTTGTTGTTTTTAAGAAGCAGAACGAGAAGGACTTTCAGGGGCTGGGGGAAGGATTTTTTTTAGCAGAGGAAGCTGAAGCCTAGAGCTGACTATTTTATGTGCATTTATCTCGGTATGCTGCTGCATCCTGGCGCTGCAAAAAGGATATACAGATGCAAATTCTATACCGAAACGTATGTATGTAGATGGGATAAGGGGAATACGGAACAAGGGTTATCCACTTGTGGAGAAAGGATGTTGGGATGCGATGCTGGGGGCGGAACATGGGCTGCAGCCTGCCATTGTCCCGAAAGTGGGGAAATTCTATTTTATTTATCCCCGGCTAGGAGCAGCTCCGTCTAGGATCCCTAGCACAACTCTTAGCCAAACATTTCCCAACACTTAAGTGCATAATCAATCAAACTGATTTCTCAGTCGCCTCAACCGATTCGGATTTTCTGGCAATGGATTTGTGTGGATGTCGATTGGATTTGTGGATGGATTATTTTTCCCATGGGATTTTTCTATTTTTGGCCGAGCTTGAGTTCTGCCAAGACATAATGGAATTTTTGCTTTCGGAATTCCGAAGCAATGATTTCGAGAATCTTTCAAATTAACAAAAAAAAACTTACCCATTTGCTGCTGTGGCTTGGGCTGCTGTCCCAGGTCCTTTCTCTGCGGTGGTAGAGGCGGTTGCTTGCTGGATTTTCTCAAGGTGCCATACCGCTGGGCAGCTTGCAACATTTCGTGGGGCGCCAAGGGCTGCCCCTGGGCAGACCCACCGGCGGCTGCAACGAAGCTTTGCTGGCTCAGGGAACTGGTCACCGTCTGGATGTGCGGCGAGTAGCCGCTGTAGTCCACCAGGCCGCTGAACGCCGACGGCGGCCGCTCTACGTAAATCTGCTGCGACTGGGCGGCGGCCAATTGGAGGCGCCACAAGGCCTCCTGCGACATGTCCCTGGCGTTGCTGTAGTTGTTCTCATTCGAATTGTTGCTCGACCCTGCGAATGGCCATACACATTGGTTTTCTGGTTATTTTCGGGCTTAATTAAAGACTCGCTAGAAACTAAATAGGCAGAGTTGTGTGTAAAAGGGTGCCAAGTGCTTCAGGTGCTTAGAAGTGAGTGCGAAAAAAACTTGAAAGTCATGGTGGCTAATTAGAAACAAATACACAAACTAACATGAACTAACATGGATTCATAAGTGCCAGTATTACCCAGTCATTCCCATCAGGCAGCTGTCCAGAAACAGCTCACAGCCCAGTGTGGGAATAATGCCATCCGGGTTATTTATTTTTAATAACATAAAATAATTAAAATTAATCAAAATATTAGTATTTCTTTGCTATCGTTTTGGATGGCCCCTCATTAAATAGTTTATATAATTTAATAATTCCTCTTTAATAATTTTCAGAAATACAATATTTACGTCACGTGCATTCGTTGAACTTGTTAGGGTTTCGGTCAAGGGGCGTCTTGTAAAATGTTCAACCAAATTCTTGACACGTTTTCGAGTAAATTGTATTTCGAAAGAAAACAAATAACAAAAACCTTCACGACGAAATTTAAGTTGAAAAACACAAGTTGTGGAACAAACTGCCTGGCCGTCGAGTCGAATATCTTAATTCCATTATTATCGCCTGTCGGGCTTCCATTGGTGGACGGCCTTCATGCGGCGGACGCAGGACAGGGTGGCGGCCACCAGTTGCCGGGAACCGGTGACCAGAATATCCAGCTCGTTCTTCATTCCGTAGCTTTGCTTGCCGTATTTGTTCAGCAGATGCTCGAAGAAGGCGTTGATCGAGATGGATAGCTGGGAATTGTCCTTTTTGCCGTTTTCCTCGCACAAGGCACGCCAGTTTCCGGCATTCCGTTTGGCCCGCTGCAGCTCCTCCATTCCGTGCCAGACCATCGGGTTGCCCTCCTCCTCGGCCATGATCTCGCCCTCGAAAAAGTTCGGACTCGGCACAAAGCAGGCCTCCTCGAAGCGCAGGTTGCTCCGGACGATGGTCAGGAGGTCCTTGGCATTGAACTCGTTGACCTTGTTGAAGAGCAATACCTTCGGCTGGCGGTTGGAGCGTGTCCTGGTGTAGAACCAGTCGCGGCAGGCCATCATGGATTCAAAGGTGTCGGCGCTGTCCAGGTAGACGTTGAACATGTCATGCTTGATGAAATCGAACTGTCCTGGCTGCTCGTACAACTCGATACCCCGAGTGGTTCCAGGTGTCAGGGATGTGGAATTGTGCTCCAGGCCTACAACATATTCCGGCTTGTGCCGTCGCAGGTAATCGTAGGCCAGTTGGATGCCCAGTGATCCGTTCAAGCGCATCGAGTAGTTGGCTTTGTTCATCAGATGCTTGTTGCTCAGATTGCCCTCCATGTAGTCGGTGAAGGCGGGCACACGGTGGAGCTGCAAGCCGAGCTGGTTGGCCTTTTGGGCCAGGACCTCGGAGCACTCCGTTTGGGTGACGCTGGTGTAGATGCTGGCATGTGGCTTCATGATGGCCGCCTTGGCCCAGGCAATGTCCCGCAGGGAATTGCTCAGATTCGAGCTCTGCTCCCATCCCAGCGTCGTGATGCCGATTGTCTCGGCATGGTAGGCTATATTGGTGGCATCGCTGGCGCACAGCTGTCCCACCTCCACAATGATCACATCCACGCGGGCCTGGTGGAAGGCATGGAAGGCCATGACGGTCATTAGTTTGTTGTACGAGGCTGTTGGCTTCGTAGTCGCCAATTCGTTGTGAATTTTCCAAAACAACTCCGTAAACTTGGTCTCCTCCAGGGGATCGCCGTCGATCCGGATTCGCTCACTGGTTAGGAACATGTGGGGGGAGCAAAGTACCCCCGTTTTGACGCCGTGGCATCGCAGGATACTCTCCACGATGCCACAGGTCGAGCCCCGGCCCTTCGAGCCGGCTATTTGGATCACGGGTATGTCTTTCAGTTGCTCCCTCCTCAGGCCTGTCTTCTCCAGGCATTCCAGCGTCTGCTCTATTATCGGATCTGCTTCCGCTTTGCTGCCCTTGGAGGTGGCTCTTCCCGCCGCCGGCTCCAGGGCCTGGTAGCTATTCAACTGCTTGATAGCATCCAAATAGGCCAGGTGCTCGGGACTCTTCTCCTCCGGTTCCGGTTCTTGGAGAGTTGTCAGCACTGCGATTTGGTTGCTTGTCGGAGGTGGAGTTGATGGCGCCTCATTTGTCTTACTTATTTGTTGCATTTGTTGCATCTTCTGGGCATGCAGTTCCTTGCCCGCCTGCTGCTTGGCCTGCATGTCCTTCAGCCACTGGGCCTGTTTCTTTTGCTGCGATCCCTGCATCCTACTCATCCAGGACTTGCGCTGTGCCTCCGAGGAGGCACCCTTGAATGCCTCGTCTGGTTCTGGCTTCTTCAGAGGCTGATTGCCCATATTGCCCATATTACCCATATTTTGTGACTGCCAGGGGTTCTGATTCCGGGGCATCCCGCCAAAATTTTGACCAAAACCCGAATTTTGATGGTTTTGGTTTTTCATTTTCGCAGGGCTCGCCGGTGCACTGCCCTTGGCAGCCGCCAGCTTGGCTTTCTTTTGCATTTCCGGTGAGACTTTTGCCATCCACTTGGCCCGCTGATCAGCGATGTTGGGTATCGTTGGCTTTTGGGTGGCTGTTATGGCGGAAGGATGTTTAATTTTAGTCCCTATTCCAGAGTTAATGGTGCCTATGGGCTTCTTCTTGTTATCCGGAGGTGGTGGCTGATCAAGTGGTTGTGGCATGTCCTGCTCTGGCATGGCCTGCTGTGGCATCGCCTTTTGTGGCATGGTCTGCGGGGTTGGGGACTGGGACTGGACTTGCTTTTTGGACAGCTCCTTGATCGTGGCCTTGGTGGGCCTCGGCTGGGGCGACTTGAAGCTCATTTTGAAGAAACTCTGACTCGATTGCACCCACCATTGAATACTGCCCCGCAAACGCGGCTTTTGTCTTCGGGCAATCAACGGCAACAGCGAATACATTCCGACAACGTTTGGGGCGAACAATTAAAATGAAAAATACGATTTTTAGTTGATTTTTTTTTAGCGATTTTGTTTAGAGAGGAATCAGGCGAATGAATAGCCAAGAAGTGTCTAAATTTTGATCATGGATTTTGTCGAGGGAATTTTCTGTGTCAGACTTGTTCAAATTTTAATCGTTTGTTACGGCTTTAAAATTCCAAAAGTGTCACTTTTATCGGACACATAACGGAAAGGTAAAAATATTAAACATTAATACTGATATGATAATGGTATCCTTTTAATAAATTAATCAAAAACCATAAGACAAATAAATTAATAAATTAATAAAGAAATTGAGGTTAAACTTTTAAGTAATAACCTTTATGTTCTTAAATATTATCTAGTTAATTTCAGTGTTTTTATTTTTAAAGGATTATTTATCCTTTGTACATTCTTAATCATATATGTATATTTTTCCAAATAAAACTATGCTTAAATACACTTTATGGATTTTAAATTATATTATTCTTTCTTGTCAGAAAAAATAAAATAAAATCCATTTCAAAACGCCGCCCTCCCCCGTAATCCGCTTAATTTTATTTTAATTATTTCCATTTCGGAGTGCAACAATTTGTGGCAGGCACGAACAGCAAGTGCGAGTGGAAAACATTTTTGGGGTGTGGTGCATATTTTTAGTGTCGAGTGGGTGTGGGTGCAACATTTTGGTTATTTGCTTGCATGTGGTGGTGCGATACTGAAAGTTGCTCCTTTTCAGTTTTCTGTTTTCAGTTTTGTCACTTCTAGCTGGAGTTACCTGTAATGGCTAGTGTTGTTGTTGTTGTTGCGGCTTTGGCGTTACGGGAAGTTGTTGTGATGGTGGTTGCCAAAGCTGTGGTGGTGCCCGCTGTGGCTGCGGTCACCAAAGCCCTCTCTCTATCCCTTTCCCTTTCTCTATTTGCCAGATGAATGCGTTGCAAGGTGGTTGTGGAGGTGGAGCTGGAGCTGTGGTTGTTGTTGGTGGTGTTGTTGGTGGAATGGTTGTTGTTGCCGTTGCTGTTGTTGTTGCTGCTGAAGATTTTGTTGTTGGTGGTGCTGGCAATGGTGGGTTGTTTCGTTACATTGGCGCGTGCTATAAGTTGCTGCTTCGGGTTAATGTTGCTACTGCCACTGCCAGTTCCGCCGATGTTGCATGTTGCAGGTGTCGCCTCAAGTGGTCCTGCTTTGGTTCCAACCACCAACGATGTGTGTGTGCAGGAGTGTGTGGCGTACAAGTATGGGTGTGTATGAGTGGGTGTGTGGTAGTGCGGGGGCAGAGAAATAGTAATTAAGTTGACGCTTGCCAGAGAGATGCAAAGAAAGGGCCACAAAGCCAACGGAAGCCCACAATTAAAATGCATTCTTGGTTGTTGCACTTCAGAAGAAATGAGTTAGGTTGCTTAACTATACATTTTTAACCATCTAAAATATTTTTAAAATTTTTTAAAAAAATATTCCTTGCAAGCTTTAATCCCCTCCCATATTGCTTTAATTTTAAAAATTGGTCTTAATTGGTCTTTAAAGTGAAATGGGAAGAAATAGGGGCTTGGTTTAAGCTTATCAGCCAAATCGGATTAAGGCCTAAGAGGCCGTCGCCTTAAGTGCGAGAGATTATTCCAATTATTTATTTTATTTCTTACGCAATCATAATTGCTCTTCATTTATTTATTAAACTTATCATTTATTGCATAATAAAATATAAAGATATCTTTGATTTATAGTTTTCCTAAGAAATGTGACATAATAAAAGCAATTAGCAAAAAATTGGCTTGAATCGAATTGGCTTTTAAGGCTCTTATGGCAGCCAATTAAAATCGGTCAAGTGCTAGAGATCTTGGCCAAAGGCTACCGAAGGATAACGCTTTAATTCTCATTAATTGGCATTACGATGGCAAGTTTTCAGCCGCTCCCATTTCCGTTTCCGTTGCCGATTGGTGTCATTTCGGTTGCCAAGGCGAGCTGCTTACGGTCGGACACCAAAACACCATGGAAAATTGGTGGGAAAATCTGTGTGAAAATCTGCAGAGTGATGTGGGGGGCAGTGGCTGGGTGGCAGCTGGAGAGCGGATAGTGGACAGGGAACACGCTGCATTTGCATGAGTAGCTCGGTAAGTGGAGAACGGAGGTGCCGTTCTAGATTGACATGAAATGCAATTACGGCCAAAAAGTCCAGCACGGGCATCCGGGAATCCGGATTCCGGATCCGGGGGAGACAAGGACTCACCATCGAAATGGCCGCCATAAATCTGCGCCGAAAAATGTGTCGCTTAATCAAGACACACACACCACGCCCACACTCCCCCACCGCCTCTTAAAACCTCAAAGCCTCACCCCAAAAACCACCGCACCGTGCCACCCCACACTTCTGGGTCCCTCATCACTGACGGAAAGCCACAGAGCCACGTCTCTTCATAAGTTGTCGCCTGGGTGGCACGGAATCGGTCCACCCTAATACACTCGGAGAAAAAGTAGCTTCTTTTTAAGAAACTAATTCAGTTTTGAAACTCCATAACATGTATCTTTTGGATATACAGCCTATGTATCCCAATCTTTTTTTGAAAAACTTTCAGAATCAAAGAAATATATTTTTCTGTGGCTGTACTTACACTCTCCGGCTCCGGTTCCGATGCCGTGTCCATGTCCATGTCCGTGTCCTATTCCGTGGGATCCTGCTGCCGAGTTGGCGGCGGAGGGCAGCACTTGATAGCTGTCGCCGTCCACGCCGATGGCACTTGTCACATGATAGCCATAGCCGTTTGAGTGTGCACCACTGCTGACTCCTACTCCTGACCCACTGCCTGCCCCAGATCCTGCCCCGGCACCACTGTAAATTCCCAGAATGGCTTTGGGTTGTTGGTACTGGCCGTGGTTGCTGTGGTGCTGCTGCTGTTGCATATTCAGCTGCTCGTCGGGATCGTGGAGGGCAGTGAGGGTGAGCTCCATGCCACAGCCTCCACCGGTTTCCTTGGAGTCCAGGCTGCCGGTGGGGTAGTAGGGCGGTGGGGGCGGGGGCTGCTGCTGCGACTGCTGTTGCGGGTCACCCACCGACGTCTGGGTCAGCGAGGGTCTCCGGCTGGCGTCCAAATCAAGGTCGTACTCCTTGCCTCCGGCGGTACCGGGAGTCGTGGTGTTTGTGGCTGTGCCTGTCCCCCCGGCCGCCTCCTTTTTGGCAGCGTGTGTCCTGCGACAGCGACAGAAGGCGTACAGAAGTGCCAGAAAGATGCAGAAGGATATCGAGGCGATGATGATGGCCACCAGGGCGGACGTCGTCATAGAGGAGTTGTGCGGCATGTAGGACTTGCCAACTGGAAGGATTAAGTCAAAAGGTTATAATGGGAATATAATCAGGAAAGAGTGTAATGTTGGACTTAAATTCTAATTTTTTTTCTAATAATATTTAAAATATAATACTCACTTTCTGCATTTGCGTAGGCCCCGCAGTGCTCGTGGTTCGATCGCAGACATAGCTTAACTCTTACCACTGGTCCTGGGCCTGCTGTTTCCGCCAGCGCCATTGTTCGATCCTCACCGTGATGGGAGCCACCTGCCACGCCTCCTACCACACCGCCACCCATGCCCAAACTGCGGCCCGAGGTGGCGGTCGTGTAATGAGCCGGTCGGGACATGTGATTGATGACGGCCTCCTTGAATGTGGTTTCGCTTCCCGAGGGCAGCAACGTCAGTGTCTCCACAATCTCCCACATGGGTACAGTTGCGTCACGCGTTACTAGCGACTCGACCACGGCAATCAGGGACAAGCAAGTGGCTGCCACATTGATGCCCAGGACATGGGAGTTGGGATCGTAGCTGACATGCAGGGGCGGTGGAATTTTACTGACTTTCGTGGTGGCCACCACCTCATTGGAGTATCCAGAGGTTCCCTTAGAATTAAGAGCGTAGACCTTGAACATGTAGCTCTGGTGCTGGTCCAAAGGTGCCAGCTTACAGGGATTCTCTTTGAAGCAGTTAAACTCAATCCATTCATGATTGGAGTTGCCGCTGGACGAACTGCTGATCTGGTAGCTGGGGATATAGCCATGGCCTGAGCAGTCGGACAGGCTCTGCTCCCTTGGGGTGGCCACTCGGCGGTAGCTAACCAAGTACTTGGTGTTCGAAAAGCCTCCATTGAAGCCTGGTATCCAGTTCAGGACGGCATAGTTGTGACCCACTTCCAGGATCTTAAGGTTGGTCGGTTTCTCCGGTGAGCCCTTGGGCTGCAATCTAATGGGTGCTCGGATACTGTCCAACGGATTCACGGCTCTGCAGACGTACTCCCCATAGTCGGAATGCTGCAGGTGGGCTATCCTCAAGATCGAGGTGTAAATGTCATTGTTCTCCATCCTCGTACTGATCTCGTAGTGGCCGTCGGAGGACATGGTCAGAGGTGAGGGATTGTTTCCGTACTGCCACTGAAATTCCGGCTTCGGATAGGCCTGGACACGGCACACAACTTCGGCGGATTCCCTCAAGTCGTAGGCTACCTTATTGTACTGATGGATGATTATCGGCTCGTGTTCGATCCTTAGATGCATGGAGGAGTTGGCCGAGTTTACGTCGTTCTCGTAAAGGCAGGTGTAGAGACCTCTGTCGTTGGGCAGCAGTTGATTTCCATTGGGTCTAGCCTTGCCCCTGAATCGGAGAATGCTCTGAACCGCCACTACACCGCCACCGGCATCTGTGGGTGTGGTGCGTATGTCAAACATTTTCCTGGTGGCCAAAATTTCCGTGCCATCCTTGATCCATCGAATCTGGGGAGTTGGTTTCCCTTTGGCACTGCAGGTCACGGCATAGTCCACATCGCCCACCCGGCGAGTCATGTGCTGTTGTAGCTTGGCCAGGAACTGCGGTGGCTGATGCACCTCCAAGATAATGGTGGCTATCTTGCCGATTCCCAGCTCATTGACAGCATGACAGTGGTACTTTCCCTCGCTGCCCAAGTGCGCCTTGGGGATGGAGTACTGGGGACCCTGGGCCAGGATTTTCTGAGTGTTTCCGATATCGCCGTCAATGTCGCGGAACCAACGATACTGTGGCACTGGCCACCCGGGAGGCATTGCTGAGCAGGTCAGGGTCACGCCATTGCCCACATGAACCACTGGCTTGTTGGGTGTTATGTAGGCCTGGCCAGGTCGATGGCGAACCAGCAGAGCCACCGTGGAGTTACCAACGCCCTCGACCCTCTTAGAGTTGAATGGTTGCATTATATTCACCGATCGGCAGATGTAGTTCCCGGCATGTTCCGCCCTCACAGAGCCCAGGGTCAATAGCTCGCCATTATGTCGGAAATCGGGGGCTCCTTCCTTCAGCCATTCAATGTTGATGGGCGATGGATTGGCAGTGACATTGCATCGAATGAGGACCGTTTCTCCCTCCTCGGCTTCGTGGGTTTTCGATTCGATGACCACAATCGGTGGATACAGGACATCCAGAACTATATCCTTTTCTCCCGTTTTTCCTAAGCCATTATCAGCGCTGCAGGTGTACTTTCCGGCGTGATGACGATTCACCCTGTAGATGGTGTGAGTGGGCGTGGCACTTACATACTGCCCGTTCCTCGACCATCTCACATTGCTGACCATGGGCTTGGCATCCACCCGGCACTCCAGCTTGGCTACGTGATCGCGTTCTATCCGAAGGGGGTTTTGGGGTCCGACTTCTACTCGAGGATAGTCTAGAAATAGAAAGATTGGGTATTATTATAATAGAATACCTCAAGTAAGACCTATAAAAAAATATAGAAACAAGTACTGCCAATTTTAGGCCTCATAGAACCTATTATCTCAAATTTATTCACCCATTGAAAATATATTTTTTTCGGTTCATTTGGGTTAGCATACAAATAGGCAATTACAGTAGCTAGTTTAGATTCCCCTCTCGGTTGAGGTTGTTACGCTGGCCCATTAACTTGTCAATAACCGTTTTCAATTACACAATGACGGCAACATGAACAGTAATCGCAAAAACGAAAAAAAAAACTATAAAAAAAGCAGTTTATACCAGGGAAGGACGTTGACGAGTTCAGCGTGACCCATCGACATTTTTAAATAATGCCATTTTGTGGTACAAAGAAAAAAACAATATATGTTTAGTGAGGGAACAGGGCCTAGAAATTACCAAGGCACAGTGGTTTAGGTTAAATATTTGGCAGGAAAATAGTTTCAGTACTTATACTTGTTTAAAGACTTGTATAGTAAGACTCCAAATATCCTATAACTGAAATGCGGTTGTTAACAACTTGTCTAGACATTATTTGATTTCCCTTCCCCGTTGCCTTTATCTTTATATCATTTATAGGCCAACTTTTCCCATTTAAAGAGGTGGAAACCTCTTAGCCTCTACTTCGATTTCAGTGACTTTTAGTCGTTTAACTCACCATTGTACGCGTTGGTCATTTGGTTTAAGTGCCTTTAGTTTCGTTCCGTATCGCATCGTATCGAATTGGTGGCACTCTACCCTCATCCACAACCCAACCACCCACCCATCAGCCGTCGCCCACAAGTCCTCCTCTCATCCACTACTTATAGTACCGCGATTTTCCTCCATTTTCCCCGGCCAACTGTGGAAAAGCGCGTTCAGTCAGGCGTGAGGCATAATAGTGGCTAAGTATAATTGTGGCTGTTGTTGTTGCGCCAATTAACTTTCGAACACTTTAGTTTAATCACCGTCTGCCCAACCGAACCGAGTCTGACCTCCATGCCTCCCCTTTGACCCCCGGCACTTTACGGCTTTTCCCCCATTTCCCATTTCCTCACAGTTATGGCCCTGATAGCCCGATACTTGTGTTGTTGGCGGCCCAACATTTTGGCCAATTGTTTTTTGTTGGCTTTCTAATTCGTAAAACGAAGTTAATGTGCTTGCGTTATGGGCTTAGTTTACAGGAAAATAAAAAAATATTTTAAGAATTTTTATATAATTCAATACACTAACATACAATATTGTGAAGGGATTATTCGAAAGGACTAAGTTTCTGTATAAACACACTAGAGGCAATTATAATCTTTTATCTTTTAAAATAAACATTAAGTAACAGATAAAAGTTTGCACAAAAAAAAAGAATAATTTTTTAACCGAGTTTTCGACCTTGCTTAAGTGCACCATATGAGAAGCGAGGAGGAGGGCAATATATTTTAATTTTTTTTTTTTTTTATTTCACTAAATAGTTACCAAAATAAAACATCTTTTGGAATGTTATTATGAAAGTATGAGTGTTATATTATGTTTTCAGATGTATAATGTATACACAAACAGTTTCCTTTAGAAATAATGGAAGAGTTATGAAAAAAATGTAAGAAAGGAAAGACTATGGCAGACAGGGTTCATCCTAATCATAAATATGTATACCTTATAGAGTCGCTCCTTCATTGCTTTGCAAACTTTTGACCAAAATTATAATACCCTCTGCAAGAGCATAAAAATACCGTCCTAAAAAACAGTTTCCTAGAAAAATTCTGCGTTATCCGGGACCCAATTACGCGTTGCCCGAAAACATTAAAGCCTAACTCCTAAATGAGGGACCATGAACACTTTACATACACATACTATAACACATTTGTGTGTGTGCTAATGTGCGTGAGCATGGCAGTGTGTGTGTTTGCTGGTGTGTGTAATTATAAAATAAAATTTAATGAGCAGAGCTTGTCAGCGGACCGGCGAGGGAGACCAGAAAAACAGAAGCCACGAAGGATGGTATGGAAAAAATCAAGTTTGCATTTCAACACATGGTGTTCCAGCACCACCCTCTCACCCACTATTGTAGGATGGAAGCCCCCTGGCCATTTTCATGCCCAGCCAGCCATGTAGTTTCACGCTGATGTCGGGGTGTTGCTGCCACGCCCATCTCTCTCTGCCCCCGAAGTCCTGGTAGCCCTAGACCAGCATTCTTGCTGTCCTGACATTTGCCACGGCACTCGCCTTCATTTTACTTCATTCCTATTTTTCATAGTTTAATAACAGGAAAAATGTGTGAAAAAGCGAAAAAAATTAATTTCTTTTTCTTGAGCAGGGAATAACGATTTTGGGTTGGTGTTTGCTCATCTTGAAACTTACAAGACTTAAAAGGCCACTGAGATAGCTTTATCTATTAGAATCTTAAGAATCTAGGAACAAACTATTTGTTCACTTTTTTGTGCAATTTTCTGGGTGATACCCCTCAAAAATGGGGAAGACCGCATGGGAGGCCAATATGACCCCCTGCGAACGCTATATCTTCAACAATTTTTATTCGATTCTTGATCAAAGTACCTTAAACGATTTGTGGATCGATTCTCCATAAATCTGCATTAAAATCTGGGAACAAATTATTTTTTCACTTTTTTGTCAATTTTCCTGATGGATACCCTTCAAAAATGGGGAAAACGCATAGGAGGCCAATATGACCCCTTGCGAACGCTATATCTTTGGCATTTTTCATCCGATCCTTAAACGGAGTACCTTAAAAGATTTGTGGATCGATTTTCCATAAATCTGCATCAAAATCTAGAAACAAAATAATTTTTCACTTTTTTGTCAAATTTTCTGGATGATCCTCTTCAAAAATGGGGAAGACCGCATGGGAGGCCCATATTACCCCTTGCGAACGCTGTGTCTTTGACATTTTTCATCCGATCCTTAAACGGAGTACCTTAAAAGATTTGTGGATCGATTTTCCATAAATCTGCATCAAAATCTAGAAAAAAATTTTTCACTTTTTTGTCAAATTTTCTGGATGATCCCCTTCAAAAATGGGGAAGACCGCATGGGAGGCCCATATTACCCCTTGCGAACGCTGTATCTTTGCCAATTTTCATCCGATCCTTGAACGGAATACCCCAAACGATTTGGGGATCGATTCTGCATAAATCTGCATCAAAATCTGGGATTAAGTTATTTTTTCAATTGTTTGTCAATTTTTCTGATGGATACCCTTCAAAAATGGGGAAAACGCATAGGAGGCCAATATGACCCCTTGCGAACGCTATATCTTTGGCATTTTTCATCCGATCCTTAAACGGAGTACCTTAAAAGATTTGTGGATCGATTTTCCATAAATCTGCATCAAAATCTAGAAACAAAATAATTTTTCACTTTTTTGTCAAATTTTCTGGATGATCCTCTTCAAAAATGGGGAAGACCGCATGGGAGGCCCATATTACCCCTTGCGAACGCTGTGTCTTTGACATTTTTCATCCGATCCTTAAACGGAGTACCTTAAAAGATTTGTGGATCGATTTTCCATAAATCTGCATCAAAATCTAGAAAAAAATTTTTCGCTTTTTTGTCAAATTTTCTGGATGATCCCCTTCAAAATGGGGAAGACCGCATGGGAGGCCCATATTACCCCTTGCGAACGCTGTATCTTTGCCAATTTTCATCCGATCCTTGAACGGAATACCCTAAACGATTTGTGGATCGATTCTCCATAAATCTGCATTAAAATCTGGGAACAAATTATTTTTTCACTTTTTGTCAATTTTCCTGATGGATACCCTTCAAAAATGGGGAAAACGCATAGGAGGCCAATATGACCCCTTGCGAACGCTATATCTTTGGCATTTTTCATCCGATCCTTAAACGGAGTACCTTAAAAGATTTGTGGATCGATTTTCCATAAATCTGCATCAAAATCTAGAAACAAAATAATTTTTCACTTTTTTGTCAAATTTTCTGGATGATCCTCTTCAAAAATGGGGAAGACCGCATGGGAGGCCCATATTACCCCTTGCGAACGCTGTGTCTTTGACATTTTTCATCCGATCCTTAAACGGAGTACCTTAAAAGATTTGTGGATCGATTTTCCATAAATCTGCATCAAAATCTAGAAAAAAATTTTTCACTTTTTTGTCAAATTTTCTGGATGATCCCCTTCAAAAATGGGGAAGACCGCATGGGAGGCCCATATTACCCCTTGCGAACGCTGTATCTTTGCCAATTTTCATCCGATCCTTGAACGGAATACCCCAAACGATTTGGGGATCGATTCTGCATAAATCTGCATCAAAATCTGGGATTAAGTTATTTTTTCAATTTTTTGTCAATTTTTCTGATGGATACCCTTCAAAAATGGGGAAAACGCATAGGAGGCCAATATGACCCCTTGCGAACGCTATATCTTTGGCATTTTTCATCCGATCCTTAAACGGAGTACCTTAAAAGATTTGTGGATCGATTTTCCATAAATCTGCATCAAAATCTAGAAACAAAATAATTTTTCACTTTTTTGTCAAATTTTCTGGATGATCCTCTTCAAAAATGGGGAAGACCGCATGGGAGGCCCATATTACCCCTTGCGAACGCTGTGTCTTTGACATTTTTCATCCGATCCTTAAACGGAGTACCTTAAAAGATTTGTGGATCGATTTTCCATAAATCTGCATCAAAATCTAGAAAAAAAATTTTTCACTTTTTTGTCAAATTTTCTGGATGATCCCCTTCAAAAATGGGGAAGACCGCATGGGAGGCCCATATTACCCCTTGCGAACGCTGTATCTTTGCCAATTTTCATCCGATCCTTGAACGGAATACCCTAAACGATTTGTGGATCGATTCTCCATAAATCTGCATTAAAATCTGGGAACAAATTATTTTTTCACTTTTTTGTCAATTTTCCTGATGGATACCCTTCAAAAATGGGGAAAACGCATAGGAGGCCAATATGACCCCTTGCGAACGCTATATCTTTGGCATTTT